CAATTTTCAATGTGCCCGTAATGAATGGGGCTGCGGAATCTCGTTCTGCCTGCCACATGTGGGTGTAACTTGCAACTTGCAACCGGGGCATTGCATTGGGACACTGGGATGCCTCATGAATTATGCAAACATTGGCGAAGGCACAGGAAAACACACTGATCTCTGACAGTTTCGAGTTTCCCTGGCTGTTCCGCACAGGCAAAACAAACAAATTGTTTGTTATTATCGCTGGGTGGCGCAGATCGCGTCAAGAATCCGGACTCCGATAGGGCCTGTTCCTCCGGATCGCAGATTAAGACGCCGCAAGTCGCGGCAAATTGTCAAACGCACCGCCAGCTGCCAACGATTTACTTAGGCCAGGGCCCTTCTACTTCTACTTCCACGGATCCCCCATTCAGCTCCTTTTTGTATTATTTATTTTGCATGCCTTATTTTTAGGCCGCCTGCACACAATGTGTGAAATTGCCGACAGTTCTGGACTGGGTTGTTTGAAGTCTGAGATCTATGATTTGTCCATGATTAATGGAGCGCTCAAAGTTTTTCTAAATTTTGCGGTAAGGAATGGTGATGTGAAGTGAGAGATTCCCTATAATATTTTGGGTTTGATTAATCTCTTAATAGTTATATCCCATTTATTTTAGTTTTTAACCCATTTCTCCATTTCTTAGTTTTAAGAAATATTCTCTATAATATTCAGGGGTCTAAAGTATAATATCACATCATATTTTTGGAAAACTAGTACATCCCATTGGCAGGGTATAAATACAATGAAGTTGTTTCGTGGTTTATGGTTCTTTGGAAACAAATGAACATTAATACTTTGGGATAATTAACCCACTAATGGAGTGTTTCGGCACGGATTCGGAGGAGTGCCAGCGAAAAGTGTTTCAGAAGTGGGAAGTGTGGGTTCAAAGACCCTTAGATCGCCAGAAGCCAAGCAAATATATTTTTGGGTAGGTTGCGAGTATACCCCAGACTTTGGTCTTTCGCAGCACTTAATTACTGCTCAGTTGGCTTGCCTTTCTCCATCGGACACATCTCCAAAAAAAAAAACCCTGCCCCCTCATCACCTGTCACTGACCTGACCAACCCCAAAAACGCAGATAGACGACCAAGTGCATCGGGGAGTTGTAAAATTGGAGTTTCATTAAGATGCACATCTTAATTGCGCCCGCAGCTGATGATGATGCTGAGGCCGATGATGCAGACCGACGAAGACGATCCTGTTTTTCACTTTCCACAAAAATGGGCACGTTCACTGGCCCATCGATGGATGGTTGATGCCGCCTCTATTGTTTTACGAGGAGTGGCTGTGTTGTTGTGTCCCCTGATAATTGATGAATTTATGACCTAACATGGAGTGCCAGTGCCACAAGTTGCCCAATCACTTTTACCGATTGCCCTCCCTTCTTATCGCGTGCCTCCCCAGCTGCTTGTTCTTCTAATTGGATGTCGCAGGGGCTAATCTGACCCCCTGGTTAATGGGTGGGTTAAAGGCAGCGGCAAAAGGGAAATTCCGGGAATCGCTTTCAATGCATTGTTTTTTTGGACTACTCCGACGACGACGTGCTCCATTTCAGCCCAATCTCTTTTGTTTCCGTTGCCCGACACTTGATTTCTCCACCGATTTCCACTGATTCCGCTACTCTTTGGCTTCGATTCAGATTCGAATTCGGATCCATTCGCAGCTTCGATGGAACCCGCAGCATCTGCATTGTTTTCCGAAAGTGGCACGTTCTGACCATTTATGGCGCACGCATGGCCAGCAGCAGCGAACTCGAGCTGATTGCCCAGCGGGCCAGCATTGTGGCCAGTTGTGGTTGGAATGGAGATGTTGGGCAAGAAATGTTAATAGTGCACCACTGCGACCTACCCCAAAGTTGGTCTCTGGCGTGGGCTAAATCCATAACAGAGACGGCCATCATATCATAAACTAGCTGAACCAATAGCTTTATTGTTCTTCTAGAATGTCTCTATTAGAGACCTGAAGAATTAGAGGTTAAAAATAAGAAATGTGTTATAAAGATCTGAAGAATTCGCGTTCTTATTTCGTTGAATAACTCATTTCGTTTTTCTTTAGTATCGATTTACTCCAAAATTAATGGCACATCTGTCCAAATCAATAGTCCCATTATCCCGGATAGAGTGACACATCAATTGTTCTCTCGTTGGACATCCTCGAAACACGCTTTCATACAGCTGTAACCCCCAGGGGAGGATTCTACTTCCGGGGATGAGGGGGTGGCTCTATACAAATGTGCAATAAAATACGATTGCCTTTGTTATTGGTCCCCCGATGGTCATACAAATAGCTCAATTAGTAGTCCCCAAATATTTGCCAGAGACTTTTTCCTCATCCTTAATCGTTGATTGTGCCGAAATGTGGGGAAACAGAAATTGTGGCACGGGGGAAAATATTGAGTCAGGTGCCATAATTCCCAAAAAACAAATTTCATTTTCCCGCCCATGGCAACCGCAAAAAAAAATAGCCAAGGGAAAAACACAATAACTCAGATAAAAAAAATGACGCCCACAATTTACGCAAGAGCTGTAGCGGAATATACAAAAATACGCGTGCGTTTGTATGTGAATTTAGTCTGATTTACATACATTATTTATTCCGCTTCTAAATTGCAAATGGAAACATGTTACGAGGTGTTATGAATGAACGACTGGGTAGGTGAGCTAAGCCAGCCATATGACAGCGACATTGTTTATTTGCATATTTACGAGGGTCCCTCAGAATTATTACAAAGAATGAGAAAGGGTGGGTGCGTGACATACAGAAAAGATGTTCAGAATGAGAGTATAAATTGTATAAGCAGTTAAAAGTATTCTTAAAGTTTTATTAAAAAACAAGAGAAAATCAGAGTGCTAAAGGGAGTGGGAAAGAGATGGAGATATGTAAGCAGAAATTCGACTGCTTGCACTGCTTGCAATCTAGAGGCCATTCTTCTTTTTTTGTCCATAACTTTTCAATGAATGGTCCGATTTGAAATTTTATTTTACATGCGAATAGGTATTAATAAACAACACAACATCGCATTTACACTTTTACAAAATCTTTGAAGAAGCTGGCGAAGTGAGTTTGGTACATATCTTTTCACGACATAGCAATACTGACAACCAAGAATAAACGCGAACCCTTCGAAGGCCTCAGCGCCTAACGAGCCAATTAGTGGGCTTACATCTGGATGTGGTGTCCCCTTCTGGTCATTTTGCTGACATCCTTTGTTTGACTTGCATATTTTTCTAACCCTAAGCACACACAAAATATCCCAAAAATTGCCGACTAATTCCCTGGAATGCGGGTGGGTTCCAAAACTCATCTTATTTCACATTGGACTGTTTGTGTAGTCAGAAACCGGTTGGTTGAAAAATGAATGCCAGGCGTGACAGCAACAAAGATTCAGGATGGGACGACGTCGTTCTCCAAAACACACACACACACAGGATAAAGGATAATGATAATGAGTGTAGCGCAGGATAATGCACATGCAGGAGCAATGGTCGAAATTTGGGTAGAGGGGAATAACAGAGGACGACCCCATAGCAATTTCTATGTAAATTTGATTGACAAACTTTTTCTGGGCGATGAAATCGGAGGAGAGAAGCCCACACGCTTTGGAGTGGAAAAATAGAGTGTTGTTCGAGACTTTTTATGACTCCACCATTTTAGATAAGAACACAAATCGATGGAAAGTCGCTATTATGTCGTCGCCACTCCCCTCAGAAGTGCTGGAAGTCGAATCAAATCGAGCAAATTAAATTAAATCAATCCCCCGACAACGAAAGTGACAATAAAACTCAACGAGTGTCGGAGTTTTTTGTTTTTCTTCTTTTTTCCCGGGGGTTCGGGTGGTTTGGGGGTCCGGTTCTCCAATTTTCGTGTTGCCTTGGCCTGTCTCGTCGACTTCGTCTCTCCTCTTGACGTGACTGAAGTGGGCGTGGCACTTGGCATGCAAATCATGTCAAATGTCACACTCAGCTCAACTCAGTTCTGTTCAGAACTGTTCAGAACTGCAGCTGCACAGACATCGGGTGCTCCTCGGCCTGGTTCTCTGTTTCAATCTCAACTGTGGAGTGGGTAGCAACTTCCCTTTTGTGCGGAACGGGTTGCCTGACCTTCAACATTGACTTGTTGAGGAGGTGTAGTATGTACGAGTTGTGTTCCAGCCCTTTTTTCGGGCCTCAGAACTTCTCCTTTCCTTCCGAGAGGTGTACACAAATGTGTTTGGACAGCTGCCGCAGCGTGGTTTGAACTGTGAGGGCGGCTACTGTATTGTCTCTTTGGGATTGGGATCGGGAGGGTAACTTGAGCCATCGTTCTCTTCTTCTGGCTAATTGAGCTTTCGGGAGTAAACATTCCGCTTTATGGAGAACGTCTGCACTTGATATGAAGCTCCTCGAATATAATCGAACTGGGTTGGATTGGTGGTCTCGCATAACGAAATGTTTGTCATAGCCAAATAGCAAAGGGAACAAGATATGATGAGGGCAGTCAACTTGAGCATACGAGGAATATAATACGGAATGAATGAGATATGTATATGGTTATTGGACCTGTGGGAGATGAGTCGTATGTGGTATCTTTTCGAGGTATCCAAATATTTCTGATTTTACAACTTGCAAAGTGCCAAGTCATAAACTGGAATAACATAGCAAAATATAGTTGGAAAAGATTATTTAAAATATTCCCATAAAATACCAAGAAAAAAAATTTTAAATATTTAAGCACTTCCTTTTCTTAAAATTAAAAATTGTGTTATCAAATCGCTTAGAAATTCCCGCATACATAGAAAACAAAGATTGTATTTCTTGATTACTGTTTGCAGAACCCATTCTTATTGCTACCGACATCTACAGCTACGACATTCGCTAACATAGCTATGTTAGCTAACAGTGCGCCTAACATTTACGACATTGAAATGTATCTGCGGGATACGACCTCTGAGTTTTCGTCGCCGATTCAGTATTTCATTCCACAGAGTATCTCGCTGCGGTGCGGACCTCGTTCGGAGACTCGAGAAATACGAAAACCGACTCGTGATTCGTGACAATCTAACTGAAAAAAGCCGAAGCGAAGTGATTTTGCTACGTTTGTGGTTTAGCCAGCGTCTTTTGTTTTTTTCGGCATCGGTTTTTTCGGCTGCCCGCGGCTAAACTTGAAATTAAAGCTGATTCGGCGAAGCCAGAGATACAAGATACATATGCAGATGCGAGCTCAGTGCTGAGAGCTGCAGATAGATAGACAAACAGTGAAGTGAGATACAAGTGGCGAGATACAAACCTCCGCGAACCCACGTCGAGATACTTTATTTATATTGTCCTGGATTAAATATATCTAAAAACATCTCGATTGTGGCCGTCAACATGTCGAGCTAAGCTGCGACTGCTCCAGCTCAACTCAACCCACAGATTGGAGATCGCAGATCGCACAACCCGAGATGCTGGACAAGATGACAGGCTCATCCGTGTCGGTGTCCACCTCCTGCTGCAGTTCGAACGCCACCAATGCGGACCTGGACTACGACGTGCCCGTCTCGCGGCGCATCCTCATTAAATCGGTTAGTAGTGGTGGACCCTCGCGATAAGCCCAATCCCCAATCCCCAATCATAAACTGCCGCACTTTATGCGGCCATTCGGATTAAGCCATCTCGAGAAGCTATCTGCATGGCTCCATCTGCTGTTGTGACAGTTGGGCTGCCAAAAGGAAACCGTAGCGGATTTCTCATCTGGAATCTGGTATCTGGTATCTTTGGCAGCTGTCAGGACGGGGAAAAGTTTCCGCGATTTTCGCTAGTTTCGCGTTTGTTATCACCCCAAGAGCAACACCGTTTGATGTGCCAGTTTACGGCGCAGGTGAGATATCGCAATCTCGTGATAACTCTGTCGATGATGCCTGCCTGTGCTTAGAGCCCCTAAAGTGTTTGGTTGAAAACAACATGAGCTCACCGTGATAAACAATCTACGAGTGATTCCCTCCAGATATAAGTATTTGGTTCTTAGTTGAAAGGAGTCCCTGATTAGATTGGAATCGAGTGCGATAAGATTGAGGCTTTTGGAATTTAACTGGAAATATAATCTTTATCAAACGGATTAAGTCAGACTGCACTTATTGATGAATTGCTTAACTTACAACTCTATAGTACAATAGTACTTATGTTTGCTTCAGTTTATAAATCCAATCTTAAAGTGAAGACCTTTTTTTAAAGTATTCCCATCTTTATATCCACATCACAACTTAAATCCCATGGTTCGCTCTGGAATGAGCTATCATTACAGATCCATTTGAGTTCATTTAGGCGTACTTAAAACATTCCAATTGATTGAAGTGTGGATGGCAAGTTATTTCAACTGGTTTCTGGCTCCTTGCTTTGGCTGAGAAGAATGATTTAAGAGCCGCGACAACTGCGAGCGAATGCTGATCAATAGATTTATGCTGCCATATATTTTCATCAGAGCCCGAGAGTCACTCAATCAACATCAGCCGATTGCCTTCGAAATGGAAACCGTTGACGCCGCACGCGGACATTAATTCTCATCAATTTCCCAGCTATCCCGACCCATAGTCACTTGTGGCACTCAAAAATGAAGTGTCGAAGCAGGAATATATGTTCTATTCTGTCTGGAGTCTAGACGGGAACGGTGGGGCGCCCACTTGATCAGCGAGCGAGAAGATGTTCCTCAGGGATTCGATTCTATACTATGCGGTTATCCTCGAAGATAACCCCTGAGCCCGAGCATGAGACCTCCCCTGACTTAATCTTAATTAATAATAAGGCCTGCGATAGGGGAGAAGCTACTTGGGTTTTCGTTCTTTTATCTGCTTTTCCTTTCAGTTTCCCTGGCAATTTTAGGGTTTTCAGTTTTGGTGTGACGCTCAATTAAGACTGATTAGATTTGTTAGTGGAATTGTCGTGGCGATAAACGTCCTCAGCCCTGGACTTGCCCTTATCGCATTGTCTTTCCCTCGGTTTTCGGCCTGCCCGATAAGAAGTCAGCGCCACCCAGGCACTTTGGTTCGATTTCCCGAGCTACGTGCGTGGTCTCTGTGGGGCCTCCCCTTGATTGTTTATGGAGCTTCTCACTTGGCCCCTCAATCAATTGGAATTTTCTGCGAGAAATCAATGCTCTGTTCGCAACTATTAATAACTGATTTCATTTGCCACGCACTCGTACTTGTACCTTGGGGGCCATCCTGTCCCTCAACTATTTTTCCCCTTAATTGCCGGCCTTCAGTCAAGCGCACGTCCTCTCAGGATGGGAAGGAGATAGGAAGGGGGTTTGGTTGGAGGTTTCGGAGTTAAGAACCACTATTAATTTCCATCAGTCAGCGGCATGCTAATAAACCCTTTACCCCCTTTTGTGCTCCTATCCTAGAGAGGATAACGTGACACGCTTGGGATTGACTTGGAATTATTATGGATCAAACTAAGCTCCATGAAATTACATTTTAAGGGACTATCACTCGTCATTCATCTCTAGTCTCCAGTGCAAAGTCTTTCACAATCATCTCAGGCAAGGCCAAAGAACGCAGGAAACCCATCTTCGGATGTTTTCCACTGTTTGCATTTTGAAATCTAAGCTGAGAACCGATCCGAACCGAACCGGCTCGGGGGACCAGATTCAGATTCAGATGGCTTGGGATGCCTCCTCCAGTCGTCTAGCCAGAGCGTCAATTACTTTTCGCATTTGTGCGCATTTGGAGCACATTTATTTTAATCTCACCTGTGTTGCTGCGTGTCTGTCTGTGATGGATGCAGCCAATCCAGCTGGTCCACCTAGTCCACCTAGACCACTTGCCCCGCGGCAACCCTTCAATTACGTGATACTTTGTGTCAGCGACTGTTAGGCCCAAGAACGAACGAGTATCCTCCTGGACAAGATCTGGCCATTACAGTGCCCGTGATCATGTCCGAGACACGTTTCTCGTAATTAGCCGTTGTTGTTTATTTAATTTCAAGCTTAATAACGACCACAGCACCGGAATATTGAGTGCCATGAGGTGGGTAAGAAGAAAGGGAGGAGGGTTGAGTGTTCTGCGAGTGCATTTTCATTTGCATTTGCATTTACATCTCTCCGCCAGACACACTCGGTCCTCAGTCCAACCAACCAACAACTCGTAAGCAAGCTAATTTATTTTAGCGCTCAACTTGTGCAAACATTTTCGAATTCAAATTTGTCCAACAGGTTGCAAACTGCACACTGCAGTTGTTTTTGCTGTCTGGTATTGGCAGTTGCGAGTTGATGAATGTGGCAAGGTTAAGGCCCAGAGGAGGTGAGGTGACTGATTGGATATGGTTTAAGGAATGCTCATTAGGCCAAGAGAAGGCAGTGCGAAAGAAGATACTTGACTCATCTCGGGTAATTTCTTATACCATTTTTCCGGCATATCATATTGCCCTTTGAAAAAGAAGAAAAACTTTCGCTTTTGTGTAGTTACTATAAATTGTTTTATCTTTTCGCGTTCGACACTCGAGTTCACGCAGGCATTTACTCATTCATTATCTAACAGTCATGTGCTACCAAGCGAGCATTTCAGCCAAGCAAACATGTCGGCCAAATGGATTATAGGCCAACAGCATTATGGACTCGAAAGTCGGAAAGTGTCGATAATGAGCAAGCACTCTCGTCGAATAGTTGTCAGGTGGAACAGTGCAGAAACGTGCCGGTTGCAAAGAGAAGATTGGATAAGGCCTGTGATAAGGGAACAAGGTAAGCTGTCACTCCCATGTAAACCGTGTAAACAAGAGGAGAATACAGGAGCTGCAACCTACAGGGAACCGACCCCCTGGCCTTTGTTTACCCACAAGATTCACAGAAACTGTCTGTTACGTGCACAAGTTCAGATGACATTTATGAATTACGAATCTGACATGTCACGTTCTGGACCCTCGAAAGGAGAAGGCCTGACTAATTGCCCTCTGCTCAGAGGACAAGTCCTTAACAAGTCGTAGAACCCGCGTCGTCGTCGACATTGAGCTTGGGATGATGATGAGTATGTGTTTACAGTGTTTACAGCGAGTAAGCCATTCCAAATTGGCCTGGCCTTATGTATTGTACTCCCCGGCCCCCCGTAACACCGGAAATTGCAAGAACGACTGGGGTCTGGGCTGTCTCCTTTCCAGATAAGGACGGCAATCTGGTAACGGAGCAATAAAAGTTACATGCAACCCGTAAGTGGGCTATGCCATCAGCGGTGCAGTGATTTGAGCACTCCGCCTGCGGTGGCTGATGATCGCTTACATCGCCATCAACGACTTGAGCCACTTAATGGGCCCATTTACACCAAAACGGAGATGGGCTACTGAAATTTTAGCAGACCAGTTAATAATGTGCACAATTTCTGTCGTTCGTGATATAAGAAATCATTTTTATGGCGCCCCCGGGTGGACCCCAGACCCAAAATGCTAGAATCTGATAAAATCTAAGTGGTTTTTCCGATCATCTAATTGGGAAAACCTCTTTCAAGTGAGTTTCTCCATCTTATTTGCTTACCAATCTCCAAAGTGTCATCCATCAACTATCTGGGGCCTTGTCTTCTCACTTTCGATCTATTTTGGCTGCGTGGGCGCAACATCCGCAGAAGAAGGCTTAAAATAGAGCCGAAAGGTAATCCATCATAAGTCGCCTAACGAACGATAAAAGGCCGAAATGCCTCGGAAACATTTTCATTCCCAAAGCCGACACTCGAAGTTCACGAGGGGATTCTTCGACTCTTCTCTTCAAAACTGGTTAGAGTAGAAGAAGAGTTGGAGTAATACCTCAGCCATGAGTCACGTCCGGGGTATTCCTCCGACCTAAGCTCAATGTCAGTCAATGGGACTTAATGACTAACTTCCCAGAGAGCGGGGGAAGTTCGTAAAATAAATCTTGTAAATTGCTCGAGAGGCTGACCCGAAGTTAATTGAATGAGTGAATGAATGAATGAGTATTTTCGCCCCTTACAAAACTGTTTTACAAATTTCATGGCTTGATAAGTTTAATTTTCTTATTTTGGTCATATTTTATTTCGGGTCTTCTCTTTCGGATTTAAATCTTGAATGCTTGCATTTTTGTTGTTTGCCCTAGAGCTTCATGATAATATTTTATTATTTAATGTTTTGTGCATGTTAGCCTTTATCAAATGATTGATCTTTTTGTTTATTGGCTTTTTAAGATTTTATGACTGAGTTCTGGTCGTCTGTGTTTTTTTCGTTTGCTTTTATTTTCGAGCACATATGTACATCGGAAACAATTCATTATAAACACACACATTCTGAGCCATTAAAATAAATGTAGAAAACTACAATAGCAAAAAGTTACAGACACGCTTTGAAATTGATTTTTGTTCGCTTGTTCGGCTGATTCATTTGCCACAATTGAGTGTTTAACTGCTTGGGTTTTCTCTCTTTCCTTGGGGAAGTGAGTTTTGCAACGTTTTTGCGTATTTCACTTGAAATTGCTGCGAAGGTCGAAAATACTTTTGTGTGGATTCCGTTTTATTTGTTCTTTAATATTTAAAGTCAACAGCTCGCATTTCGTTTTCAGTTATTTTCCTTTGTCATATGATTTCGTTTTATTTTGGCTTTAATTTTTTCGTTCAGAAGTTACTTAAGGTAATTGAAATGGAATATGTTTGCTTTGAAGCTCGCTTTGTGACTCATTTTCCGCAAATTGGCCACGTTTTTTCGATCGAATTCGGTGGGTAATATTCATTTTTTTCAAAAACCGCAAGCCAAACTAATTTTAACACTCGCTTCTTCTTTTAAATTACAAATCATCTTACTGAACTTCCGTGAAACCTTTTATTTGCTCAATTTAATTAGCCCTTTCATTATATCACACTTTTCTTTTCATTATTAAAGTCTGAGAGCGATTCGCCCGACTTTAGGAGAAGCAATGCAAATTGAATGAGAAATACTTGGAATGCGAGTGCAATTGACTTTTGCATCTATTGTTAATGGTGGGGGCGTCTCCAGTGCCACCGAGGGGATCAATTGCCCTGTCATTGACTTGCTCTCGACTCACTGGGTCCATCCATCCTAGACGAGATCTGCTGACCCCCAGTGACATGTGTGGTGAAGTGAGTATCTCCATCGTGCACTTGTCACTGCAGCTCACCGTCAATGCGACGCACCGACTTCGACCCAGTGTCTCTTTATGTGAAACGTGTTTTCCTGCCCAAGTTGGCCCGGCTCGGAGTTTTATTGTCACACCGCATTTTATACGGATTTTTCTCTTTGCTTTGCTTTATTTTTTTGTTTCGATTTTTTATTTTTTTTTATTTTTTGCACACAACGAGCTGACGAAATGTGTCGAAAAGGCCGCCGCGAGAGCAGTAAACATTTTGTTTATTTTCGCAAACGGAAACCAGTTCAACGCGACATATGGCGTTTTATTGCAAACTAACATAAAAATATTTCTGCCCCGGTTTCTCAGAAAACCTTTAACCAGTCATAACCCTAGTAAGGGTCCAAAGTTTAGTTTCCTCAACGGAAGAAAGTGACGCATTCAGGCTAAACAAATAGATAACTGGGCGTTTGAAAATGCAAATGCTTTTGGGGGGTCCAAAAGTATTTCACAGATAGCAGATTGCGTCAGAAGTTGCTCCTCCTACACACAAAGAAAAAACTTGGTAAAATCAACTGTAATAATTGTCAAACAGGCCCCAACCAGCAAAATTGTCAATTCTACTAAGTAAATAGTCATTTCACAACAACAAAATACACACAATTAGCAAAGACACAAACCCAAAGCAAAAACAAAATACACGTAACTATTTTAATAGTTACGTAACTATCTTTGTTGGTCAATTTTACCAAGCAAATTGTTTTGTGTGTATGATACTATGACTTCTCGTGATTGCTTTCACCTTCAACATTCTCAGGGTTGCCCCTTGGGATCCCGTCCATTTTCCCTTTTCAATTTCATCAAATTCTATTAATTAAATTTGACAAAAGTATTATCTGTCACGCAAGCCAGCGCTTGACTTTAGACTATAGCCACTTTATCAGCATTTTGGATTTTGGGGGTCTGGGTTATCAGTCGAAAATGCCGCAAACGAGCTCGCATTTCTATTGGAAATATTGCCAAGCCATCGTCGTTGATTGGATACGCTTTTTCGGTCAGTACTCCAGAGTCACATGCCCCTTAATGTGGTTAATGGTCTCTTCAATCCGTAGAATAAAAACAAACTGTCATCTTGTCGGGGTAAGGCGGTCGAAATTTGTGGACTTTTGAGTGCTCATTAAGCTTTTTGTCGGCGGCTTCTTCGCTTTTTAAATCTCTGTGCTGCCTGGGTTATTTATGAGCCAAAACGAAATGTGCAAAAAAGTCGTCGTTTGGTTTGAGTAATTGAATGGTCTTGGGCATGGATCGCAGCTACTCCTGGAATACATAAACAACCGAAACCCAAGTTTGTTTGGCCAAAAATGTGGCTTACTCTGTGAAGCGCAGGGGATTAATCGCCGGAGATATTGCCTTATGGCGATGGTCCGTCATACGCGAACATTAAAAACAATAAATGGCCGGCAACTCTTTCACTTCTGCAGACCGAAACGAAACGTAGCCCCTGGGCTTTGATTACTTTTATTAAAATCACTCGAACATGTAAACCTTTTTCGGTGATTTACAGAGATTGAGCATTGAGTGTGGGGAATGTCTAGGAGGAGGTGGGAACTCTTTTTCAGTTCCGTTCGGGATCGTCGGGGCTAGCAAAAGTACACACAAAAAAATTTGCTTGGTAAAATTGACCAACAAAGATAGTTACGTAACTATTAAAATAGTTACGTGTATTTTGTTTTTGCTTTTGGTTTGTGTCTTTGCTAATTGTGTGTATTTTGTTGTTGTGAAATGACAATTTACTTAGTAGAATTGACAATTTTGCTAGTTGGGGCCTGTTTGACAATTATTACAGTTGATTTTACCAAGTTTTTTTTTTGTGTGTATGCCCAATTAAGGTGGTTCGAGCAAACAGGCAAACAACTGTAAAAAAGGCCCCTAATTTCTGTAACCCACAACAGGAATTGGTTTTCATTTGACGGCAGGCAGACGGAACTTCAATCTTCCAATTCTCGACTTTAAATATTTGCCTCTTCAATTAGCGCTGTGTGAAAAGCCGAGTGAAAGAAATCTCCGGAGTTTCGAACTTATGGATCTGTGGAGCTGTCAGGCCCCAAGCCCAGCAAACATTGGAGCTGGTTTTTGTTTTGTTTGGGGCAAAAGCACACACTCGCTGTCGGTCCAGTGTCACTGCGACGGCACTGAACTTCAAGTGCGCTCATTTTCCTTTTGACATTTGAACGCTTCCATCGCGCTTTCGAAATTGAAAAGTAGAATAGCCGCCTGGTAAAACGGGTTTCGAAACTACCTAACTACGTGTACAAAAGTTGTACACACAGATATATCAGACCTGAGCAGCGGGTTGAAAGTTCAGCGGCGATTGAACGCTCGATATTGTAATCGCTGGCTCCCTCTCGCCCTCTTTCACTCCTTCTACACGGGAAACAATTTAGGTTGACATTGAATTGGTAGGAAAAAAGGATCAATATGTGTTGTGTACACTGTACGTGTCGGCAGCAAAGCGGCAGCGCAGCGGTAGAGAACATTTTGATGACGAATCAAAGTGACTTTCAGTTAAAAAGCTTCGAGTTACTAGACCTACAACTTGATAATATCTATTTTGAAAACTAATGTATCTCAGAAAGTGTGAATATTTTTCGCTGTGTATGAAATGAGGGAGTGTTGTGGGTTGAAAAGGTGAAGGGGGAAGGAGCAGTCACGGCGGCTTTGTTTTCTTCGCTTTTTTCTTTTTGCAGAGTTCAAACGTTCGTTTTGGATTTTTGTACGGTGCGGTGGCGAAATTAAAAGCACCACTCTTAACCCGCAACAACCACAGATGCAAACATACTCACACAGGGACAATTACACATTCATTGAGCGAAAAGTTTGCTCAAAAGGCTACAGTCGTGTTCAGCGAATTAGAGCCAAAGGTCAAGCGAAAGAAGTGCTATCTGGAGAATATGAGTCAAGAGATTCAGGAAGGGTAGAACCTAAATTCGAAAGTAGATCAAGATCGAGGAGTGCTTGATTTCTCATCTGCTACCTTGGTTATACCCAGGCAACCTCGACTGTTGATGTGCCTGCTCTCTAACAGAAAACCCGAAAATCGTACAACCCGAAATCGGATAAAGGAGAACCTACCCAAAAGTTGACCTGAAATTCCAGCTAAACTAATGAAGCGAGCTGAGCGGCTAAAACAAAAAACCAAATCGCATTATTTCTTTCTTTCTTTTTTTTGGGGTTCTCTGCACTTTTCGGCATTCTTTTTAAACGTGGTAGCAGCAAAAGATTTGCAAATTTGCTACTACACATAAGAAACATGAAAACCAAGCTCTGAAAACAGAGATCAGCAGACGCAGTTCTTATGAATGATGGAAGCCAGAGTCAAAGTTATTCGGAAGGGGTCAGTAGTGGTCAGTTTGAAATTCCATTGAAATTGTTTGCCTTGCGGCTTTTTTGAAAACCGAAAAAAACAGGCAGACGTGAAAAGAAACAACATAAAAACTGCTATATTTTGATAACACGCAAAACAGAAAGAAACATAAGAATTTTGCCCTTTTTTAATTATTTCTTTTTACTCTGATTTATTTGCAGAAACTTTATGCCAAGGCCATTTACGATAATTATGCAGACACGTCGGACGAGCTGGCCTTCAAGAAGGGCGACATCCTCACCGTCATCGAACAGGACACGGAAGGCATCCAGGGATGGTGGCTCTGCTCCCTGCGCAACCGACAGGTGAGTTGGGTCCTTCAAGGGATCTTCGGGATGAAAGGAACAAAGTAACCCAAATCAACGCATAAAAACCGTAGTCTGTAGAAGCAATCCGGTTTTCACATTAGAACTTTATGTACAATGGAAAAAAACCAAGGGATAGGGTAGGGATTCAAAAAATGCTAACTAATGATTAAAACACTTGGATTATGGAAATCAAGAAGAAGTCTGCTTGATTTTAGTATTTTTTCTTCTTACTTTTTTGAGAACAAGTGTTCTTGATATCAGGCGTAAGTCCATACTGGATCCTCTTGTTTTCAAAAATTCAGATTCTTTTCTTAAATATATCAATATATTAAATATAAATTCCAGTTAAGCTTACCTAATTTTCCCTCTGTGTAATGCGTTCCCCAATCCGACCTCACAGGAAACCGCCCTTCATTTTATTCGGTCTTTTGTTTCTCATTCCTCTGACTGAATTTCTTGTTTTGGTTCTTAAATTATCCCTTTGTTTTTTTTTCGTCTGGGCTCTGTCTGCATTCGTAATTAAGCGATCGAAACATTTGCATAAATTTTACCATTTCATTGCGTCGAGAGGGCTAGAAGAAGAAACTCATTTAAATTTTTAATTTAATTTTCCGTAAGTATTTGTTTTGCTGCACTCCGTCATCATCATCGCAGGGGCACGTGGCCCAATTGATGGCGCTGCATGCGGGAATCCGTCTTTAAAAGAGTCTGTGCTTGTAAATTACACATTTTCTGGATTTTTAATTGTGGTTGCAGCCGTAATAACAATCATCATCAAGATTATAGCCCTAATGTCTTACATCACAGAGGGCGGATGGGGCGTGGGCATTACCAGGCGATTGCCAAAGTGCATACAACATTATCATTATCTGGTCTTTGGTTGAGCACTGGGTAAAGAGGTCGAAGCTGTTTGCTCCGACTTTGATAGCAAACATAATGGAAATAATGTGATACAGTGTTTGAAGCGATTGAGATTACATGGTGTGAAGTATTTAGATAATGGTGAGATCTTTAATGCCTGGAAAAGGATTGAATAACTGTGAAAAATACCAATGAAAATGTTCCAACGAGTATGATTTACAACTAATCTAGATCTACAAAGGTAGTTCTTCTTTAAAGATGAAACTGGTTTATTACTAGTTGAGATCATATTGTTTAAATAATGATAAACTAGAAATATGTTTAGATATTGGAAAAATGTACTTATGCTTTGTCTTATATTGAGGATCTTTTTGATTTTAAGCGCTCTCAAACTTTCTAATCGTATATTCATTTATCAATCGCACCCATTTCCATACGAGACTTTGGCCTCAATTCTGCGATTTTGCTAATTATCTCAGCGCGATCACTCGCCCCGGGCAGCCTTGAACTCTCCCCCTTTGGGGGAGGTAGTGCTAAGCCCCCCAAGAAAGCCAAGAGCAAAAAGCCTGAGACCAAACAACTTTTCAAACTGAGGCAAAATTTTAAATTTCTGCACGTCGTTCGGCGGCAATTTTTAATTAACAACTCAATTGGCGCCGCACAAAATAAAAACAAGCTCATTGGTTGGTTGGTTGGGGCGGTCGGCGATGGTGATGATGATGATGGTGTCAAAACATATATCAAAGTGGAAATCAAAAGTGCCAGGCTATAGATATGGATACCTCTGAACGCCATGGCGATACGGTGTACTATGCCGGCCAATTGTCGCTAATTAAAAAGTAGAGGCAGCTTTTTAATGGAAACAATTAACCCAAAAACGGTCAATTGAGTGCCGACAACAACGTGTGGCATAAATATTAACAGCAACATAAATAACGGTGGCAAAAACGAAATCAACTTTCGGCATACATTTTTAGCTGAAACACATGTTGACAAGATTTTCTGTCCACTTTGATGTGGCATATAGTTTTGGAGAATCGCACGAATCTCTGTCAAAAACTTGCATTCAGCATGTCAGACGTTCGAAAACGACAAGAAATGTGTCTTGCAATTAAAACCAACACATAAGAAAAATTGCATTTTTGTGGGTTATATTTTTCCATGAATTTATATATGTTTTCATTAATAATTCATAAAGCGTTGAGTTGATTAAAAGCCAATCGAAATCAATTGAGATCAATGAGGCAAGGCATTCAGTAATTTATAAAGGCGTAGCATTGCAAAAGTTTCGCAAGTTTTTTATAAGGGGAAAAACTTTAGTTTTTTGTCAATTTTTTTGTTTATTTTATATTTGAGTTAAGCTTTCATGGTTCGAGTTATGTAAGTTTGAGTGTATTTTATTTATTTCTTAGCCCGGTAATTAATTTCGCACTAAAGTCGACATCCCAACTAAATCTCTCCCTATTGCTCTACATATATTTTCAGGGTCTTTGCCCGGGCAACCGGTTGCGCGTGCTGAACTCGTACGACTCTGGATGCTTCTCTCCGTCGCCGGCCAGCTCCCCGATTCCATCGCTGGCGGCCAGCACAGCCACGCTGAACAGTTCCATCTGCTCGGCGGAGATCTACGAGAACGGTTCCATCATCAGTGCGGCATCGGGATCCTCCTCGAATTCAAACTCAAACTCTGGAGGGAATGGAAATGGAGGCACGAGAAGATCATGGCACGTCTCACCGAACAAGGTAGGTTGAGTGTTCCAGCTCGTCCTCGTCCCGGATGACTTGTCAATTTCTTAATTTTACGCTCCGTCTGCCTTTTGAAAACAGGGATTCGGGAGGAAGTGCATCTTAATTGATTTCGTTTCTTGGCCACTTTTTGCATCCCCTTGCGTTTGGCTACTGAATTATGATATTTGTCGGGAAAGTGAAAGAAAGTCATTTCTCGGCTCCTGTGGTTCGTTTTTCGTTTTCGCTCCATCATTACGCTGCTCTGAGGGGTCCATCGCTCATCCATCTGCATCTGCATCTCCACGATCCATGCGAATGCGATCCAATCCCCTGCCTTTTTCCACGTCAACTGCGTGTCGTAATTGTGCAATTAATAAGAGTTGCGAGTGCCGATCCTCTCGGTTCACGGGGATAGCTATAAAGCTATAGCCTCTTGGGGTCCGCAGCTGTCCAACTGGTTTCCCCTTTTTTTGCATACGACTCAGCTCGTAATTTGCCAATTTGTCAGCTGGACATGCGTTTTATTTGCATTTCTTTCACTTTGATTCGATTTGATTTGCAAATTAAAGGAAACGAGCAATTTGGCATCGGAAGAGCACGATTGCAAGATCAATAGAGAAAGATCATCCAGGAAGGTCTAAGATCTATCAAATAATCATACTTGGGTAGTGTCATCCCAGGGTTCAAATTAATTGACCAACCTGACCATTAGCATCCCAAGAGCTCGCTGACCTTTCGGCAATCCAGACACACGCCCACATCCATGGATATTCGATGGTCGATGGCGTGTAGTGACTTTCGCTTTCCCAACTCGCCAACTGACTGACTGACTCGCAGGCAAATCAAATAAAATGAAACCCAAATTACAGAGTCGTAAACATTTCCTCGCATTATCGGCAGCTATCAATCTTAACTGGAGGCAAGTGAAACCATAAATTCAAATTCGAACTGGAGGAGAGCCAGCAATTTGGCTGCCCCACTGGTGGAGTTGTTGGCGAAGATTTGAAGAGAAACCTTTTGCCCATAAAAGCTGCCTTTTGTTCGTGTTCGATTTTATTGACTCGAGGAAAATCTCACCACGCGAGGCTGTCTGTCCACTCGAAGGCGTCAAAAGCCATGTGGGGGATGGCTTCGAACATGCACTTGACCCATCATCCGGTGGCATCAAGTGCAGGAGATTCCCCTTTGGAGTGGAGGAGCACTGTTGACCCATATCGATGGGATGTATACAAGATATGAAACTAAATTTGTGGAATTATTATTACATCACTTACTAAAAACATTCCTCGAGCTAATTGAGAACGGAAATGTTGCGCAATCGTTGGGCTGCGGTGGACAGATATCCGTACCTCGGCCATCCCACATGGGTTTACTTTATGGGCCGACGAGGAAAACTCGCCTGCGCCGTTATTTCAGTCGGCAGCCGCAGCAGCCGCCAGATTGTGTGACAATTTCGAGTTCCTTGAGCCCACATACAGACAGACAGCTCCACAGCTCCAAGCTCCACTCGATCCAACCATTCCACCTCCGTCACGCACCGACCATAAAGCCAAAAGCAACCAAGAGTCAGGTGGCCAGTGGCCAATGGCCAATGAAGATTTATGGCCAGATCCAAAACGAGCGAGAAAGAGACTTTGTGTATTTGAGCAAAACATGTCATTTTTATTTTACTGCCCAAAAATGGTTAAAAATGCAGCCAAAGCAGCCACAATAACTCTTTTTTATTTCGGATTCTGCGGAGATTTGTGCGTGACCAAAGTCGGAAGACTGCAGAGCTGGAGAACTGGAGAGGATTGCTCCTTTCGGTCCGGCAATGCGGATTCACTGCGAAAGCGGTGAAATCATCTCCACAAGGTCGGCATAACCACATTTCTCTACTCCCCATTGGAGTTTTCCTTACTTGATCACAGATCCCTTTGGAAAAGATTCTCTTGTGATTAACATTTTCCATACAAATGTTGATTTTGTTTTGTTTCGTACGTGAGAAAATGCTAAAATTTTGATTTGAGCGCAAGAACCCGAGAAATGCGTGGGCCAAACATGGTTCTTTCTTTTTTTTAGGAGGCAGGTGTGCCTCAGAATGAAAGAAAGGAATTGAAGGAGCATTTAAAATGCAGGGAACGAACTTTGAAACTCCGAAGATGATTATCTCGCGTTTGCTACTGTTTTCGGGTTCGGAATTTAAACGAGAACATAAAACATGGTTCTTTCGTCGTGTAAAAGATCTTTACACTCCCAGAATCTGGAATTACTCATATAGCATGTGTGGGGAATAAAAACTGTGGCCCATCAAAAGGCAATTATAATTGAGTTGAGTTGTTCGAGCGAAGGAAAGCAGACTTTAATGGTCTGTCTCTTTCTGTTGGCCTCTTTGCCTGCCCAACCCATGAGGTGGTTTGCCCCAAATGTGTCAAAAATATACAAATCTGTGATATATACGCCTTGGAAGAGCCGAGAGCCGTTCATTTGGGTCACTTAGGCAAAACAAAGAGGAAATTTCCAGCAGGAAAAGTCACGCGAAAAGAGAGTCCCAGCATGTGGGTCGGGTCGCCAGGAAACCAAACCCATAAAGACAATGGATAACTCCTGCTGGGCCCTGTTCCATTTAGGGATTGCACAACTGATTGCAGTTCTTGAGACTGACTTACTTTCAGGTGGTCTAGTTGCTGCCTTCTCTTCAAATGACCGGTTGCCGACTCGGATCAGCTGCCCCGATCCCCTGATTCACCGATTAGATAATGGCATCCAGGAAAACCTCCCTGGATCTTCTCCGCTGCATCTGCAGCTGCAGCTGTTTGCTTTTATTTTGGCATTTTTCTTGAGCACTTTTTGTGTGTTGACTCGTGTTACGCGTCAATTGGCACTTTAAAACGAACCGGGTAAAGGACATACCCTATAGGGTATTTGAGGTGAAGTCCTGCCCTCAGGTAGAGGTTCTCTGAAAACAAACGATCCCCTTTTGAGAAGAACTTCCTGGCGTAACGGCTTCCCTAATTAGGAATCGATTCATTTCGAGGGGCGTGGCTTTTCTGCGGTGCGTGCCGCTTGGGCTACCGAAAATTGATGCTTTTGGCATATGCCAGCGTAGTAATATTTCATCGATCTATGCCAACATATGGCCTGGAATGGCATTATTTGAATTATGTGGCTTAAAGAGGGTAGAAAACAAGAGTTAAGCTCTTACCCTTACCCCTGGTGCAATGAAATTTTAATTTAGGAATTATGAGTAGTTCGTATAATGCGTTTTTAAGGAAATTAAAAAAAAATTTAGTTAGTCAAGATTATTATACCCTTATACCGATCAACGATTAATGTAAAAGCTATTTGGTTTTGCTTACTAACGCCTATCAACATGCAAACAAATTTTTAAGATCGAACCATTCATTTAAAAGTTATGGGCAAATAAAGAATTGGCCACGTGTGCAAGCAGTGCAAGCAGTTCCTTCCCTTCTTGCATATCTGCGTCTTCCTCGCACTTTATTTACTTGATAGGCGAGGTAATCGACTATTGCGTTATGTCCAGTTTATTTAGGCATTATGAGCAATTCGTTTTTTAAGGAAATTAAAAAAATTATTAAGCCACGATTGTTTTATTTACTACCGCACTTTCAGTTTGTTTTACCTTGTCCTTTACCTTGACACTGAACCGCCTTGAACTGTCCCACTATTTCCCTGTAGTATTTCCATTGCGCAGGCGTCGGAAAAAGGAAATTCCCCAACCATTTTCCCGACTTTTCCGCAACCATTGTCAGTTCTCTTTGGGCTGCACTCGCAGTCTGGTTTTTCCCTTCCGACAGCGACGTTTTTCTAAGCCGCAATCTTTCCGTTTTACAACCCATTTTTTGATACTAGTGCATTTTTGCAAGATGTGATAAGGAGAGGTCAAGAAGGTGGAGAAGTGCGAGGAAGGTGAGTGAAATGAGGAGCCACACCCTGTTTGATTTATGAGTTTTTTTGTTGAGTTTTAAAAAAGCAGCCAGACGTGGAGGGCAGGAAAATCGATAAGGCAAAGGGATAAGGGAATGGGGAGTCGTAGTAGTAGTGACTGAACCACCCAAACTGAAGTGAAGTTCAAATCTAATTCATACATTTTCCATCCGTTGCAGGTAATCACGCCACAGAGGCACGGTGATGTCTACATCTACAACTGCTCGCCAGGATCGCCAGCTACTGGTAGTGGAAGTGGGACAGGAACAGGGGCAGCCCAGCAGATCTACAGCAACCAAAGCATCTACCAGAACCTAGCCATGATGAACGGAGCAAACGGAGCAAACGGAGGAGCAGGAAATGGCAGCGAGTTCGAGACCTATGACATACCCAAGCCGGCCACGCCCGTGCCGCAGAACTACGATAGTCCCAGGAGCGGCGGAGCACTCCCGCCGCCGAGGACCCCCACCTCCATTGGCTCCAGCCTGGGCGCTCGCTTCGAGTCGCTCAAGAGCGTGGCCGCCTCCATCGAGGAGGAGTCCTACGATGTGCCCCGGCCCCTGATCTCCTCCGGCAGCAGCCTGCTCCAGCAGCAGCTGTCCCAGATGACGCCGAGCAGCTCCGCCTCCTCGCTGCTGACCAGCGACAGCCTCTCGCTGAGCTTCTCCAGCTCCAACCGCTCCTCGCTGGCCAATATGCCCGACTACGATATACCACGTCGCAATCCTCTCCCTGTGCGTCGTCAGCAGAGCGGTCTGGCCTACGACTTTCCGCTGCCACCGCTGCAGGAACAGGAGCAGCAGCAGCGAACCGCACCCGCCACCACCACCACCTCCGTCGCTACTACCACCACCACCAAAGAACTGCCGCTGGAGCTCAGCTCGGCGCTGGAAACCCTGGCCAAGCTGCAGCTCCAGACGACTGCCGCCATCAGCCGACTCCTCAGCTTCGTGGTGCCCAACTGGCGCACCCGAGCCCAGTTAGAACCGGCCATCATGGAGCTGAAGCTGGCTGCCCTGCGCCTGCGCACCGCCCTCCACGACCTGGCCGAATTCGGCGAGGGAGCCCTGGGCAATGCCACCCGCTCGGAGGACCGCAACCTGGCCCTCAAGCTGCGGCCCTTGGTGCGGGCTCTGCGGGATGCCAACAAGCTAATACACGACTCCTCCGAGTCCCTCGACGCCCAAGGCGGCTGGTCGGTGGAGCAGCTGGCCCGGAATGACGACAAGCACGGCTGCCGGCCGCCCGATGCGCTGGACCAGCTGATGGCCTGCGCCCAGACGCTCACCGAGGACGTGCGCTCCACCACCAGCTTCATCCAGGGCAACGCCTCGCTGCTCTTCAAGCGGCAGCTGGTGGCGGATGCGCAGAACGGAGGAGCAGCTGCCGTCGAGGGCAGTCGGGGCAGCGCCGAGTGGCTGGAGGACTACGACTATGTGGCCTTCGAGTCCAAGGATGCGGCAGCCCGGAAGAATCAGGCTTTGCGAGAGGCCATTCCCGCTGGCTTAAAGACCCAGTTCGATACGGTGATCCGCACAGCCGAGAGCTCCGCCATGGGCGGCACTACCGGCACTCCCGGATCGATGCCCACCACGCCCACAACGCCCTGCAAGTCGCCCGAGATGACCGACAAGGACAAGAAGCTGGTGCGCTACTACGCCCAGCAGATCTCCACGCACATGGGCAACCTGATGCAGGCCATCGACTCCTTCCTGGAGACGGTGGAGAAGAACCAGCCGCCCAAGTACTTCATTGCCTACGGCAAGTTCGTGGTGGTTAGCGCCCACAATCTGGTGACCATCGGGGACAACGTCCACCGGAACATCTCGAAGGAGGCGCTGCGCGAGAAGATCCTGCGGTGCACGAACTCTCTGTCCGACGCTTTAAAGACCTGTGTCTCCAAGTCGAAGAAGGCGGCGGCCCACTTCCCCAGCGGCAGTGCCGTCCAGGAGATGGTCGACTCGGTGGTGCACATCAACAGTTTGGCCAGGGAACTGAAGGCGGTCATGCTGCAGGCTGTGCACCTGTCCACGGTGGCGGGAGTGGGCGCCTAAAGAGAGAACCCGATCCCCATCCCGATCCCCAAGCCCAGTATTAGCTGAAAAGGCGTGCAGCCAAGTCTTCCAGCTTTGTCCACGCTTTGGCAGATGTTTATATCTGAAATTGGCATATCCTCCTGCGCCGATTGTCGCTTATATTTTGCATTGTGATATTTTTGAGCAAAACATCTGAAGAAAATGCACAGCACACCGCAGTCCAAGATCGACCGAAAAACGAACCAGATTATTCTAAGTTTCGATTCTGTACATAGTATCATAGTATCATAGCTCATCCTAGCCTCCGAACTATTGTAAATTAGCATATTCCTTAGTCCCCATGCCATGCGCACAAGCAATGTTGTATCAGTGAAGCATTTCAGCGTAGTTTTGTATACTCTAGGCTTAGGATCGTACCACATAACATAATCTGCTTAGATTAAGCACGCATATTTAGTACTTGCATAGTCAGAATCTGAAAGATTTACACTCAACATTTTGCATTGTGCCGCGGCAACGATAGTCAGCAATATACGAAGAAATACACAAATAAATCGTAATCTACCAAGTAAACTGTATGTAATATGAACCGTATAGGTGGGACTGGCCCCTGGAGAGCGGCCCTTGAAATAAATTAAAATAAACCTAATCGATTTGGTCTTGAACTACTTAAATAAATTAAAAGGGACCCACATTTGAACACAGATTGCATAACATTTAAAAAGACCGCCAACGATATCGATAATCGGACGTGTGAAGGTGCCTTAATCGATTGGTTTTGATTTATCGGTAGGTGTTGGTGTTTTCTAACACTGGATTCGGCACTTACAAAAGCTTTTTTTACCGTTTTATCCGGCGTCTTTAAAGCTTTTTATATTGTTGTGGTTTTCCCGGCCTTTTTAAGATTCGCCATGGTCGTCCCTGCTGTTTGCTGCCGCTGCGGCTCCGATTCCGAACCATACGCCCTTCCCTTTTGCGTTGGAGGCGCGTCGTACGAATTTCACTGTTTCTGCTGTGCCAAAACTCCGCCACGACAGTGCATCCATTGCAACGCGCCCGGCGATCTCAAGGGCCTCCGGAATCTGAACGAAAAGCACGCCAAGTGCTGCAAGGGGGAGGACAATCTTCACGTCTTCGTTTTCACCCAGCCATGGCCGCCGTTTCCCGAGAAGATTTCGGAGTCGGAGCAGGAGGAACACTGCGCCAGGACTACTCCTGTCAAAAGAAAGGCCAGGGAGCCACTACAGGTTACCGAAATGGAAGTGCTGATCCCGAATCCCGGTACTTTTGCCGATGAAGAGGAGCCTCCACTGCCACCCGAAATAGAACCACACATGCCAAATCCCATGACTCTGGACAAAGTGGAGCAGGAATCCCAGGAGCCGCCCCCCCAACCCGAAGCCGCCTTGGAACTGGTGATCTCGAGCCCCAGAACCCTGAGCGTAAGCGATTTCGATGTCCAGGAAACGATAACTGCCGTCGCGGTGACTGAGGAGAAGGACATAAAGCCCTCGGAGAAGGAGGAGCAAATGTGGTATACACCCAGCGAGATCCTCCGTTGGCAGCAGTGTCCGCGCTGCGAGAAAGTGCGCGTCACAAATCGCGGATGGATAACACACGCCCAGAAATGCGGCCAGAACCTGAAGTACAACAAGCCAACGTTCCACATTTACTGCCACACGAAGGGATGGTGCGACTATCTGATCAGGGACAGTCTGTGGGAGCAGCACAGCGATCCCAACTCCGGAACCTGCGACGTCTGCAGTGCCATGTATGTAGATAATCTAGGAATTTAGAATTACGTTAATTGTACTCTCAACTTACAGGCGTCGTGAGAGAAGACCTGTGCCCTTCATGCCCAAGGCGCCGGACCGTGTAAACGAGGACTACATGGCCAAGAAGAGACGCCAAAACTTTCGCTTAAATACGAAGCGCATGGCGCTTCTGTCCAAACGGAACCCACCTCGCCAAGTAAGGGCACCGCCAATATCTCTTGAATAGGAAGCGCAAGGAACTTCAGTTCATGCAAGTATGGATCGTGTTTGTTAAGTTTTTACTTGCTCTTCAGTATTGTTCGATACAAAACTGTCGATTACCAGAAGAAATATTACTTGTTACTATAATTACTGCTATCACTATAGTTACTATCATTAAAACTATATATATAAAATCCTTGAAATAGATAGAAGCATAAGAAGCTCAGTAATAGAGACAAAAAAGAATTTATTTATAATTTAAATAACTTTCGTCACGTTTTGTGTGTTCTCATTATAAGCGGTAGATACAAATGAAATCTCATGTGTTAACTTTTTATTTAAATAACCTAGCCTCATCGCAGAATCAAAATTAAATATATATGAATTTTCAGTTGTTTCTTATATGCAATTAAAATGAAATCCCACTTGCAAATATTTTATTAAAGTCATTTAAACCCTCATCACTTAAAAAATAAATAAAAAAGCAACCTCAAAGCTGAAAAATCGTTGATATCCAGACTCATGCAAGTATGGATCGTGTTTGTTAAGTTTTTACTTGCTCTTCCGTATTGTTCGATACAAAACTGTCGATTACCAGAAGAAATATTACTTGTTACTATAATTACTACTATCACTATAGTTACTATCATTAAAACTATATATATATAAAATCCTTGAAGTAGATAGAAGCATAAGAAGCTCAGTAATAGAGACAAAAAAGAACTATCTATATTTAATTATCATTTAAATAACTTTCGTCACGTTTTGTGTGTTCTCATTATAAGCGATAGATACAAATGAAATCTCATGTGTTAACTTTTTATTTAAATAACCTAGCCTCATCGCAGAATCAAAATTAAATATATATGCATTTTCAGTTGTTTCTTATATGCAATTAAAATGAAATCTCACTTGCAATTATTTTATTAAAGTCATTAAAACCCTCATTACTTAAAAAATAAATAAAAAAGCAACCTCAAAGCTGAAAAATCGTTGATATCCAGACTTTTCATCTTATTTTATCACATTCAAAATTGGCGCCATTTGCCAGATATCGATAATCACCAAACCGGTACTTTACCATTTCTATGGTATATTTTTGGTTTTTTATGGTACTTTTCGAACTGGTCACTTTTTTAAGTTTTCACGGGGATTCCCCATGAATTTGCATTAAAATTACTGATGAAATTAGTGACAAAATCATCGAATTGTAATCAATGATTTACTCAACAAAAGCTGTGTTTTGTCCTCGAGAGTTTTCATTGATGAAATGCGGAAGTTCAACACTGAACTGATAAGAAAAGTTTTGGCGGGCAAACCAAGCTGCAGTACGTGTATGTGAATACTGCAAATGCGTAGTACTCAAATGCGTATTAGTGTGTGTGACTGTGCCGATAACTGAGTGAATCAAACCCACATCCGCTTCTCGAGCGAAAAGTTCTCGGTTTCTCTAAATTGTACCATGAATATAGCGTGTTGCCGCTGTGGGGCTGCTCAAAACGGTGGCGCCCACTGCCTCCGTGGGGCCGTGAGCCACTGTTTTTGTTGCCACAAGCCGCCGCCGATGAAGTGCATCCATTGCGGCCAACTCGGCGACATTCCACTCGATCGAACCCACGGAACCTGCATCGATGGCAGTGCTCACTTCTACATCTACTCGCAGCAGTGGCCCCCTTTTCCGTCCACCGAAGTGGAGGTGATCCGCAGCAACCACGCCGTTTTGCCAGAGCCAGAAGACTCTGAAGGTCACAACCTGGTGATCACGAGTCCCAGAACTCTGGCGCACGAGGAGCACATCGAAGTGGTGGACGATCCCGGCGAGGAAGGGACCGAAAATGATGAGGAAGTCGAGGTTCAGGTCGACAGGAAGCCTTCGCTGGTGCGCTGGGTGACCCCCAAAGAGATCAGATCGTGGAAACAGTGCCCGCGCTGTCGAAAGTATCGCACCACCAGTGTTGGCTGGGTCAAGCATGCCCAGAAATGCGCCCAGGACCCCTCGTTCAAGCGACCCATGTTCTTCATCTACACGCACACGAAGGGATGGTGCAACTACCTGGTGAGAGACGCCCACTGGGAGCGCCACAGCCACCCGGAGGTTGGCCTGGGCCAGTGCGTCATCTGCTCCGCCTCGTAAGAAGATCGGTCAAAAGATTCCCTTCATCTAACCATTCCACTCTCTTTCAGGCGGCGGGAGGGATTACCCAGGCCCTTCATGCCGGATCCTCCACCGCGGCCGAATGAAGAGTACTTGGCGCGGGCAAGGCGCCGTCGCGCTGCCATGAAAAGAAAGATGGGCCCGGAAAGAAGGAGGAATGTCCGGGTGGCCGGAGACAACCGCCCACCACAAATGTCGGCAAACAGGTCCAGAAATGCACCCAGTACACCACGTACCCCTAGGACTCCGAATTTTGTATCTACGCCCACGCGTGGGGATGATGCGACCATTTGGTTGGGCACGCACATTGGAAGAACCTCGGCCATCCGTCTTCTGTCCAGTGAGTATGCTGTTTCTGATGGGAAATTCTCCTAAGAGATGATAACACAAAATTTAATTTAAATGTTTTTTTTCAGGAGATTACAGGGAATAGTCAGTACAACCAAGAAAGGAATGCTGTCATTTAAAGAAAGATTGTGAGAGAAACGCCACAGAAGATCGTTTTCTACAATTTAAAATGTGAGCTTTTTGTGCTTTGATAAGGGTTTTTTCATTCCCTCCTTTTTATACAACACATTTGTTTTTAATTTTAATATAAAATAACTAGATATATCCATACGTGCAAAATAATGTTGTAAACACTCAATTATAAGCAAAGTATGATTTCTGATTCATAAATTATAATGTTGAAAATTGTATCTGACCAAGGTTAGCTTATAATCAAATGTTTATAATACCATGTTGGCTATTTATAGTTTTAAACGAATCAATCTGCTTAAAAAAAACAATATTAACGTCTTATGCATGCTAAGAATTTTATCAAATTTTGTTATACATTCTCTATATCAACTTTATTTCTTAATGTAGAATATTGCTGGTACAAAATAAATTAATGTTACCCCGACCATTAACCACAGCTCACGCATTCTCGGCGCACCGGAAGCCCAGATTGCCGGATAAGAATTTTTATCAAATTTTGTTATACATTCCCTATATCAACTTCATTTCTTATATAGAATATTGCTGGTACACTATCACGCATTCTTGGCGCACCGGAAGCCCAGATTGCCGGCCGAGCTGTCCTCTGTGTTTTGCGAACGTGCCGCACAGCGATATCGGTAGCAGTAGGATTTGTGGCACAGGTAGGAGCCGCCCTTCTTCACCCGGTTGGGGTTGTCGCTCACATCGTTGGCGTCCCAGAGATCGGCCGTCCACTCCCACACGTTGCCCACGATGTTGTGCAGGTCGTAGACGTTCTGCCGGAACGAATCCACGGGGCTGGTGAACTCGAAGCCGTCGTCGGCCAGGTTCCCATCGGGAAAGTCGCCCTGCCAGATGTTCAGCCAGTGCTCGTTCCTGGGCATCAGCTTGTTGCCCCAGGGGAACAGCTTGCGCTCCTTGCCGCCGCGACAGGCTGCCTCCCACTCCGCCTCGCTGGGCAGGCGCTTGCCCGCCCACTTGCAGTACTCCACGGCGTCGCGCCACGAAACATGGACCACCGGATGCCGGCCCAGGTTGTCCAGATTGCTGTCCGCTCCGTTGGGATGGCGCCAGCTCACCCCGGCCACCTTGTACCACCAGACGGCGCTGGCCACGCGGAAGTCCTCCAGGCGCTTCTGCTCCTCTGCGCTCAGGAGGCTCTTGAACAGGAAACTATCGCCGAAGCGCTCGGCCTCCGTTGAGTAGTTTGTAGCCCGGACAAACTTGGCGAAGGCATCGTTGGACACCTCGTACTTGTCCATGTAGAAGTCCTCCAGCTTCACCTGCCGCTCGGGACCCTCCCTGTCCGCGGGAAAGTGCGGATTGTCGGTGCCCATGTAAACGGATCTGCCGCCCGGAATGAGCGACATGTCCGCGATCTCCGGCTCCTCCAGTTCGCCGTAGTAATCCCGGTAGTGGCTCGCACCGCCCTGCGCCCGCTGCTGGCACACTTGGTCCGGGAGTGGCGCCGCCTTATCCTCATCCGCCTTCCGGTCCAGTTTCTGGCAGCCACAGTCGCTGGAGGCTTCATGGAGCAGAATTATCCACACAAAGACGGGAATTGTTTTCATGTTGCGGATTAAATAGTGATGTGGCGATGTTTTTGTTGATATCGATGCTAAGCGATGCATCGATATTTATACTCAACTCGTGACACGTACACAAAAACAATGCGGTTGCACACCTCTAGTGAAAGCTCGCTTAAATCTAGCGGTTCTTTTCCAGGGCAGCCATTTTGAAATATCACTTATAAATGTGATTAGGCAATTATTAAATTTAATTAAAACGCAGAATCCCAAACGGTCACAGGCACCAGGCAACATGCACTGGACAGTAATTGCAATTGTAAATACTTCCTGGGCGGCGGAGGAGGAGCCTTTGGATTCAGTGGATGCAACCGGGAACTCCAACAACTGCGAGTGTGAGTTGCACACATACATATGTCAAATAAATTATTTATGTAGCTTTCTTTCTACCAGCTTCACCAACAGCTATGGATAAGGAAACAAACTGCAGGCGTCGGCATTAGCATTTCTGGCCAAGGAAGGAGCAGCTGTACGGGGCGGCAACAACCAAGAGTTGTTCCCAAGGGAAAGGGATCCGAGGCTAGAAGAACGCGTTAGCAGCGACCAAGAAAGTGAGAGGATCGCTTCGAACGGAACGATTGCAGCAGGTCGCAGAGGCAGCAATACTACGACAATTATGCAGCAACAAGCGGAGGGATCACAAAGGGATTGGATCAATGGATTTCGCGGGACGTTGACGTTTTAGACACGAGCAACGAGAGTGCACAGCTAACTATATAACCAGATCGAAAGGAATTTCACCTGAGAACTGCGAGAAAGGGCCAATTCTCAAAGCTGATCTGTGCACAATCCGAAGTGCCCTTTTTTTGGCAGCTCCCCGCCCCGAGCCAAGTGGTGGGCCTACTTTAAGGTGCGCACTAATGCCGCGGAGTGCTGCTGCAGGTGGAGCAGCGTTAGGATCCGTGAAGCTACTTCCTTACCAGAGGCGCTGTAGCGCTCCAATACCCTGGACAGCGTCAAGAAATACAGGCACCAAGATGCACATTCTGGCTGGAACTGTAGAAAGATTTATCAAACCCACTTGACGACACAGACGTCAGAAAATAAAACCATTATTAATTTTTTTGTATATTTTTTAAAAGTTATTTTTCCACCTAGAGGACTACAAAAAATGCATAAACAATATTTAAAATTTTTGGCATTTTTCTCCACCGAAAGGTCCACAAATAAAGCATCAACATTTTCTCACAATTCCATATTTTTTTCCACCGTGTTGCGGGATTTTTGGATTTCAGATACCAGGCGAACAGAAAAATCAGCAGGTCGCCACCCCCATTTTTTCGCTCTCACTAGAGATGTGTAGCCCCATGGGAATGTATGGGATTCCCTTGTTTATCGGTGGATTGCCCATCTCTAGTAAGCTTGTCCTAATCTAACGGTTGTTTTCCATGAAAGTTTGACTCGAAGGGCAGCCATCTTGAAAAAGAACCGTTATGTGAGCGAGCTTTGAGTTTTCAGCGGCGACCTGCTACTCTTTCTGCGCGCCTGGTATCAAAAATCGAGAAATTTCTCTTGAAACGCTTAAGTCGAAGATTACGGTAAATCTTGAGCCGAGTTTGGCACAAAAATGCACGAAAGCCAGACAAAATTTTCGGTACGACCGCCCAAAAGTATGCTACAAAATATTTAATTTGACGTTCCGCCATAAAAATTCAGTGTTTATTTACATTTTAATGTTGTTTATTATAATTACTTGTAGTTTTTGAAATGTAAGTCCATTGTTTAATAAAGAGAAAATGTTCAGAAACGAGAAAGTCACAGTTGCACATGGTAAAAACATTAGAAACGATGCGTACAAGTTAAATAAGTTTAAATTAGTGTATGGCGCAATTATCGTTGTTAACAAAACTATGATGTACGATGGAACTGGAGCCTGTCGCCCGTTGCCCGGAGCCCAGAGGCTATGCCTCGTTGGGCTTCTCGTGCAGCCAGGGCCGGAAAATGGGCAGCGTGGACGGATAGTGGGTGTGGGTGTCCGGCTTGAGCACCGACTCCGGCCAGGTGTTGGCATTCGCCGCGTCCCCGGAGTGCCGGAAGGGGTAGGTGGCCAGCACGATGGGCAGCTGCAGCTTGATCTCCTTCTCCATGGACTTGGGCTCGATGACGAAGAAGACGTCGTAGGCGATCTTGATCAGGTGGCAGCCATGCAGGTTCGTGGGGGGCAGGGGCGGCACGTAGAGCTCGTTGTGCCACTCGTCCTTGCCGCCGGGACGAATCTTGCCGCGCACCAAAACAGCCAGCTCCCGCTTTTCCGTCTGCACCACCTTGCCGCGCGCCAAATATTCAATGGTCTGAGGATTAAGTGGAATTAATGGAATGATTAAAGGAAACTGTAATGAAACCTTCACCTCTGTGAGCGACGCCTTGGTTCGCTTGATGGACACGTTGCTGTAGTTGGAGATGAAGGCGGTGACCAGAATGTTCTCGCCCGGCACATAGCCACCGCGGTCCAGGGAGACCCGGCACTTGATTTGACCTCCGCCCACGCAGACGACGCCCAGTTTGTGCTCCACCTCGCAGGTGAAGGGTTGCTGGAAGATCCGGAAGGTTAGCTCTTTACAAATGAAGATTACTAAACAGCTACTCACTGCCAGGATGGGCTTCTCCAGGTTCAGGTCGATGGGGTTCATGACGATGAAAACCTGGTGGTTCTTGTGGATGATGCCGTTGTTCTCGCGCAGCGCCGCCTTGCAGTAGAACTGGATCCAGCCGTAGCGGCCGAGGAAGGTCGACGGCAATCCCAGCGGCAGTCCCAGCTTGAAGGGGAAGCTGTGAATGCCCGGCGAGAGTATGGCCGGACCGCCCTGGTCCACGTCGCCCAGCAGCCGCATCCGGAAGTCGATGTAGTTCTCCTTGTCGTACGTCCGCTCCTGCCGGCGACCATTGCGCACCACGCCCTCGCCCACCACATGGAAATGGAGGCCCAGGGCCGGCGTCTCGTCCTGCAGCTCAATGAGGACGCGGCCGGAGAGGAACTGGCCGGGGAAGTAGAGCAGGGAGGTGTTGTCGAAGATGATCAGGAACTTAAGCAGCTTGCGCGGCATCTTGTGTCCCTCTTTTCGCTGCTTTCATCGGCTTCGTATGATTTGTGTGCCTGGAGATGAAAAGTCAATGAAAGTTTCGAGTTAGCAATTATTTTTGGCACCGTCGACGTCGCGCATGCGTCAATTCGGTTCGCGGTTTGGCTAATGACAACACTTATCCGTCATACTTGGCTGCGTCTGCCTACCACTGCCCTCACGATAAATACATATGTTTGTTTGCATATTTATGTGGGTAGCACATCTAGGCGGGCAAAGGAAGCAAAACCAGTTTGGTGTGGCCCCAGAGTTGCTGCAGCACGAGAGCCACATCCGCAGCAAGGTCAGCACATGGAGCAACCAACTCTGGGCCAGGCCAGAGTCAAGTAGGTAGGTACATCTTGCCAAAACCAAAACCAACAGAGAAACCAAAACCAAAACCGTGAGGCTGCAACTGCCATAATCGGCGAGCCAGCTCGGTTCAGTTCGGTGCAATGGCTGGTTGACAAAGTCGGGGATTGGGAATTGGCATTCCGAAGAGGAAACTGACGTAATTTCCTCGTGGAAAGCGGATTCCCACCAGTCCAATGCCCAATGTGCCATTGTGTGGACCACATTCATGTACTACTACTACTACTGTTCGACACTTTTGGCTGTTTCAACTACAGATCGATTGTTTTCTACAGATCTTTGTGGGCGCACTTGAAAGAATGATCGCTTTTCGAATACCTGTACACACACAGAGGTCTTTTTTTGGCCAGATCGGAGCCCAATCCAGTCCAAACCGTTCCGATACGACCCGTTCTGGCTCTGAGCGCGTGCTAACTTGGCTCGATCTCAACCGCGCTCGCTAGCGTTTGTTTAGCAACTGATCGTCGTCATCGTCATGCATCAGTTTGCGGCTGAGAAGGCCGAGATGGCCGAACCACTGAACTGAACAACTTGTTTTGAGCGCATTTCGGAGAGGGATTCCACCGGAGAGCAGAGAGACCGAGAGATCCAGCGATCCAGCTGGAGCCGAGGCTAGATGTCGTAATATGCCAATCAGTAGCCCCACAGCTTTTGTTTTTATTATGTTTTCTATACACAAACTGCATGGGTACACCTAAAAAAATCGAATAATAAATGTTTTAATTGAGATAGTCTAATTTAAAAGGAGAAGAAATCAAGGCGAAAGTACTCTCTATTTTGTTGTTCGAAATAAAGCGATCTTGAAAAAGAGATAAAAGTGGGTTTGGAAAATCGTTCTGGAAATCAAGACGAAAGCAGTCTCGGTTTTGTTGTTCGAAATTAAGCGATCTTGAAAAAGAGATGAAAGAAGGTTTGAAAAATCGTTCTCGAAATCAAGATGAAAACAAAATTAAGCGATCTTAAAAAAAGAGATGAAAGTAGCTATCCAGTAGGTTGATAGTTCTCTTTTGAGATCGATAGAATGGCTTTTTTTGAGTGTTCGTTTGCCTTTTAATCAGCTACACAGGATACGCTTAATACGCCCCTCTTTTGCAGGTGATTCAACCGGACCGGCCTGACCGACAACAAAAGACCAAAACCAAAACAATGGCAACTTGATATGGAGAACCCTTAGAACTTTTCGCCTTTCTCAACGTAACGTTTCACCACATCGGCGAGTCCCCCACAATATCTCAAAATAAACCGATTACAAGAGCAATTTGCTAATCAAATTTGGCAATGCTTGCACAGTCGCCACTCCAAAGGCAAAGCAGGTGTACATAGTTAACTTGTGGGACTCAGTCGTCGCACCTAGAAATGCTTGACTTATAAATCCGAGAGCCTTATAAAACCAAGCCTGTATCCAGTCAACCAAACGTGTGCAGACATAAATGCATTAAGTGGCACACATTTATGCATTATGCATGCAATTCATACCGGTTTATGTTGTTGTCTTTAGGTATCCAAATCGAAAACCGAAGAACCTCAACTGTAACTCATGAAAATGAAAGGCCAAAAGCCAAGCAAACTATCAAAAGAAAACAGAAACCGCACTAGCTGCGAAAACCGAATCGGCTGGCGATTGGCTTGGCTTTTTACCTGGGAGTTAATTTGGTAGTTGGTCTGTTCTCTTGGATACCTCGTTTTCTTTTCTAATTAGTAGACATTGGATTATAGGGAGAAATCCTAAACATACTGGCGATCTTTTATTAAAGATCAATTACTCTCAGAATTATCATACAGAAAAGGGATATTTCAAAACAAATTTAGCGAGAGTGTGTTTGCCAATCAGAATTCCACATTCCTAATCATTTGTGCAAAAGACTAAACAAATCATTTCTCTTTAGTTAATTTGCCCAAGTTTCTTTTCCTTAGATTTCTCCCAACTACATTAGTGACACTTAGTGGTAATAATGGCTGGCGTTTTCCATTTCTATGTTTTCTCGACTTAATTGCTGAGAATTGTTGACTTATAATGACCCATGCCTTCGCCACGAAGATGGATTGAAACGAGCCTCGAAAGATTTCCCGTTTGCGGTCTGGGTTTGCGTACAGAGTATCTCGAAAATTAGTTTACCTCGGATGGAGACGTCTATACTTGTTTGTGGGTCTACGAAATGATAATCGACTAGTTGGGCTCGCTTGGAGTTTCGGGTAGCCAACAATTAAGTCTGCTGGAGTCTGTAGTCAGTGTGGTTTCGTAGCTGCTCCATGCTGCTCCACCACCGGACTTCAGCCGATCGGAGATCTCTGAGTTTCGACTCCGTTTATCGCTTCGTTAAAGGCCCGGCTTTACAGACTCTACAGTAATTATAGTAAGCCTACCTCCTCCGTATTTCTTTCATAATAGTAGCGAAAGCCAGAGGCCTGGCGGCAAAGAATATCTCGGCGTAGCATCGACTGTGGCGGGGAGTGGCCGTGGTCTTAGCCATAAACTTACCCACGATACCGTAAAGTACAGTGAAGTGAAGTGAAGTGGGGCCCGAAGAGAAAAACAAAAGGTGTTTCTCCGACAAATCGGTGGTGTGGAGAGCGGTGGTCTGTGCGTCTTGGCCACTGTTTTCGCTGCTCTTGGCTTCTTTCTCGTACTCCCTGGCTCGCTCTTAGTCGAATGGAGTTGCTTTTAAGTCGGACTTGGCCGTCGGAGCGCCTCAGTTGTTGCGATGAGGCCGAGCGCGCTGGTAAGAAACTGTTCGGTTCGGTGTTGAGTTGGTCCAATCCTCAGTCGGGCAGGTGTAGTGCGAGAAAGTTGAAACTGTAACAGGGGGCCAGGCACTCGTAACCGTAACACAACAGCCCCCTGTGAGTCATCATCCCATCCATCCAGTGTTTACATGGAAGAGCCCGTTCTAGTTGTTCCTCGATCGTATCGATGCCGTGAACACATGTCATGTTGCCACAGAGATTTGCATAATTGGCTAATTGCCCATCTTGACACGTTGTTAACGGATGGAAGCGCGGAGAGAGCAGGCGCACCAGATTCTGGCGAAGAACTGTTAGCCAATTGTCTACTCCGTTTACAAGCGGTTGAGCTGCATAAATTACACCGAATGTTTTGTTTGCCCCTCGTCTCGGACTTATACAATATCTGAATTTGCATATGTACAACCGAGTATTCGATTGGCTAACCCCTTTTTATGCGCTGTTTCCCCAGCAGACACAATGACTAGTGAGCCAGCGGTTAATGGCTTTGGGCCTCAGAGCTCGGCAGCGCCGGGAGACGACGACGACGAGCTGCTATCCTCCCTCTCGGACAACCTGTCGATTTGGATCGACGGCGAGGAGCACTGGATATCCGGCGTGGACGCCAGCACCACCTGCGCAGATCTTATCGGCGCTTTGATCAGCTACCAAAGCGTCCAGCAACAACATGTGCTGTTCGGCAAGGCGGAAGGACAAGGACTCGCAGATCCGCAGGAGTTTGCCATCGTGCAGAAGCAGCGACACTACGAGGAGTACTTGGACGGCAGTGCCAGGCTCTTTGATGTCATCACCAGCCGTCACGCTTTGCCGAAGGAGGAGGAGGTGAGTAGAAGAAGTGGTTCAACTCCACACGGAGAGAATTCTGACGTTCTCAGGGGAGTTATTAATGTTCTAAAAAATATAAACGTTAAATTGGCGTTATTAACAATGTTTACCTCAAGAAATAAACAATTAGTCCCGTCAGTAGTGTATACTTATCAAAAAGTTTTGAAACAAATTCAATTTAACTTTTTTCTTCACCCAATTTTGTTGTCCTATTGGGAACATCAACCAATGTTCTGAAATCAAGAGCATTTACTCTTACGAGCTTTTAAAGAACAAATGTTCTCAATTCAGGAATTATATTTTCTCTCTCTGTGAAGCTGAACGTTTCTCACCCTTATTGTATCGACAGTGCCAACTTCAGCTTCGCCATTTGGTCAATTCCACCCGCAAGATTACATCGACAACGGATAAGGACAGTGGAATGGGCAGTCCAGTGGACAGTTCGCGAAGCATGCGCTTCCGGCGGCGTGGTAAGCACAAGGTGCTGCCCTCCACTAAGATCACGGAAAACACGAGCACCAGCACCAAGCAACCAAAGAGAAGCCGGAAGCCGCAGCAGAGAAACCACGGAGCCATGACTCCCAACGAGAGTCTGCTGACCATTATTCTGGCCCAGGATGAGACCATACTCCAGCAGATGTCCATGTTGCAGTGAGTTTATGACGCCCTCTCCGAATATCTCTGATCCTAATCGACGACTTTTCACAGCGAGAAGGATAGGCAGATACTTAAAATCGAGGAGGAGAAGCACCGAGTGCGGGAACGCGAGTTGGGTAAGAATTACCTGCTTGAAACGTATCTAAAGGACTTGGATGAGCCCCAGGAGAACGGCCCACCAGACCTAGAAGACTTCGAAGAGGATATACAAAGGTTACAGGAGGATGGTAACTATGAAATTCAATCCATACCTAAATCCTCTACAAATGATGTAAATTGCCTTCCCAGATAAGGACTTCCAAACGTCTAACGACGAGATCCGACTCCACTGGCTGGAGAAGATTCACGCAGTCAACAAGCAACTGCAGCGGGAGGAGGAACTGCTGCTCAGCCTGCACGCCAAGGTGCGCAGACACCAGGTGAAGCGGGCGTATCAGACGAAGAGCGAGGTGCTGCTGCAAATCGATCGACTCGATTCAGAGCTGTCGGCTCAGGTGGCGGATATCCATCGAGTGGAACGGAAGCTTTTCACGGCCAATGAGCAGCTAAAAGCGAAGCTTGGTGTGCTTGAATGTTTGGGCCGCGAATTCGAGACAACGTTCGCATCGGAAGTCGATCAAGAAAGCGGGGAAACTGCAGAGGTGGAACGAAGAACAGATGATGATCTCCAGCCGTCAGTCTCAGTGGGAGGTAGTAGTTTAGTAGCTCATCACTCCAATCGCCGCGTAAGCCGAGAAGAACTCACAGACCGCAACTTGAAGGATCGACAAATTCTAGACAAGGGTTTGACAAAGCAAATGTTCAATGTGAGCCAATCACCAGATCCTCCTCCTACCTCAAAGATCCTCAGAAATCCCGGAGATATCTATTCACAAGCGGACATTCAACACCTGGGCACCCTCGTTTGAAATCGGGCCAAGAAGAACCTGTACCTGTGGTGGCTTTCATTCAAGCATCTCGTTAAACGTATTTTGAACATCAGAAACCAAACTTGTGTCAACTAACCAAATAGAGATTTCATTCTTTGTTTATGTTTAACACTCGAGTGTTTCGTGGGGCAATATATGGCTTAGAAGGCTAAGAAAGCTGGACACCAATGCCTTAATTTACCTATGTTCTAGCGGACCTCTTCAACTGCTGCATGAATCCCGCATTGGGCTGAATGCACGGCCTCCAGGACTTGACCAGATTGTAGGCATCCTCGTAGCACATGTCCCGTCGCTGCATTAGATATCCGATGACCACGGAGGCGGATCTCGAGACGCCCGCGTTGCAGTGGACGAGCACACAGCCCTGCGATTGGCGCGCCTCGTCGATAAAGTCAAGCGAGACGGGCAGGACGTAGTGCAGCAGGTCGGTTTCCGGCAGATCCAAGCAGGGCAAGTACTTACATTTCACTGGCGTCGGCCACTCCACCTCCGGCGTCTCTATGCCGACGCTCAGAATGTGCGTCAGCTTGAACTTCACAACGTTCTCGGCGCTGACTGCATCCTGGGAGCCCAGGTACAGAAAGTCGCTCAGAATGCAGGCGGGCACAGCGTCGGGTTTGGTGTCCACCACAAAGCCGTATTGGCGCGGCTCCAACTGCTGCTGCGGACTCGAGGCTGCGCCCTCCTGGCTGCTCCGCCGCTCGATGAAGCGGTTGCCGGTGGTCGTGGTCACCACAGTGGCGGTGGGCCGCAGGTTGGCCAGCCGCTTTTGCAGCTCATACAGCAGTATCATTTAGTTTGTTTCACTTCGGTAATGCACTCGGCACAGGTAGAGCCCGCAGGCCGGCGCCAGTTCCACGCGGTGATCCCAGGAATGCTTGGAGGGAATGGTGAGCATCTGGTAGATCGACCTTTCGTCGATGCGCCCGTTGCCCAGGGCAATCAAGGCGCCGACAATGCGCCTCACTTGCTTGTACAGAAACGACTTGGCCTTGATCTCGATGTCCCAAAAGTCGTAGGTCTCAGCCGCCCGAGTGGCGTTCGTGGCCAGAGCGAGGGTTTTGCCTGGTCGTATGTTAATCTCGTCGATTTTGCGCACTGTGAACATGGGGTGATCCCGACTGGGGCCTTTCTGTCGGCTGACGCTCATAAAAGTGCGAAAGTCGTGGAGGCCAATGAACGTGCGAGCCGCCGCTCGAACCCGCTCGATATCAAAGCTGTGCGACCTGGGGAGGAATAAGGCGATTATTCATAAAGGCGAGGGATTTGCTAGGCTTCTTACTGCAGAAAGTAGCAGCGATCGATTTCCTCCACGGGTACGAACGCCTCGTAGGACCTGTTCCGCAGATTCTCGCCGTCTCCCGCGGGCGGATCCTTGGCCACGGCAAAGCGGTACAGGTAGGTGCGTCCGGTGGCGTGGTAGCGACAGTGGAAGGTGTCGGCCACCAACTGGCTGCCGAGCACACGGATAGGAAGACGCTGCTTGTCGAGGGTCCGGTTGAGGACCCCCACTAAAGTGGTGGTGTCGTAGGGCTTTCCATTAGGCCGCTCCAAGTCGACGTGCACCGTCGAGTGCAGGGCGTGGACTCCGGCGTCTGTTCTAGAAGGGATTGTATGTAGATTCCCTAAGGACAGAATCCCATTAGCATAACTTACCGACTGGAAAGAACGGTCTGTATCTCGTTGGTGGGATGAAAAACTCGCAGCGCGAGCTCCAAGCAGCCTTGAATCGAGTTGGTGTCCAGGCGCGACTGCTCCAACTTGTTCACCGTCTTCTGGATACCACTGTAGGATGGTGGAGCAACTTATTAACCAGCCAGGTTCTATATTCCATTAATACTTACCGAAAAGTCGTGCCAATGTACGAAATGTGCAGCAAATACCTGTGCATGTTATGTCGCGCCTCCCACGCTGCTAGAGATGGACCGCAACAGCTGGCGTAAAAATATCGCAAAAGCTCTAGAGGTGGGAATAAGTTCAAGTGACAAAATTCAAAGCAGGAAATTAAAGGGGGATTCCCTAAACTGTTGAATTGCTGAATTGTTGAAAATTCAACAAAAAATTTCAGCAATTAAGGGAACGACCCAAAATGGTTCCTGTTGAATTTTCAAACAGCTGTTATTTGTTGAAAAGTTTCACGGAACTTAAAGCATGTAAGCATGATTTATTATTGCTAGTTACTGTCTAAAAGTGTTAGCAAGGTAAAAAGAACCACAAATATGCTTTCTAAGTTGATTTTAAAATAAATAATGCGTACTGGTGATACTAAAATGTTACAGAGTTGCCACGACTTTCAAAAAAAGGTGACAACTCTGGCTTTTCAGCAATTCAACAAAATTTTCAGCAGCCCCGAGGCTGATGAATTGCTGAAATTTCTGAAAGTTGACTTTGTATGGAACAGCTGATTAACAGCTGACCAAAATTCAACAATTCAGCAATTCAACAGTTTAGGGAATCCCCCTTAAATTAAATTAATTGTGTAAGGTAATCAATATAAAATGGAAAAACGAAGGACTCACCTTAATTTTATATTTAACTTACTTATTAATTTACTCTGCTAAATATGGAAACAAATGGCCATCGATCGCCAAATCGACTATATTCGATACATTGCCAAATCGATTTTGGGCATTAGACAACACTGCTGTCAGGAGAATTTTGTAATAATAAAATAGCTTAATTTTGAAATTACCCCATAACTCTGAGGCAGAGTGAGAGGCGGCCAGCGGTCTAATACTTTCCCGTCTCTCGCACAGCGGTCCATCCAAATTCACAGCGGCAGAGTTCGCCCGTCGGCATCAGCAGTCCACTCCAGACCAGTCACACAATCACACAATCACACCACCACCCAACCACCCCCACCACGTAACTAGAATGGCCGGCTTTCCCGAGTACGCCCGTGGCGAGGAGACGGAGGTCAATGGCTGGATTCGCTTCGGCCTCCGGCTGGGCGTCAGTGCCGCCCTGCACCCGTTCGAGTACTCCAAGACGCTCATCCAGCTGGGCTACGAGCCCATCGCCGCGATGCCCGGCAAGTCGCTGCTGGGCAAGCCGATCATGAAGCTGCCGAATATCTTCCAGTACGGTGGGTGCAAAGTTCTCAGTGCCTGCATAGCATAGAGATTGATAAGGTTCTTCCTGCAGCTGGCCACATTCGGAAGATCGATGGCTTCTACGGCTGCTACCGCGGACTGGCCCCCAAACTGGTGGGCTCCCTCGTGGCCATGGTGGTGAGCGAGCGGGTGGCCGACAAACTGGGCCTGGAGCAGCCGGAGGAGATCAAGGACGACTCACAGCTCAGCGAGGAGGAGATGCAAGTCTTTCATTTCACGCCGTGCCCTTGATAGCCGTGCGACTCCTGCTCTGCTTTTTCCCTGCAGGTACGTCCAGTTCAAGTCGAGTCTGAAGCGGGACATTGTGCTGACGGTGAGCGGAATCGTGGCCTCGCATCCCTTCCACGTGATCTCGCTGCGCATGATGGCGCAGTTCGTGGGCCGCGAGACCCTGTACACCTCCATCGTGGGCTCCGTGGCGGAGATCTGGAAGACTGAGGGAATCGCGGGCTTCTTCGCCGGCCTGGTGCCCAAGCTGCTGTGCGACGTGGCCTGCCTGGTGCTGAGCAGCTCCACCATCTACATACTGAACAAATACGTCATCAAGGACAAGCTGGGCAGGCAGTACAATGCCGGCTTCACGCAGTTTGCCGTGTCCAGCCTGCTGTATCCGCTGCAGGTGGTCTCCACCTGCTCGGCGGTCAGTGGCTCTCGCCTCATGGCCGGCCAACCGCCCATTATGCCGGCCTACAAGAACTGGGTGGACTGTTGGAACGACCTGCAGATTCGCGGTGAGCTCAAGCGCGGCAGCTCTCTTTTCTGGCGGTGAGTGATGAAGGATTTCGTGAGTCACTGTCGCTGAACACTCATCATTGCAGGTCCCAAGCGATCAGCTCTCCGGTTATAGCCACTTCCTTTGCGCCCCTGCCCAAGCTGGCGCGCTATCAGTAGGCGCCGGCGCCGCGACTGAACAACGACCACGAACTGGCCATGGCCCTGGAGTCCGCACTTCAACTGCCTAGCTGTGTTTGCCCTGCATTTCAATGGTGCTTCGACGACGATGACGACGAGCTCCACATCCCAAGACAACTGCATTTGTTCTTCTGTCTCCACAAACCCAGCCACAATATTCCGTTAATACAAGATTACATCTCTACGTGTTGAAGTGTCTGCATTCCCATCGTGGTCGCTTGGTTCTGCGCACTGCACTCTTCGCGCAGTTTCCTTTTTCTTTCAGGCTCCCACTAGCACACAATTCTTTAGCAAAGAAATAGTTGAGCTAAAGCTTTTCCCAATCCTCCGCAGTCGGCGGCATGATTCTTGTTACTGTTTTACTGCAACATTTTGAAAATAAATCGTTTTGCCCTACCAGTGGAATGAAAACTCTTCTTGATTTTTCTTGGAAACAATATTAAATGATCTCGACAAAAAATCAAAACTCCTAAACTAGTGTAATTTAAGCCCGAAAAAAAAATTGACTTCATTCAGTTTATGTATAATTTCTGCTATATTTTCGTATTTATGATAGAACTTAGCTGTACTAAGATGGTTGATTGATTTTTACACGATTTTTACAGCATGTTATTAGACCCAATAAATATTTAACATATGGTCTTATAAATACAAAAAATAGTACTTAAAATATTTTACAAATGTTCTGAATTTAATTGTCTAATCTTCCTTAAACTTCCCTTCCCAAGAGCCATAGAGGTGTGTTGTCTTACCACTTAAATGTTCAAACGTATAATTCGCTATTTCACCGGCCAACAGTTATTCCATGGCCATTATAATTTCATCAGTAAGTCTGAATTCTTCATCTCAAGTGTAATGCTTGTGTCATGTCATCGAAGGTTTTCGGGTAATTTAAAGGAGTGTACGCCGGTTACCTTATTTCTCATTCCTAACCCATATTTATTGGTATATGTAATAATTTTCGTTTATTTACATGTACTTCTATGCTATGTCTCCTATATTGCCGAGTAACCTTATTTACATTTGGGAATAAGTCTCATTTATAGTCGGGCTACGATCTCTAATGAATATAACTAATAATGCGAGAGCACATCATCTTTTGCACACTCACAAATTTAATTGATTGCTTTTGATTTGTGCAAAGAGCCTGCCATACTTTCTCCGGACAGGCAGGATTCCTCAAATGCCCATCAGTACGAAGATTCCCTTCTAATCCTTCAGCTTTCGCAGTAATTGACAAGTGGCTATGGTTTATGGCATCGCGTGCGTGGACTTCAATAACAAGTTACTCACTAAGGGTGAAAATAAAGTATCGTGCAGTTCTTAAAAATGTTGTTGTTTTTAAATAAGGCTTTTTTGCTTTTATTAAATTTTTGCTAAAAACTAGAATTAAAATTAATAATCATAATCATTAATTAATAATTAGAGTTAACGTAATGGTATTAATTAAAAACATTTTTTCGCGCACAATTATTTACAATTACAGAAATATCGTTAACTTTTAAATTTACTTTTTGCTTGGTTCTTTACACATTTACTTCTTAGTTATTCTCTCTGTTTCTGCCTTTCCGCGGGTTTGTATTACTTTAGAATAAATATTTGTTGCGTGTGTTCCTTAAATGTGTTTATTTTCGATAATTTGGTCTTCCCCCTAGGGAGAATACGACGCCCGCCGAATAAGTTAATGGGAAAGTAAATGGTTGAACTATTGGCGACGAAAGAGCATCTGAGTATATCTAGTGGGCCGAGGCTCTGTGTATCGATCCGCAATTGGAATCTGGAATGCAATCACACCGAGCAAATGGCTCCGGGATTGAGGTGCTCGTGCCCCCGGGGGCTTAGACAGTTCTAGATGGGTTTCTTCCTTTTTCGAGGGCGTATTCTTTGTGTATGTGACTTGGCTCGAGGCTGCAGGCACCTTTGCTTATAGAAAACCAGTGTACTTTTGCCTATGTTACTATTGCTTCAACACTATAAAACGCAAACAAAAAAAAACTTTTCATCTGGAGTTTTTCGATAAGTTGCATTTGCTTACAGGCTAAAATACAAACATTTCCCTTTCGAAAATGGGTAGGGTAATATGTTGTTAATTTCTTGTTCATCTCTCTAGGTTCGTAGGTTTTCGGGAAGAGGGAGCTCTATATATGCACTTAGATGCGGCCAGGGACAACCGACTTTGATTTTCGCTAAGAACTACAATTAATGACTATAGCTACAATTGTTGAAATTGTTGTTACTTTTTGCACGCATTTAACAGTTTTTGCTAATATTTTACGATTATTTTACGCATTTTATTAAATAATTATTAATAAATAGTGTTTAGAATATATGCTTGGGGTTTTATCGATCGTTTTTAGTGAGTAGGAGGCGTGGAAGGATTTATAGGTGAATGGAGGCGTTCATAAACCTAAACCGAGAGCATTTTTGGATTTATTTTTGTTTAGGCTAGACGACTGTGTGTGTCTGCGCTTTTGAATCTTTATAACTTTAATACAGTAATTTACAAAACCTTAATCGTATAATCTGCTTCACTAAAAATGTACACTTTATGTTTTTTGTTTTTGTTTCTCGCATAATATGTTCTATATGCATATTAAATAATTATTAGGTATAGGGATAATATCTTCTTTACGCTAATGCGATTACAACAAACCAGTTTACAGACAGATAAAAAATAATAGGAAGGGGGAGTTACAAACTAACTGTACAATTTAAAGTTCGATTTGGGGGACCTGATGTTCGATCATTTACAACAAAGCTAAAAATGTGAATGGGACGAGGGCAAGGATGATTCCTCGATCGGAATCAGAATTAAATCACAAAGGGAGGGTGTAGAAATCAAATGGAAAGCTCAAATGAACGGAGTGACGGGAAAAGATGCACGTACAAGCGGCTCTCTCGCGTTCTACGATTATCATCTAACCTCACAGTCTTTTTTCAATGGAAGTAAACTACCTCCCCCGCTGGCGCGTCCTCCTCCGCTGCCGCTGCCGCTGCCACTGCCGTTGTTGTTGTTGTTCGAGTTGCTGTTGCAGGAGTTGCTGGAAGCCGATCCGGTGCCACTGGCCGAGGGCAGGGAGTTGTTGCTGTTCTCGTAGTTGCCCACGTTGACGCACAGCGGGGTGGTGGCGCCCACAAGGGACGCGGGCACTCCGCCCAGGGCCACCACGCCGCCGCTCTCGGGCAACGAAGTGGAGTCGTGGACATCGGCACTCTTGCTGGAGTCAATAACCAGGCAGGGCGGCGACGGGGTGCCCGTGTCCTTGCCCAGCAGCGCCGGCGATGCGTTGGCATTCTGCGAGTGCGGCGTGAAGCTGTTGAGCAGCCGACCCTGCGGAGAGGACTCTCCTGCCATCATCGGCAGCTCCGTCACCGGGGACGTGGTGTTCTCCGGCGTGGGATCATCCTTCTTGTCCGCCTTTGTGCCTATTATGTAGCCTCCTCCCGAGGAGTTTCGGGCTATTTTAAAGCGCAGCGGTGCCGGTGCCTCCACTGCCGCCGCCGCCGGAGGCTGTTCCAAGCACACAGTCTTTGTCGTGGTCTCCGCCTTCCGCTTGCCGAAGCGCAGGATCAGCTTGGGCTTATCGCCCGGCGACGCGCTGGCCGTGTTCTCAATCAACGTAGTGGTCATGGTGGTTGTACTGCTGCTCAGGATGAGCTGTTGCTGCTGCTTCTGGCGCTTCTTCTCCTTCTTGTCCTTTTTGGGCTTGGAAGACTTTGGTCGCTTCGTCGGAGGCTGGGGCATGATGAGGGACTCGCCGCCCTCTTGCACCAGGACCTCCCGCTTGTTGTTGTCCTCGCCCTTGTCAAAGTCCTGCATGACCTTCTTGCGGTAGTTCATCGAGTCCCTCTTGATCTCCTCCAGCGTGAGAGTGCTGTAGTTGCTGGTCAGACGCTTCTTGGGCGGACAAGCCCTGCGGGTCATCTCGTAGCTGTAGCTCTGCACCTCGCCCGCATTGGCGGCACCCGACGACGCGGTCTCGTTGGCCGCCGCCAGTCCCCTGATCTTGATCTTCAGCTTGGGCGCCTGGTGGTCGTCCTCGCTGCTTTCGAGCGTCTTGCTGCGTCCTCGCCGCTTACCTGCACTGCTGGCTGCTCCAGTCTTGCCATTGTTGTCGTTATTGCTGCCCGAACTGCAAGCGCTGCGCCGTCTGCCGTCGCCAGATGATGTTCCTGCACCCGACGTTCCTCCGGCGCCGCCAGAGAGCAACTGTTCCTCCACAAGGGCCAAGTTCGCATCGAGAGCGCGCAGTTCCCTGCTGCTGGAGTTCTTCTTGAACCTTTTGTTGCCATTGCCGACGGACAGTTCGTCCTCTTCCTCCGACTTCCGCAGCAGATTCTCCAGGGGCAGTTGGTCCGAGGCGGCGGGCAGGCCGCAGGAGCTGTCGTCATTGTGGTTATCTTTTTGCACGACGTAGAGGCTGAGCAGCTCCTTCTTTCGCATGCGACGCGAGTTGCCACTTACAGCGGACGACGACGCACTGACCACCGTCGACGTGGACACGGTGGTCTGCACTGCACTGGATGATTGCACCAAGGTGCTGGACAAGGTCAGACTGCTGCTGTTCGTCATGGCACTATAGTGCTCCGGATAGGTCAGCGGGCTCTTGATCTTCAGCTTTATCTGACTGCGGGAATCGGAGATCGAGGAGCTCTTCGTGTGCAGTATTGTACTGTCCGAGTCGATGGACACCTCCTCGGAAGTGGCCTCCAGCGAAGCCTCAACCAGCGAGCCCTCCACCAGGTGAGTGGCGGCTCCCGATGCAACCGAACTGGGTGCCATTTGGTTCGCTTCGGTGGAATGATGCAGCAGGAGATTGGCCGTTGCAGGTGCCGTTGGGTTGGTAGCAGCTTGGGCTGCAACTGGTGCTGCTGCTGCCACCGATGGCTGCTTGCTGGGAGAGCTACCAGTGCCGGTAGCCCGCAGTGCCGACTGGAACTGCCGCTCGTCCTCCTCGTTGAACTCGCTGAGCGTTTGGTCTGCGGTTCCCGAGTCGAAGGCACCCAGCAGATTGTTCTGGTAGGCCTCTTGGCTGGCCGTGCTGTGCGGCGCCTCGAATCCCAGATTGTATGTCCGCATGTCCACGGGTCCGGGGAGCACAGGATGCAGCAGGGGATTGGTGGCTGTCGTGGCAGCTGGCGTCGTGGTGGCTGTCTTGCTTTGACCGCGTGGCGTTCGCACCTCGAAGCTTCTGCGACGGTCCCTCAGCGACTGCAGATTCTCCACTCCTGGGCCGGCCATGTCGTCGAACTCGTTGTTGAACTCAAAGGGAGTTCCCACCAGGTTGTTGACTATGTGGGTGTTGCTGCCATAATCCGACATTGGTGGCGGCAGGACCATGGCCATTCCACTCGCCGCTCCGGCCCCGCGTCCTCTTCCTCGGCCTCGCCCTCTGCCTCTGCCCGGCGCCCCTGAAGCGCAGCTTCCACGCGGCGCACGCTGACGCGGCTTTCCCTGCAGTGTGTGTGTTTGCGGGTCGTACTTGGTGGGCGGCAGGGCCACCAGGGGAACTGGTGCCGGAGGCGTTGGTGGCTGCAGTGGCTGCCTGGGCGACTTTCCGGGCGACTTACCCTGCGGCAGTTGGGGGGATTTGTGCTGCGACTGCTTTTTGGATGAACTCCCACCGCTTCCAACGATGCTTCTCTTGCTGGGCGAGTCCTTGGCTGTTACGGTCGGAACCACCGGCGGTGTGGGCGGCATCATCGAGGCCACGGCCTGTGCTTCAGCACAGCTGCTCAGAAGCTGCGACGGATAATTGGTCATCTTGCCATCCACCACCGATGGGGAAGTCAAGGCAAACGGATGGTTCGGCGTAGTCTGAACAGGAACGGGTGGAATCACAGGCTGCTGAACAGGCAGCATTCCCAAATTGGCCGTGGAATAGGGTGTTCCCGAGTACTGGTTGACTTGTTGCGGCGGCGGTGGAAGGGTTGCTGATTGTACTCCATTGCCATACAAGTTAGGCGGCGCTTCCGTCGGCGTTGTCTGTGGATGCATAATGCCCGCCAGTTGGGGATAGATGGCTCCATTGTACTGTTGGCTGTTTGGCGTCCTCTGCTGCTGCTGCTGGTGAGTTGGTGTAGTTTGCTGTTGATGCTGCTGCGCCGCAGTGTTGTTGAATATTGGTATGGCATCAATACCGTTCACCATCGGTTGGGCATGGTTGAAGGGCGTTGCAGCATTCGGAACGCCGCCGGGCCCACCATTTCCGCTGGGATAGCTGTTGAAGAAATTCTTGCAGCTTTCGAGGGCAAGGCTACGGGCAGCCGATGCTGCTGCTGCCGCAACGGCTGGAGGCGGCGGCGGAGGATCATTCGACTCAGACACTGAGCTGGGCGAGCTACTTCTGCGCTCCGCAATAAGATCGTTCTCGTTCCACGGATTTCGACCGAACGGTGACTGCATCCGCGTGTTCTCATCGTAGTCGATCTTGCTGCTGCTGTTGCCTCCCGCTCCGGATTGCGTGGGAACGGCAGCGGCTCCGCGGAAGCTTCCCATTGTGTTCTTCACCGCCGCCGCTGCCAGGTCCACAAAGTCGGGTGTGGCTCCAGGTCCAGGTGCGGAGGCTCCGTTGCTCGACAGCGGGCAGGCTCCCTTTTGGTGCGGTGACTTCTCCATGAAGAGACTCAACGGCGGTGCCTGCTGAGAGTTGGCCTGGAAATTGACCTGGAAGCCGGCTCCGAGATTGCTCATTGTCGCATTGGTGGGAGTGGCATTTGGAGTGCTGGTGAGGCTGTTGGCGTAGCTTCCACTGTTCGCAGTCATGGGCGAATCCTTGATGGTCAGCGAGGCCACCGAGTTTGGTCCCGATGAGTTGCCATAAATACACGATTGATTTTGTTGCTGTTGTTGCTGCTGCTGTTGCTGCTGTTCTTTCTGTGCATGAATGATATCCTCGGGATCGGCAGCATTGTGGAAGGGAAACACCGACGGAATGGCCGGGGTGGGAGGCAATAGATCTACTGCCTCCTTGGAGCAACAGTCATCCAGTGGCTTGCGCTTCGATTTGCGGAGTTTATCCAAGAGCTTTCGTGTTTCTTGAATGCTATCCTCTTCGCTGATTTGCTTGGCCCTGTCCAGGCTCGATCCGATTAGGCTTATCTGCCCTGCATTGGGAGGATTCAAGACGCTGGCCAGGCTCGAGGCAAAGTTATTGGCGAACTTACTGTCCTCCATCTCGAGAATGGTGTCCACAATGGGCTCCGTCAGCACTGGTGGCTGCTGCTGCAGTTGCTCGATCAGAGGAGGCAGCAGCATGGCTGGTTGATGGGCGTTTGCTGCCACCACCTCGGCTGCCGGCGACTGGCCAACAACCAGCGGAGGCGCCAGGGATTGATCCTGCAGCTGCATCTGCTGCTGCTGCTGCTGATCTCCAGCTCCCGAGTTGGCCGAGTTCGAGTCCAGTTCTATGATTTCAGGCGGATCGGGTGGAATAACCGTGACTGCAGGCGAGGATGTGGACGCAGAGTACTTACTGGCATTGGCCAGCAGCTCGTTCTTGCGTTCCTCCTCCAATTCCCGCGCCATTTCCATCTCGTTGAGGAGGTGCTGGGTGTGATGCGTGTGCTCCTCGTCTGGCTCGTGGCTCGTGCGTCTCCTCCTGCGCCGCCTCGACCGCCAGCGCATGCGTCGTCGCTCGCTGAGATCGCTCCCGGCGTCGGACAACTCATCGTCATTGGAGGTAGGAGTAGGAGTGGGCGAGGCAGGGAGCGGAGCGGCCGGCGGACGTTCGTCGTCTATAATGTCCGCCAATTTGCTGGCGCTAGCAGACAATTGGGTTCGCGTTGGAGCGGTGGTGAGCTCCTCATCAATATCCATCGGCAGTTCGCCGGCTTCTGTCGCAGTCTCTGGGAGTTCTGGTTCAGGCTGATGCGCCTCTGCTTGCAGGTTGGTTGATCCTTCGTCGCTTTGATCCTTCACTATGGGTGCATCGGTAGCAGGTGGTGGACTAGGCGACTTTGGAGGTGGTGTGGTGGCCAAAGGTGTACAGTGGTTCATCTGCTGCTGTTTCTTATTCAACAGCTTGTCCAACGAACTGGTTGCCTTTCCGCTGGCCGCCTTCCTTTGGTTGATTTCGTGCTCCAAATTCGCCACCTTCTTGGGAGATTCATCCGCTCTCGACTTGCGCCTGGAGGCTGTTGTTGTCTTTTCGGGTGAGGATTTGACTGGCGACGGCGAAGGAGGTCGCGACTTGGAGCCACGAGTCGCTCGCTTGGTGGCCTGTTCCGACTGCTGAGCCTGCTTGGCACCCTCATCCAAAGAGCTCTGGCGACGGTGCAGCTGTGTCTTGGTGGGGCTGCTGTGGAGGTGTTCATCTGGCTTTTGCTGCACTGCTCCTCCCTTAGGCGACTTTGTTGTGGAGTTCTGACGCGTTCGCGTAGATGGTGTCTGAGGTGGTGCCACGCTTACCGCTGCAGCTACAGGTTTGTCCACCGACTTGCGAGGAGATCGCTTTGGCACATTTGAGGAGACGGTTGGAACTGGAGGAGCTGGAGCAGGAGGGGCAGCTGGCGGAGCAGGCTTCTCCGAATCGCTGGCCTGAGACTCGCTTTCGGAATCGCTGCCGCCACTGCTCGAACTGCTGCCCGAGCTGCTGGAGGAACTGGAGCTGTCGCTGTCGCCGGAACTGGAACTGGAGAGGTTTGGGACAACCACACGACGCTTGACGGGTGGCGTCGTCTTTATGGGCGTCACTGCCGTCGCCGCATCTTCCTTCGACCTTCTTCTACTGCTTAGGGATTCCTTGGGCGTAGTGGCCTGGGCTTCTTTCAATGAGGTCCGTCTGCTGGGCTTAACAGGCGTGGTGTTAACTGATGCAGTCGCTGCCGTGACTGCTTCCTTCTCCGCGGGTTCCTTCTCGAACGTTTCCTGCACGGGTTTGCTGCTCTTCAATTGCTCGGCAGCCTTCTTGGCCGCCTGCCGTTGAGGCACCAAGGACACGGCAAAGTTTGACTTGGCTGAAGCGGGAGTAGAGGCAGTTGTAGGAGGCGCAGGCTTGGTTGGGGAAAGCGAGGCGGCGACCGCAGGCTTTTCCTTTTCCAAAGTGGTGGTGGGAGGACGCGACGCATCCTTTGGCACCTTCGGTGGTCGGCCGCGCTTCCCACGTTCCGCCGGAGCGCTTTCCTTGCCACCCGCCGTTTTTTGTGGCTGTTCCTTTGGTCGTGCTTTTTCGAGACTGGATTTATCCGCTTCCAGCGCTGCTGCTCCTCGGGAGGAGGAGCTTGTCGAGGAGTCTTTAAGCTTGTTCTTGGCACTCGTTGGAATTGAATTCGTTTCCGGATCCCGCACTCTCTCAGAGGCATCTGGCTGCAGGGCCGTGGCGAGATTCGTGGATCGCATGTTCTCCGATGCCTTCTTGGCTGCCTGTCGCTGTGGCACCACCAGGAGATCCGGAGCCGGATACAGCGACTTGGCATTGGGAGGCGCTTTCGATTTTGTGCTGTTAACTGTTGCCTCCTTCGCATCCTTTCCTTCCCGCGTGGATTGCTTAGGTTTGCTAGCCGTGGTGGCCACTGTTCCCGGCACAAACTCCTTCATGGCCGCCTTCGTCCGAATCGTCTGCTGGTTCTGCGAGTCACTCACGTTGCTCTCCACGGTGGCCTGCTCCTCGGGATCCTTCTCCGGGGCTGAAGAGCTGCTCTCGGAATCTGAGTAGATGTGCCGTCCCATCTTTCGACTGGCGGCCGCTCCACTATTCACCATCGTGGTGCTCTCACGTTGCCGTTCGCCCCTCAGGGGCAACAGTTCTTCGCTTTCGTCACTCGACAAGCTCTCGTCGGCATCTCGGTCCATTTGGGCAAGTCCCCGTGTGGTGGTTGCTGTCGTCGCAGACGAGAGTTTTCTTCTTCCCGGTCCGGCGCCGCCTTCAGCGTTTGGTTTTGACTTAGTTGGCTGGCTCTTGTTAGGTACTGCATGTTTGCTGCTCTGCTGGTGGACTGGTCCACGTCTGGCGCCGCCCGCCGCTTCTGGTCGGCTCGTCCGGCGTCGCTCGTCCTCGTCATCGCTGGAGCTGCTGCTGCTGCCGCCTCCTCCTGACCTGGAATCCGGAGACGCCGCAGACGCACCCGCAGCCGCTTCACTTTGACGACGCTGTCGCTGCTTTTGCCGCTGCTCAACGGATCGAGCGTAGCTCTGCTTTTTGAGGGGGCTTCTTCCGGAGGAAGACTTTCGCTTGGAGGCACCGCTGGCTGCTCCGCTGGAGCTTCCGCTGTCACTGCCCGATTCACTGCCAGAGGAATTGGAGCCGGAACTACTGGAGCCATTCGCCGAGCTGGAATTACCCGATGATGAGCTGCCGCTCGACGAATGGGAGGACGTGCTGCTCCGGTTGGGATTTGAGTGCTGCTGCGTTGGATTTCTGTTGTGGGTCGACGTCGCCGCCGCCGCGCCGCTCTTCGAGGCACGCCTCCCTGCAGGGGGCTTCCCGGGCGGGGACCGCACCTTGCTGACAACGCCGCTGGTCGGTCCCCCCTTACTCCCCGCCGACGCGGGCGTTTTCTCGGGGGAAGAGGTACGCGAGGAGGAGAGGTTGCCATTGTTGAGCTTCTTGCTGGGCGACGTCTTGGCCGGCTGCTTGCGCTTGTTGGGCGACTGGGAGGCACGGCCACGCGCCTGCTTGCCGCCTTGCAGCTTGCCCATCAGCTGCTCGAGAATGTACTTCAAGTCCTGGTACTGCGCCGGCACAGTTTGTCCAACTCCGGAGCTGTAGAAGCGATCGTACAGAGTGGGCCCATCGTTGGCGTAGATTACAGCCTCCAAATCCATGGCAGGCCGTTGCTTTTCGTCCTGCTTGGGCAGCTGCTGCTGCTTCTCCAGCCGCATCTCGTCCAGCACTCCAAGCTGCTTGTAGAAGACCTGCTCGCGCAGCTTGAAGAGCGAGCGCGACAGCTTCTCTCTCCGGCTGACCATGTAGCAGAGATTGCGCACACGCTCCAGGTCCTGACGCAAGTGGACGACCAGCTTGTGGTTCTCCATGTCCTGCTGCTCCTGCTTGCGCGCTATCATCTCCACGTCCTCGGACTTGGGCGGTATCAGCTCGCGATTGTGCCGCGACTTTCGCTTCAGCTTCCAGTAGTTGTATATGGCAATGATGGCATCGTCGTCGACATCGAACAGATGGCAACTAATGTCATTTACGTTAACGTGCTTATCGAACTCGGCCTCAACCTCCTAAAAGGGTAAGGGTAAAAGTTAGCACCGAAAGTTGGCATGCAAAATAACCTAAAGAGAACGCTTAAAGGTAAATGAAATAAGAACAAACACCAACCTGGAGACGCTGAGCCCTGGCCTGGTTACGTTCCTCAGAGGTCAGTTCGGTTTTTCGGTGATTCTTCCGCCGGCGTGGATCCTCTCCCGACGTTCCACAGGCATTGCTGCCATCGTCGGCTGCTCCTACTCCACCTGCGCCAGCATAACGATTCGCATGCTTGTGCATGGCGCTTGCCACCGAGGCACTGCCTCCGCCATGGCCAGCAGCACTCTCCTTCTTGCCCTTGCTCATGCTGTGCTTCTGGCAGTAGGAGCGCAGCTTCACGCCGTCCTCGGCGTTGCCCTCCTCGATGATGGCGCGCATCTCGAGGCCGTGCTGGAAGGCGCAGGTCACGTGGTACGCGGTCTTGCAGGGCTTCACCGAGCACTGGATGCAGCTGCCCACCCGCTTGCGGCAGAGCACGCAGATCAGGGACCAGCGCGACTGGGGAATGCTTGAGATTTTCGTGATGGGCTCCATGCGGTCCACACACCCAATGCTGACCTCGGGTATCCACAGTGCGCAGGAGACGTGGGCCCAGTGCTTGCCCGACTTGTTGGACTTCATGGCGCCGCCCTTGTTCGGACACAGCACGCAGTCCGGCTTGATGCCCATCGAGCAGGTGCGACATAGCCATTGGCCTGAAAGGATACATAGGTGTTAATTGATTCCCTTAACCCAGAGATAACTCTGCCTACCTGATGGGATTGCTGTTATGCCGTAACAAGCCTGGTGCACACAGATATTGCAGTTATCACAGAATACCATTTCGTTCGCCTCCTCGGAGTCGGGCGAACGGCAGACATCGCAGATGACATTCTCATCGAATTCGATACCCAAGCCCTCCTCCTGTTTAAGTATGACTTGGATCTGTTCCCAGCAACGCACCTGAAATATTGAATAAATTGTTAGGAAATGAATAAAGGCAAAGAAGCATAGTTACGCACCTCTAGCTCCTCAATGACTCGCTCGAACTGCGTGGCATTGATGGGGAAGGCTCCGCATTGGGCGCGATCCCCGTTGTAGAGCCGCAGCCAGGCCTCGTCGATGGGATCTATGTCATAGGCACACGTGTTCTCCGCCAGGGCAACGACATTCGTCAGGTAATGCAGGTCCGGCGAGTAGTGCTCGTCTTTGGTAATGCGCAGATAGCGATTTTTCGGACTAAAAGAGGGGGTTTAGTTAGTTTAGCTGTATAGTATACATTATAGCTGTTAAACTCACAGTTTAAAGTCGTGTGCTGGCGACACAACCGGTTCGGGCAGAACATAGACGCATGGCTCGGGCAGGGAGTCGGGATTGACGGGCACTTGGACGCCCTTTTCCCATTCCTGCTTCCATGGGTCGGTTACAATTAAATACTCGTAGTTGGCCAACGGCTCAGAGTCTGGCAATTTCATTGCGCTAATGAGATCCTTGCTGTAATGGTAAATGTAAGTATATACCCTCTATTCTCTCTCTTTTAATCTAATCCCTACCGGTAAAGTTCAGCTGGGGCTTCCGTTGAGCTGCGATTGTAGATGCTCGACATCTTGATGTCCGCCACAGAGCGCGCCTGCCAGGAGGAGCTGCTTGAGCTGGCGCCCTGCAGCTTGCTCGACTTGCTCGCCGACTTGGCCAGCTTTGTCGACTTGGACTTGCTGGTGCTGGCTCCTCCAGCTCCTCCTGCTCCTCCCGCTTCAGGCTCCGCTGGCTCTGCCTGTTGGTCATGCTTGCTATTGCTGTTGCTCAGCGGCAGGTGTGGAACCCTCTCGGATCCTGATCCTGGTTCCACAGCCACTGCTGCTGCTGTCGTCGTAGTCGCCCCATTGGGCGGCCTGCCTTTGCGCCGCTTGGTGGGCGGTGGCTGCGGCTCAACATCCTTGCGCTGCTGCTGCTGCGGCGGCGGATGGTGCGACTGGTGGTGCTGCTGATTTCCGCGCTTACCTCTTTGTGACATTTTTCATTGGTGTTGTTTGGGTTTTTGTGTGTTTCTTGTTGCTTCAACTGGATGTAGCTGCTGCTCCTTGTGTCTTGTGCTTAGTTAGAGACGCTTTCTGTGCTGCAAGACCTGAAAGGGGATTAGCTTAGTACTTCCAATTTGGATAGCAATCGCAGTCTGCACATACTACATGCTTAAGGCCACAGTTGGCGACACCACACCGGCTGCTCCGGCTGCTGCGCTCTCCTGGTCTCCTTGGTGGTCCTGGTCCTAGTCCGCCCTGCTTGGTGGTGGTGGTGGTGCCCCGTGGACATGGACGCCGCTGCTGCCCCAGCCCCGATCTCGAGTAGCGACGCCACTTTGCAGTCCTGTGTGCTCCGCACTCCTTCACGGGCGAGTTGGTCGTCCTCTGGCCTCCACTTCTGCCGCCTCCTCTGCTGCTCCCTTTTGTTATTGTTCCTTGTTTTCGCTCACACTTCTGGAGGCTTTTACTTGTTCTTTATTGGGTCCGCACTGTCTTCCGAATCTGGAGGGGAGGAGGGTCGGTTAGTTGGCTATTCACCAGGCACTAGCGCTCTTTTTTTAAATAAGTGTCCACATTTTTGTGTGTGATTTCCATTCCCGAAAAATACACAAAAAATATCACAGAAAAAGGTGAATGCTGCAGCACAGGCGCCACAACACTTGCCCTCTCGCTCGCTCGCAGCACGCTCGTTTAAGGGCGCGCTTACTCCGCGCGTGAGTGCGAGCGGGAGGCAAGCAGGTGGCGCGCATGTTGCAGTCGCCAGCTTTTACTCGGCAACCAGCCACATCCCCCTCCACCCCTCCGCTGCTGAGAAGCAATCATAGTTTTTTGCACTTTTTTTCACTTTTTAGTGTAACAACTTATTTGTTATTGCGAACTGGGCAACTGGGAACCCAATCGGTGGGTTATATTCGATCCCGGGATCAGAACGGCCTCTGGGGCGCCTCTTTTGCACCGCACAAAACAGCCCAGAGTCTTTGGGGGATTTCAGATTTTGTTATATATTTTACATTTGGGTTTTTGCCGCCGCAGACACACACGCCAGGCACTTGTTACTGGCCCACAAAACCGCTCAACGGCCGGGGATTTCGCACGGCGTTCGCCTTAAACTCACGTTTCGCAAAATTGCATCTGCGTTCGCAGGAATTACAATTCTTTTCGATTATTTATTTTATTTTTGAGCAAAAATTATTTTCTCAGATCGCCATGATGAACGGTTGCAAATTTAAACTATCGAATGCATGTAGTCAATGGTAGCTATCGATACGTCGCTTGGGTATGCATCGGGTGGCAACGCCGCACTGGCGTGAGTAGTGATTGCCAACGTTTAGTCCTCAATTGGTCCACCAGGTGGCGCATTGGCCCGAGTATTTAAACGAAAGGGAAAGCTAGATTTTCTATTAATAATAAAAAAAAAATTAAAATATATATATTTTAGTAAAATTTCATGATACAATTTTCGAGAACCGTTTTGCGATTTTCAAACACGAGAATTTAGAATTGCACTGTCAAAACATCGCCCAACTGTCGCATAAAAGAGTCTGTCAAAGCAGCAGCATAAAAGAGTCTGTCAAACTTGGATGGCGGACTAACAGGAAAATTGTCATTATTAGTTACTTCTTAAAATTATTAGTATGCTAAAAAATCATATTAAATGTTCACCGTAATTGGGTTTTAAGGTAAATACCCCATATATTTCCTAGATCGCAAATGTAATTTATCGATAACACCGCGGTGGTCACAATCGCGATTAGTCCATCCCAGCACCAACAAGAAAATATGTATATTTATAATTATATGTAAAAAGTTAAAAGTCGCGTCGCACAAAGGTAATGTGAATACTAGCTAATCGGCAGCCCAGATGCCGCGATAAGCAGGGCTATTTCGCAGCAGCGCCTCAGGAATTTGACCGTCATTTGCTCTCGTTTTCACCAGATCGTCTTCTTTGTCTCCCCTGGAAAAGTCGGGCGGAGCGCCTGAAATATTTGTAGAGCGACTCAGCAGGCGGCGCAGCAGCAGCAGCAAACGCAACAACATGTCAAGCACTCCCAACTCGAACAGCAGTAGTAGCAACAGCAGCCAGAAGCAGCAGCCCCTGCCCCAGAAGCAGGACACGTACAGCAGCGACAGCAGCGAGGAGGGACTCGAGACGGCCGAGGAGCGGAGGAGGCGCCTCCTGAAGGAACGCAGTCGTCTGAACCGACCGCAGCAGCACAACATGGCCACGGGCGGCGGCGGAGGGGCAGTGCCCAAGCACGACATCAAATCCCCTGGCGGAGCTTCGCCCAGCTGCCAGGCAACGGGCTCCGGCCTGAACCGCCTGCAGGCACAGCCGCCGGAGCGAATCTCCATGCTGGTGGACGGCGTGCGGTTCACCGTGGAGCAGTCCCTGCTCACAGCCCACCCCACCACCATGCTGGGCACCATGTTCGGCTCCGGCTTCCAGTTCGCGCACGCCAACGAGCGGGGGGAGTACGACGTGGCCGACGGAATCTCTCACCTGGTCTTCCGGGCCATCCTGGAGTACTACAAGAGCGGCGTCATTCGCTGCCCGCCCACTGTTTCGGTGCCGGAACTGAAGGAAGCCTGTGATTATCTGCTCATTCCCTTTGACGCCACCACCGTGCGCTGCCAGAACCTAAGTGAGTATATGCGCTAGATGCTCCTGCTCCTGGGCGAACCTTAGTTGTGGCCATCTCTGCTTTGCTTCTCTTTCTTCTCTCTTTCCTTGTAACCTACATGCCTTCTGTTGTGTTCGACATAAAGGAGGCCTTCTACACGAGTTGAGCAACGAAGGAGCGCGACTGCAGTTCGAGCTCTTCCTGGAGGATCTCATACTGCCGCTCATGGTGGCCTCGGCGCAGCGCGGGGACCGCGAGTGCCACGTAGTGGTGCTCTTGGAAGACGATATGGTTGAGTGGGACGAGGAGTTTCCGCCCCAGATGGGCGAGGAGTACTGCCAGAGTGAGTTGTATAGTTGTATAGTTGGCAAGCGCAGCAGTAAACCCCATCTTCTTCGTCCAACTAGCTGTTCACAGCACTGCCATGCACCGATTCTTCAAGTACATTGAGAACCGCGATGTGGCCAAGCAGGTGATGAAGGATCGCGGGCTGAAGAAGATCCGCTGCGGCATCGAGGGCTACCCCACCCACAAGGAGAAGATCCGCAGGCGACCCGGCGGTCGGGCCGAGGTGATCTACAGCTACGTGCAGCGGCCGTTCATCCACATGTCCTGGGAGAAGGAGGAGGCCAAGAGCCGCCACGTCGATTTCCAGTGCGTGAAGTCCAAGTCCGTTACGAATCTCGCAGAGGCGAATGCCGATCCGCCCCTGGAATTGGACGCAAGTGCGTAAGGGTCGACGTGGAGAGTTAGCAGCCTCCCTAAAGCCCTCCCCGATTCCTTTCCAGGTGGAAACCCCATTCCTCCCATCGCAGTGGTTAATGCAGAGATAGCCGTTGGCGTGGCCGCCCCCGCACCGGCAGCAATGGGCGTGGCTGGTCCCGTAGCCGTGGTGGCCGTCGACGAGGCGGCCGGAGGCGTTGTGATGCTCAACGAGCTGGATCAGGCGGCAGCAGCAGCCGGGGCCGCCGGCATAATCGAGGAGAACATGTAGGACCGACCGCATTGAGGGCGAAACACACTGCCAGAGCAGCAGCAGCGCGCACAGAAAAAACAGAAGACCCTTTCTACGTTTTTCATCAACATTTTTATATATGCAATAAATCGAAATTTCGAAACACAAAACCAATTAAATCCGAGAACGAACATGAACAAAACAATAGAACCAATCGTCTACGCTCCGTCGAAAGCCTCGCGCTCGCCCTGCGGGAAAGTAGAAGTCTCCCAGTTCAGCGAGCGCTCGATGGCCATTTTCCACTTCTGGTAGCGCAGGTTGCGATCGGTGGCACTGATCGAGGGCTTTATGGGCTCCCGGGGTCCGGACTTGGAGAGTGGAGCCTCCATTTGATAGCGACCCTCAACGGCTTTGTAGGCCGCCATTGCAGCGCCCTGAGAAAAGTGGATATTATTATATATATTGAATCGTACAAGGAAGAGTACTTACCAGCGCTGTTGTCTCTGCAATCTTGGCGCGAAGCACATGAATCCCCACCAAATCAGACTGCAGCTGCAGGAACAGGTTGTTCACGGTCATGCCCCCGTCCACCATCAACTTGGCCAGCGGAATCTTGCAGTCCTTGTGCATCGAATCGAGGATGTCGCGGACCTGGAAGCACACCGCCTCCAGAGTTGCCCGAACAATGTGCTCGCTGGTCGTCTCCTCGCTCAGACCGCATATAACGCCCCGGGCGTCCTGGTTCCAGTAGGGAGCGTACAGTCCATTGAAGGCGGGCACAAAGTAGACGTCCAGCGAGTTGTCCACCTGGCTGGCCATGGTTTCGATCTGCCCCGAGTTCTGAATGAGGTTCATGTTGTCCTTCAGCCAGTTGAAGGCCGCTCCGGCAATGGACACGCTGCCCTCGAGGGCATAGCTGGGAGTTGCCTTCCTGCCCAGTTGGTAGCCAACGGTGGTGAGCAGTCCATGACCGGAATGGACGATCGAGGAGCCCGTGTTGTAGAGCAGGAAGCAGCCGGTGCCGAAAGTGGCCTTGGCCTGGCCCTTGGACAAGCACTGCTGGCCCACCAGAGCGGCCTGCTGGTCACCCAAATCGGAGCTAATGCTGATCCCCTTGAGCACGCCCTGGGCAATGTTGCCGTAGTGCTCGGCGCTCGAGCAGATCTCCGGCAGTATGGTCTTCGGGAGGCCAAAGAACTTCAGGAGATTGTTGTCCCACTGAAGGGTCTCTATGTTCATGAGCATCGTGCGCGAGGCGTTGGTCACGTCCGTCTTGTGAACTCCGCCGTCCTTTCCGCCCGTCAGGTTGTACATCAGCCAGGTGTCGATGGTGCCGAACATGGCGGTGCCCTCCTTCATGGCCTGGGAGACCACTGGGACGTTGTCCCGCAGCCAGCGGAGCTTAACGCCCGAAAAGTAAGGGGAGAGCGGCAGACCGCACAGGGGTCGCAGGTAGTTGATGTTCCTGGCGTTGTTCGGTATGGTCTCCAGTAGCTCCTCCACCGTGCTGGTGGTGCGGTTGTCCAGCCAGATGATGGCGTTGACCAGCGGCTGGCCGGTGTGGCGATCCCAGACGACGGTTGACTCGCGCTGGTTGGTTATTCCAATGGTGATGATTTCCTAAAAATGATAAGGGGAATTTTAAAAAACCGTTACATTGTTTGCCATTCCCCGGGTAACACCATAAACCGCTACATTGCATTTTTCCTTTTCAAAGACTGTGTACACACTGGGTTGCCATTCACCGGGAATCGCAAAAAAACAAAGGGGCCGTAATAGGGGGGAAAAGCAGTAAACAATCAAGTGAAAATAATTGATAACAACCTGCGGCGACGACGTAACTAGTTTGGAATTTTTCCACAGCCGGCGGACCGTCTCAATGTCAACTCTAGTCAGAATCATACGACGCAGCAGTGTGACCACCCAGATACGCAGGATGTCCGGCCAAGCGGGTCAAAGTGCAGCCACCATTGCCGTGGGCCAAATGCGCTCCACCAGCGACAAGGTGGCCAATCTTGGCCAGGTAAAGGAGCTGGTTGCCAGGGCCAAGTCCAAGAACGCCTGCATGCTTTTCCTGCCCGAGTGCTGCGACTTTGTGGGCGAGAACCGCTCACAAACCCTTGAGCTTTCGGAGGCTTTGGACGGGGAGCTGATGGCGCAGTACCGGGATTTGGCCAAATGCAATGAGATGTGGCTGTCCCTGGGTGGCGTCCACGAGCGGAATGACCAGGGCAAGATCTACAACGCCCATGTCCTGGTCAACGAAAAGGGGGAGCTGGCGGCGGTCTACAGGAAGATGCATCTGTTCGATGCCACAACGAAGGAGATCCGCCTGCGGGAGTCGGACACCGTGACGCCGGGCGAGCGCCTGGAGCGACCGGTGAGCACGCCCGCCGGTCAGGTGGGTCTTCAGATCTGTTACGACCTGCGGTTCGCCGAGCCAGCGATTCTCCTCAGGAAGCTGGGCGCCCAGCTGCTCACCTACCCGGCCGCCTTTACCTACGCCACCGGGAAGGCGCATTGGGAGCTGTTGCTGCGTGCCAGGGCCGTCGAGACGCAGTGCTTCGTGGTGGCGGCGGCCCAGCAGGGCTGGCACAACCAGAAGCGACAGAGCTGGGGCCACAGCATGATCGTGAGTCCCTGGGGCAAGGTGCTTGCCGATTGCGGCGGCGAACAGGAGCTAGATATAGCCACAGCCGAGGTGGATCTCTCCCAGCTGCAATCGCTCAACCAGACCATGCCCTGCTTCGACCACCGCCGCAACGATCTCTACAGCCTGACGCCCTACGGCTTAGAAAGCGAGGAGCCCGCGCAGGATCGCGAATTTGCCACCAACATCGTGGACAAACGCACCATTTTCTACGAGTCCGAGCACTGCTACGCCTTCACCAACCTGCGCTGCGTCGTCGAGGGCCATGTGCTGGTGTCCACCAAGCGGGTGACACCCCGTCTGTGCGGCCTCAACTGCGCCGAAATGACGGACATGTTCGCGACGGTCTGCCTGGTGCAGCGGCTGCTGGAGAAGATCTACCAGACCACTTCGGCCACCGTCACTGTGCAGGATGGCCCAGAGGCCGGGCAAACAGTTCCCCACGTCCACTTTCACGTTATGCCCCGCCGGCAGGGCGACTTTGGCCACAACGATCAGATCTACGTGAAGCTCGATGAACGCGCCGAGGAAAAGCCAGCGCGCACGCTGCAGGAAAGGATCGAGGAGGCCCAAGCGTACCGCAAGTTCCTGCTGGACAGTAGCTAGCTTGGCTGCTATTCCGAGACCCTAACTTCTTCCATGTGATTTAAGACATAAATAAAGAACCCCTCGACCGCCTGAAGCTGGAAGATTGGATGTGGAGTATGAGGATAGGACATACCTCAACCTTGGCGCCCAACGCCACCAGCTTCTTGCAAGCTCCCGCGATGCACTCGTTGACCGTGTTCACGATGGCCATGGGATCCTGCTCGCACCATCCCTCCTTTTGGAAGATCGACTCCACCTCGATCTGGTGGAAGCAGACGATCTCGTCGGTGCCCGCGCGGAATATGATGAACCGGGCGGAGGTGGTTCCCTCGTCGATGGCCCCAACGAAGGGTCCAGTGGGCGCTGGTTGGGGCGAGGAGGACGTCTCGGAAGTGGGCGAATCCATTTCTAACTGGGTGTCCAGAGTTCACGTTCACCGTCAATAAACAAATGCCAATAAGCTTTCTCGCGAGTTTATACGACACTAAAATTACTTATTGTGGAATCTTGTCGACATATTCGACGGATGCGATAAGAGATAAGGAGAGCGAGCCCTCTCTTTGCTAATCGTTGCGATAGTAAACTTTGGAAAACCTGTCCGCGAGTAAATATTTACTGCGAATGGGGAATGGTGCAACCATATGAGCGAAAACACGTTTATGCCTCACTGAAATCGAGAACAATTAATAATAAAACAAATTGATATAACTATGTTTACTTTACATTACTTGAGTAGTAATCTTTAATTTGATTTATAATATTAATATAATTATAATAATTAAAATGGAACAAAATTAGATAAAAGTTATTTCATGAAAACTTTCTGCCCATAAACGGACATTCACAGCGACATTGGAATATTTCACCTGGAAGGTGGTGTGGCAACACTGAACAGTGTGACCGTACCCCGGCGGTTATCAGCTGGTCCGGAAAGCGAAATTGCAGAATAATAACAAAAACCACCCGGATAAGTCCCGCCAAGCCATGCCGATCTCGGAGATCCACAAGCGAGGTCTCCGGGATTTACTTGTGAACGAGAAAAACTCCCCCGTCCTGCTCCAGCTGGCCAAGGGCACCACGAAAAATGTGTTCAAAACCGAGGATCCAGAGGGTGAGTTGACTTCTCTACTTCAACTAAACCACGATGTGCTCCAAGTTTGTGGTTTTAACTTGCAGAGGCTCTTCGATTGCTCACCTCGCACATTCCGGATATTTACATCCTGCTCTCCAAGCGGACCATAACCAGGGAGCTACTCTTCACGTACCTGCACAGCAGACAAGCGAAGACAGCCACAGATTTCACCAAGGCGGACCTAATAACCAAGGTGATTCAGTATTGGGAAGAGGGGCATGTGGATCAGGAGGATCCGGAGTACAGCAGGAGCAGCTCGGTTTCGAACGGCCAGTCCGCCGTTGTCCCGGTTTATAAGCAGACCGAAGCGAAGGATTACCCCATTCACGCGATGGCCAGGAAGTTCGGCGAGTGGTTCTTCGAGCGCTTCAATTCCGACAGCCTCAGCTTGGTGGACCTGTGGGCCGATGCGAGCCTCCACCTGACCATCATGGCCAGCGATGGCGTCAACGAGCTGGAGTGCACGTCGGCAGCCGAGGTGCTGTCGGCACTGACGAGCGCCAAGCAACAGTTCGGCTTCCACTTCAATCCGAACTTGACGCACGCCGGGATTCAAGGACGGATGGACGCCTATGGCCAGGTGGTGGTGCTCTGCTGCGGCACTCTGCACACATGCGATAGCTCCGTCGGTGTCTTCGAGTGCGCCTTTGGTCTGCTGCGAGATCCCTACGCCGAGAACAACTGGAAGCCCAAGAAAGTCAAGTGGCTGCTTAAAAGCGAGCTGCAGCCTCCGGAACTTCATAGCCTCTGCTCAAGCGAGACTTTGCAGGCAGCTCTGGAGCTGCCGGTGCCCACTGATGACTTGCCCTAGTCACTAGACTGACATTGTCCCATTGTATTAATTGTAAATGAATTATAAACTCACCTGCAGGCCGCATCATTACTTACTTGAACACGGAAAAAGCCCATCAAACGTGTAAGATTATAACCATAATCTACTCACGAATAACAGCAGTCAAATGCAGTGGAAGACGAAGATGAGCTCTGTAAGTTTAAAGAAAATAAAGGCATTAGCTACGATTGCCGACTGTGAAATATGAGCTAAATAATCTGACAGTTAGAATAGTCGGTCAGATTAAAGCTTAAATGCCTGATGTTTTCTTCGACTAGCCGAAGCTCCCTACTCCTTGCAGAGATAATCTATATTAAGGTAATTTTAAAAGTCAAAAGAAGAGTTTATTAAGAAAATAAATTATAATGTTAATATAATAATAATGGATAGGAAATAATATTTATGAGCAGACTACAGACTATTAAAAATCGATTTTAAAAGTGAAATGATTGGTTGGTCATCGGAGGGACATACAGACTCTTAGACTTAAGGTCATCTGCAAGGTCGTAAGTTTAAATTATTACCAGTTATTTCAGCCGCAAGGCCAAGGAATGCTCTTCCGTAAGCGGCACACTGAAATTGTAGTCATCATTAATACGATTCACAGTCCAGATAGGTGTTTATATATATATTGTGTGTGGCAAATCGGTCACATGCATTTTTATACAGTAGTAGCATTAAAATACTTATATACACGCATGAAAACACACACGAATAACAAGTTGCGGAACATTTGCTAACTGAATAATAGTATTTTGAAATAATTCCTTTCTCAAAAATCGCGCCGTACAGCTAGCTAAAAACCACAGAACTTATTTACATCGCTTGCGTAGATGTATAGATAGTGTGTGATTCTTGGGTGAGCATGTTGTTTGTCTGATAACGAACGAGAAATAGTAACTAACGCGCGAGTTTGGCGTATCGGTTGTCTTACTAGGCTAGGTAAAATAGAATTACGTTTCGATCTACATCTTCTCCTGGATGAACGGATGAACGAGTGCCTGGTTGAGGGAGATCCGTTTGGCAGGATCCAGGGCAAACATGTTCTCCAGCAAGTCCTTGAGCTGGGTGACCTTGCGGTGCTGATCGTCTGGCAGGTTTTGGTCAGCAATTAGTTCCTGCTGCAAGCTTCGCGAAGGCTTAACGACCGGCATCACAACAATTTTCTCCTGCAGAAAAGTAAGACATTGTATTTATTGTATCCCATTATCATCACAGAAACACTTACCCTTTCGGTGAGCTTATCTATCTCGTGGTACAGGAAGTTGCAGCTCTGATCGAAATGCTGCTCCTTAAACTGACCTTTTCGGACGATTCGGTTTGGTATCTTGCCCTTGACGTCCATGAAAAACTTGAGCATCTGGTTGTTGCTCTTCCCGCTGAACAGAATCTTCCCCGTGTACAGCTCGTAGATGGTGCAACCAGCGGACCAGGTGTCGATTCCATAGTCGTAGGGTATGCCCAGAATGATCTCCGGCGAACGATAGAACCGAGACACCAAGTAGGGTGTTATTTCGTTGTCGCTGATGGCCGAGGCAGAACCGAAATCACACAACTTCAGTATCAGGTTATTTTCGTTGACCAAAATGTTATCCGGCTTGATGTCCGCATGCAAAATACCCGTCTTCTTCAGCAACTTGAGTGCCAAAAACAGTTGCTGTGTGTAGCTACGAACTGCCTTGATGTGCAGGCCCACATTCTTGCCGTATTTCTTAAGTACTTCACGTAAGTTCATTGCCAGGGGCTCGAACACCATGCAAAGATGCTACGGAAAAAAGATAAATATGGAGCATACTAGTACTGATACTAATAATAATAAATTACCTGCTTGTGGAAAAAGTGACGGTACAACCGCAGGCAGTGGAATCGATCTTCCGGATCAGCATCGTTAAGTTTCTTAAGAATTTCCAGTTCCCGCAAGCCAGTTTTGTGCCTAATAAATGCGAAAACTTTATAAGTAGTTTCAGGGACATAAGAAAACTTTCGCTTACATTATTTCGTTGTTGCGTATGATCTTAATGGCCACATTGGCCTGTCCCCGAGCTTGGTCTCTTCCACGCACAACGTTGCTGAAGACACCCTGGCCGGTGTATCCATTGACCAAGTAACGATTGTCCAACACCTCACCGATTCGAACGCGGTAGTAGCCCTCGGCGTCGTCCCAGTTGTCGGTGAGGGCGGGATTTTCATGCTGATGCTTATTCTGCACAATCGTGTTGGGTGACTGGGGGTTTAAAAAGTCGGAATTAATAAATGTGGCAAGGGAAAGGGTTCCGAAATTTACAATCCTCCTGTAACTCACATCGAAATTCGAGTCCACATCTTGGTCGGCGAACATATCCCACTCGTTGCGTTTCGTTTCCTTGACAGAGGTGTTTTTGTTTTGGCTATTCGAGTTGTCCAGCAGCTGGTGCTCCTCCTTTGGCACCTCCGAGCTGGGTGGATCGGAGCTGGGCAGAGCGTCCGGCGTCGGCGTCCTCTGGGCCCGTTCGCGTTGAGACGAGCCTGGCGAAGTGCTGCGAGACTCGTACCTAACGGAGTTCTGGGGCGTCGGCGATTCCTGTCCAGTGCCCAGTTTCTGTTGGATGAGTTTCGTATGATTAACTGCACATAAGATTGAATTTTACCCACCTTGAGTAGCTCCTCACGCTTCTTTCGACGCTGCTCAATGATACGCTCTTCGTCATCATCGTCCTCGGCTATGTCAATGTCCAGGTCGGCCCCCTCGTCACTGCTCTCCTTGTCGTGCTTCTTTTGCCCCTCGCTCAGCGAACCCTTGTACCGATCCCGGTCCCCGTTGTCCGCGCCGCCACGTCCTCCTCCGCGCCCGCCACCACGGTCAAAGCCACCACGATCCCGGTCCTTCTGCCGCTCCCGCTCTCGTCGCCTGTCCGACTCAAACTTACTGCGGCTGTGCGATCGCTGGCTGCGATTGGGTCGCACTGGCTCCCGCTCTCGGCCCCGACCTGGTCGCACCTGGTCGTTGGTGGTCGCGGGTCGCCGATCCCGGTCTCGGCTGTGGTCGCGCCTCTCCCTCTGCTTGTCGCGATTGATCTCCTGTCGCAGGTCCTCCATGTTTCGGTTGCGGCTGCGTGGTCGGGCCTGTGCCTGCTGCTCTGCTGCCCGACGGCGTGGGGGCGTGCGTTCCCGCTCCCTCGAGCGCCGTTCCCGTCGTCCGTGACTGGGGTCATCACGAGCGCGGCTCCTCGGGGCTGCTGGGAGCGGGGATGCGTGGCGTCTTCGCTTCTCGGGCGTGGGCGAGGGGGTTCGCTGGCCTCCGCTAGAATCATCCAACAATATAACATCGGATTCATTTGAGTTATGCGTGCTAGACTGTTTAATATTAGCATGTTTACTGGTTGCAGTAGCCAGCGGCGCTGCAGACTTGCTGGCGGCGGCGGCCATCGCCTGTGGCTGGGGCTGTTGCGGCGGAGCCACCTTGGGCATTGGCTTGGCCTGGGCCAGCTCTGGCTTTGGGCCCCTGTCCTCGGCCTCTGGGTCCGACATATAGGCGCCCAGGCGAGCCTGCAGCATGGCCTTCTGCCTCATCAGATCCTCCAAGTTGAGCTCGTCCTCGATGATGGTCGCTATAATGGGACTGGCCACATCGGCGGGGCTGAAACGAATGTGAGTTAAGACACTGAGAACCCCGAATGCACCTGCAGTACTCACGCATCGCTTTCGCTGCCCGAACTTGCTACCTCCAAGACGGGCAGCACCTTGTTCTGAATGGTCTTGGTGATCTCCTCCACCAGGCTGCTGGGGTCTGTGGCCATCAGGGGCTTGGTGATGCGGAAGTCGCCGAGGCCGCCTCCATTGCGGCTGGCCTTCTGCATGATCTCGGTGAACTTGCTGCTCAGCCCAGAGTTCTTGGCCAGCTTGGCCTTGGCGTTCTCCGCCGGCGCATCCGAGTCATTGGAGGATTCGCTCGCGCGGTGGGGTCGCTTTTTCGCCTTCTTGTGCTTCTTGTGGGCCGCATGCCTGTCCTTCTCCGCCTTGCCCGTCGAGGACTTCTTGTGTTTCTTGTGCTTCTTGGCCTTCTTGTGCTTGGCCCGACGCTCCTCCGACTCGCTGTTGTTGCTGGAGTCGTAGCTACACATATTTTTGGGGGGAACCGCGGTCAATACACACACACATGCGGTTTTTCGAGGCCCTTGGCCGATTTAACCTACCTTTTGTCGTCGGTCATCATTGCGGTGTGTTGAACGGGGGGTGAGTTGTGCACGTAGCGTGCTCCTTTGGTTTTTTCTTTAACTAATCGTGGAAAATTGGGTAAAACTTTTCAATTCTCCTTTTTCTTCTTTTTTTTTTAGCTTTTTTCAGTGTGACTGCACTCGGCAATCGTCCAAATACCGCCTGTAAATACCTACTGCCAAACTGCATACATTTTGAAACCCTTTATTTAAATTTAAATTATAATTAGGGGAAATGTCAATCAATAAAATTATTTAAATAGTACAACCGAAAAATAAAAATTATTTTCTGTCAAATTAGCAAAAAAATTAAATTCAGTTTGAGTAAAAATTAAATTTACATAAAAATCAAACAATTTAATTAATAAAGAGAACAAATAATATTTAAAATTGTCTATCAAGTTGTAATATTAATCAATTTCCCATGGCTAATAAAAAATTAAACAATTTAAGTGACATCAAAGGAGTTGCGATCTCCTTTCTCTTCGATCATCGCATTTTATTATACGTTTTCCTGCAATTAACTCGCTTAACCTAACTGGCCACGGCCACATCCACGTCGTGCTCGTCCTTGTCGATGCTCAGCTCGAGCACAGTGTCCTCCTCCACGGACATGGCTTTCGAGTCCTCCGTGGAGACGGAGTGGAACTTGGGCTCGCCGCGCACTCCGTCGAACTTTGTGGGACTGTTGCTGTTGTTGAGGTCGTCGTCCTCGTCGCTAACCTCCATGATGCCATTGTCGTCCAGGTCGGGCTCCGAGTGGGCGTCACTCTCGCTGGACGAGGAATTCGAGGAGGAGGACGACGAGGACGAGCTGTTGTCCTGGTCCAGCTGCTGCTCCAGCTCGTGGATCGTGTACATGAGCAGCGTGAAGTCGTTGCGACGCTTCTGAAACTTGCGCTCCATCTTGAGCTTCTTCTGCACCAGGTCGTCGAGCTCCCTCTTGATGGTCTCGATCTGCTTCTGGGTGCCGTTGCGGTCCGGCTGATCCTGGATGAGCGAGGCCAGCAGGTCGTACTCCATCTTGTTCTTGCGGATCTGCTTGGCGGTGACCAGTTCCTTCTTGCTGGCCTCGATCTCCTCCTTGGCCAGGACGATGCTCTGTTCGTGCTGCTCCACCAGCTTGCTGTAGTTCTCCCGCTCGGCGCCAATCATCTGCAGGGTCTGGACATTCTTCATCGCGGTGAGCTTGCACTGGGCGAACTGGGCCATCAGGCGGTCGTACATGATGGGACTGGGAGTTGGAGGAAAATAATGTAGTACATTTTCAGAAAACCTATCCTTTTCCACTCACTTGGTCTCCGGCGAATCGTTCTTGGCGTTGGCCCACTTCAGGAACTGCTTCAGGAGCACCACTATCCTCCGATCCTCCCCAGTGCCGTCGCCGTCGATCAGCAGGCGCTGCTTTATGATTTCCTCTGGGAGACTTGTCTTAAATTCCGGTTCCAAATGCGAAAATAAACAAAAAACAAACTTACCGTCGTTCATCGCCACTTCTGCTCTTCTTCTTCTTCTTTCTGCCGGATCGAGTGTGGCCGCAGCAGCAGCTGCTCCGACACACCACCAGTACGGTCCCACTGCGGCGGTTGCATCCCTGGACGACACACATCACTCTAATTTCGCGAAAGTAGGCAATTTATGTCTGGCACCTTGTATATCCCCGCAGAAAGCACAGTGCAGCGCCAAAAACAACCCTCAGACACCAGCAGCAGCCCTTGCAGAATGTCGGAATCTTCCAGCGTCGACGTGGATGTGGAGGCAGACAGGACGGGCCAATGCTCCTCCGATCCTTCCGCCGCCCACGATGGCAACAAGGTCGCGGCGCTCCGCCAGCGCTCGCAACGCCTGACCGCCCGTCTCCGGCAGACGCAACGGGAGATGGAGTCCAGTGCGGTCAGCAGCCAGGCCGTGAAGAACGTCAATCCACCGCCACCGCAGCAGCGCCGCCTGGTGGAGGCGGTACCGGCTCCTAACCATGCCCCCCACAGCCGTCAGAACATACCCGTTCCTGGATCCCTGCCAGTGGCGGTGGCCATGACCCTTCCCTACCACCACCTAGCACTGCCCTCCTACACGGTGGCACTGCCGTCCCAGCCACCGCAGCTGCAGCACATGCAGATTCTGCCGAACCACAGCCAACAGCAGCCCATGGCCAAGCAGAAGAAGTCCAAGCACCGCCTCCTGAGCGAGGTGGAAGCCCTCCAGGAGATGGTCAAACTCCTGTCGCACGTCTCCCCAGACGTAAATGCGTATGCCGCCCAGCTGATACGCCAAAACGAAGTCCTGGCCCACCTGGAGTGGAGTCAGGACAGGACGAGACAACCACCCACCCAACGCATCGTAGGCGGCAGCGAGATGATCCGGCGACAACTGCCAACCGAGCAACAACCCACTGAGCACCGTCTGCGCCACGAGTCTGAGGTCTCGAGCACAAGCAGCAACAGCAATCCTGCCCAGCAGCAGCAACAGGCGAAGCAGGGACGAAGGCAGCGCAACCGCAAGAAAAGCGATGGCTCCGGCAACAACAACAACCACAACAGCAGCAACAACAAGACACAGTCGCTGAAAACCGAACTGGAGGCCATGCGGACGTACATAAACAAGATAGTCCAGCATTATGTGGGCACGGACCACAAGCTGCCGCCGGAGCTGCTTTTTAAGGGCAACTTTTCCGATCTGGAGGCGCATGCCCAGAAGCTGGCTGCGGCGGGCTATGGACGGATTGTGGAAGATGAAATCCGGGTGAACCGCAAGAACAACAGGCAGGCCTTCATCACGATGTCCACAGATCGCGAGGCGCTCGAACGGGATGGCATCGTACTGCTGCCTGTGGCCCGTCGCTACGCCTTCGAGGGTGACAAGGTGCGAGCCTTCGTTCTGAATGCTGGTGCCCAGTGTTCCAGCGCAAAGAGCGCAGAGCCAACCTCTGGTGGGATCACTGGCGGAAAGCCGTCTTTATCACTGGGTAAGCTAATCGGATAAGACAAGTTCCAGAACTGAAGATACTTTTCTTTGTGCAGCTGACGATGAGGAGCTCTCAGACGAAGACGCCGAGTCTCAGGACTCGGAAACCGATGCCGACAATGTGGTCGTGATATCGTCGGACAACTGCCCCAAGGCGTTCGTCATAGCCATCACGAAGCAAACTGAGCTGCGCCAGATCGTCGGGACGATATCGTTTACGAACCCCACAAAGCTCTGTGATGACCAGCTCTTCTACAAGTTCCGACCGTACGACTTGCGAGTGCCTATGGTCTACGTGCCGAAGGACGCCTGTGCCGCCCATATCGGCGGCAAGCCGCAGGGCGAAGTGTCCGGCCTTCTGTACCTGGCCCACATTCTTGAGACTGATTGTAATGGCCACTGCATTGCCGAGCTACTCCAGCCGGTAGGCCGCGTGGGCAATCTGGAGGACGAACTGAAGGCTATTCTCTTCCATAATGGTCTCCGCGATATAAAGCCATTTGAGCAGCGATTCAACGACATGTATGCCCAGCCGCCAGCGGCGATCAGCAAGGAAGATCTGCGTCAGCGCAAGGACTTGAGAAAGATGTGCATATTCACCATAGACCCGATGACGGCGCGCGATTTAGATGACGCTGTTTCTGTCGAGAAGCTTGGCGACGATAAATACGAGGTTGGCGTCCACATATCCGACGTATCTCACTACCTGCCGGAGGACAATGAGCTGGATAATATCGTGAAGGAGCGCTCTACTTCGATTTACTTGGCCAACGAAGTGATCCACATGCTGCCACAGCCGCTGTGCATGCGCTGTTCGCTGCTGCCCGGCGAGGATAAGTTCGCGTTCTCCGTCTTTTGGCAGATGAACGGGCGGGGAGAAATGCTGCGGGAGAAGCCCGAATTTTGCCGCACAGTTATTAACTCGTGTTCCCAGTTCGCCTACGAACACGCCCAGAAGATCATAGACAATCCAAAAGAGTGCTTTACCGAGAACGACTTTCCAACCATCCTGAATGGATTCCATCCCGAGGAAATTAAAGAGCGGGTCCTGTGGCTTCACGGCATAGCGAGCTCCATGCGTAAGTCGCGTTTCGACAATGGAGCACTCACCATTAACAACGCCAAACTGCGCTTCGTCCTTGACCCAATCAGCGGAGAGCCCGTGTCATTTGAAGTGGAGAAACAGCAAGAGGCCAACCGTTTGATTGAGGAGTTCATGCTGCTGGCCAACCAGTCTGTGGCCCGTTTCATACACGATTCCTTCCCGGAGATCGCTGTGTTGCGCAACCATCCGCCGCCACTGACCAAGTCCTTGAAGTCGTTGCGGGAAAAGCTGTTGACGCTGGGCTTTGACCTGGATTACAGCTCCTCCAAAGCACTCCAGGAGAGCATGGTGCGGCTGTGCAACGAGGCCCCCAATCCTGTCGCCATGAATGCCTGCCTCAGTCAGCTGCTGATGAAGCCAATGGCCAGGGCAACGTAAGTGTGTCCGTTTTGCTGGCGATTCCCCTTCTAATAGTCTCTTCCATATCCTCCAGATACTTTTGCAGCGAGGGTAAAACGGAACCATCCGACCTGTGGCACTACGCCCTGTCCATACCCATCTACACCCACTTTACTAGCCCAATTCGTCGCTATCCTGACATAATGGTGCACCGGTAACTGCCGCCTTGCTTTGCGAGTTCGCCTGCCGTATTGACGACAGTGTTCCTTTCATTTCAGCCTGCTGGCGGCTGGACTTCAATACTGCCCACCGCCTGCTCGCAGTCCAGACGAACTGCACGCCCTCACAAAACTGGCCAATGAGCGCAAGTACAATGCCAAAATGGCCGGAGACGACTCCGGCAACTTGTACTTCAAGCGCTACGTACGCAATAAGCAGGGCATCTATATGCGAGCCGTGGTCATTGAGATATTCCAGCACATGATGAACGTGGTCACCCTGGAGTCGGGGCACGTTATTGGCATTAACTACAAGATGCAAACGCTTCTCGTGGACACGCACAGCGCGCCCAACTACATTATGATTGCCGAGCGCAACATGAAGCAGGCTCCTCGCAAGCTGCAGCTCCTCTCCTTGGTGCCCGTTTGTCTGATCATTTGGGACAACAAGCTGACTGGTTTCCTGTCGATGGACGGCCAACCGATTAAGTTGCCCAAGGAGCCGCAGCCCAGTGGATCTGGTGCATCTCCCCGAAGAAGCAAGCCAAAGCAACAGCAGCAGCAGCAAGTGCAGCAAAATAACCAGCGGCAACGACAACAGCAACATCTCCACCAGCAGCAGCAGCGGATCTTTGCGATGAGGCAAAACAGCTTATAATTAGGCTTCAACTCTTGCTTGGAGATCCCTTTTGTTTCCGCGCCGTCGCTTGCAATTTCTTTACTAAATCCGAAACTGTTCAAAACTCACTTTTTTGAACAACATTGTGGGTCTGAGCGAGGTATACTTGGCGAAATTTGACTCTGTGATGCTTACTATTTCGATATACATTAGCGTATACGTATCGCAATGAGATCTGTATAAATGTATGTGGTATGTACATTAAGTAATAAAATCAAAGCTAAATTACTGGATTCCCAAACAATAAATCGTAAGTCGACCAACAGAAGCGAGTGAGTTCGACTATAGTAGCCTATAATTTTTGGAGTGTTTTAGGATAGTCGAGATAATTGCAGGAATTTTTTTGGAGCCTCAGAGCTTTATAAAATATATAGATAGCAGTGGCATATATTATTTTGAACCTGGTTCTGGATTTAGCAATACTATAAAGTACAGAAATATCAAAAAAAGGCTACGTTAAAAATCTCATAAATGCAAAAAGGGGCCAAAAATGATTTTAAGTAACATTACTAATCACTAACTTATAAATGATTTATAAATCATTACTATAATTTAACAATTCATAATGTATTGCCAATTGTAAAATCAAGTTTAATTTGCAGGAAATCCTACAGACTTAGCCAAAGTTACTTGGACTCTGTTCAACAATGACCGTGAAATTGGAATACAGGTTTTGAGTCGATTCTTGAATTTACAAACAGTTCCTTTGTGAACGCCCAATCCCACACCTTAACTGAGGAATCGATCGCGATAATCCGCCCTATAAATAGGCGTCATAAGGTTTTCGGGGGCTCAGAAGTGACTTGATTTCCAAGCGAAGCGGAAGCAGCAGTTAGGCTCTTTTGAAATGGATCGGATTGGATTATTTGGTAGATTGTGATGGCCTCTAAGTCTCAGCGATATCACCTTACAACGCTCCTCTTCTCCAGGCATTGTGCTACTATTGATCGGGATGACGCACTGTTATCCCCAATTTGACAACGGCAATCAATTTGGTGGGTTTGGTGGGCAAAACAACCCCTGGTTGCGTCCTCCACAACCAGTTCCGTCTACGATATCTCCAGATCTCGGAGGAGGCAGCACCACCACCGCTCGACCAACTACTCAATCACCTCGCTTCTATGCCTGTCTTCAATCTTGTGCGGCGACCAGCGAGTACAATCCCATTTGTGGCAGTGATAACGTGAGCTACTACAACGAAAACAAATTCAACTGCGCCTTGAGCTGCGGCAACAGTAAGGAAATTAATATAAAACATGAAATACAAAATACAAATACTTCCCCTTTCCCTACAGATATCCAGCAGTTGCATAGGGGAATTTGTTAGACACACATATTCCACATTGGGGATCATCTGAAGCATCTAGCAGCTTATTTACATACATATTACATTTCTCAATCCAACGTCTAATCGATGACATCAGCGAATAAATATACATACAGTCCCATACATAAAGCGTAGCGATCTTATTTACGGTATATGATGACCCCGACACAATCTAAATCTCGAGCTCATAGCCAGTCGCAAGCGGATTGTTTGTCTGTTCGCCTGTCGCTGTAGAATCTACATAGAAGTTGTTACTCCAATAGGATCGTTCTTTAAAGCTGCTCCGGAAGAATGGTCTACCTTTGCAGTAAGTCTTGGTTAGAAAGTCTCCAGTCAATAAGTACATCATCACTTTCACAGCTCTTGTCTTTCTGCTCTGCCCTGTCTTGTTTTTGGGTGCTCCGTTGGAAAACCCGAATCCCAAGTCTCAGGTGGAGTACATCAGTTTGAGTGACAACAACAAGAGAGTGGGAGCCACCAATGCGAATCCGAATATTGTGCCAATCACCCGTCCACCGGTCGTGACGCAAACCGCACCTCCGCCGCCGGCTAATTCGAAGAACTTTGCATATAATCCGTTGACTCAGAGCTGGACGCAGATTGCGCCGGGCGATCCGCTGCCCAATAACGAAACTCTCGTGTGGAACCAGAGCAACGACAAATGGCTCACTCGCTAACCTTGTTATACATATGCTTTAATTGTTAATAAGGAATAAAAGTAGTACGATACTGGAACTTAGCGATGATGGTGACGATGGTTATGACTGGCGGAGGCTACCGACTTATCTTGTAGGCGCAGGCGGCACAGTTCGTCGGCACTGTAGTTCAGCTTGCGGGTTGCATTCTCCGAGAAGCGTTCGAATTTGGCCACCAGTTCACCCAGTTGCGTCTTGATGGTCTGTATCTCCGACTGCAAGGCGCTCAGGACATTCGCCTGGTTCTTTAGCTGCACCGTTCCCACCTCCTGCTGCTGCTGCTCCTGCCGCAATTGCTGCGGCACATTTGTGGCGGATCGGGGACGCAGCAGCTCGTGCATTTGAAAGATATTCTGTGGTGTTTTCTTTTTCGGGTTCAGCACAGTCGGTTCTGGCTGAAGGGAGTCCCTCTGGATGCCTGGTTCCTGCTGCTGACGCTGCAGACTGCGGCTGAAGAAATTGTAGTTGTTCTCGAATTGGCGACGTCGCAGGCTCTGGTTCCTGTCGCGCCGCTCAGCGACCAGTTTGTAGACATTTAGCTTGATGTCCTCGGGCAGCTGATTGTCGCGCGGATCGTTGGGCCGAATGGTGAACTGAAGTTTGTCGCGGGAGGTGCGCAGGAGGGCACTCCGCTTGCACAGCTGAATCAAGTTGGTGGGCGCACTGCGCAGCAGCCGCGAGAAGAAGAGGCTCTCCAGACGCGAGACCAGCTCCGCTTGGCGCACCAGTCGATCTAGAGTGGCGCTCACTTGCAGGCCCTGGATGTCGCTGACAGCCAATCCGACCATCAGATTAGTTAGGATCACTGTGACGAGCAGCACGAAGGACAGAAATATGATGTGAGCGGTGACCGGAAACTTGACGGCGTAGTCCCCATAAAATATATCCTCAAACTCCAGCTCGCCGGACATCATTGTGATGGACTTCAGGAAAGACCACGTAATGTTCTCAAATGCAGGATAATCGTTGAAGAGCACAGCAAAGCTGAGTCCAAAGGCCACCAGTAGACATATGTAGGCCAGCAGGAATTTCGCAAAGTTCATGGCCACTGAAAATGTAGGTAGATAAGAAAATTTTCCACCAAACTTATGAGACTACATACCTTTTGTGAACATTTGAACGTATACTCCAAATATGGGGAATCGCCCCACCAGCATCATTAGCTCCAGCCAGACCAGCAAAATGACTACGGCTGCCACATGATGCTGCCACACAGGCACCGCTGTCAGGTCTCCAGTCCGCACAGTCTCCGGGGAGACACATAGCAGCACTCCGCAGACGATGGTCCACTGCAGCCAGTTCTCCCAGTACTTGGCATAGCCGCGCAGGCCGTGTGCCATTTGGAATACTTCCTTGCCCAGCAGGATGAGGTTCAGAATGATAACCAGGTAACCAATGGTGGACACGTAGCCCGGAGCCACGCACACCTCCCCCTCCTTGCAGTTGCGCACGTACACGCGGATCACAAAGAAGGTGAAGAGGAGCACGAAGAGCGTGTGGTAGGCCAGGCTCATGAGGAAGAACTTTCGGATGCGGCGCCACTTGAGGAACAGGAAAGTCTCGCAAAGCGGGTGCATGAGAATGCGCTTCTGCCCCACTTCAATTAGGGAGAGTAGCAGCTCCGTTTCGCCACGCTCCATGGAGGAACTGGGCACCAGGAGCCTAAAGTCCAGTTTTATCTGACAGTCGACGTCGCCGATTTCCTGATCGTTCGCCTTTATCGAACTGTCCAGTTTGTGCATTAGCTTGGGTATTATCTCGGGTGTGCGCCGCACTATAAACGACAGAGCCGAGACACGTCCGTCGGTCCTAGCGGTGATATCCGCACCATTTTCTGAGGATTAAAAGTTAACATTAGTTGAGGAAATTAAGCAATAGACCGATTTCTTACCTATGAACGTGTACACACAGCTGCTGAATTCATTTAGTGCTGCAATGTGGAGCGGAGTATACCCATAGTTGTCTGCCTGTAAATGATAGACATTGATTCAGATATACATAGGATATAGTGTAAAATGTTTATATTAAGTTTTTCGTTACACAAAATAAAGACCGTCATAGGAGCCTTCTTGTGACTTAATGGTTTTACTTTTAACAATAAATAAATAATTAAAAATTAATAAATGCTTTAAATAACAAGAAAGGAAGCTAGCTTCGGCCAGCCGAAGCTTATATACCCTTGCAGATCATTCCTATTAATTAACAAATCGCAAAAATGTTCAATTTTCTAATATTTCTCATTAATTTTCCGATCGTTCCTATGGCAGCTATATGATATAGTCGTCCGATTTTGATCAAATTAAAATTGAAATTCGGTAATATTTAAAAAGAGTCATATCCTAGAGTAGAAGATAATACAATAAAAAGCAAAGACGCTAGAATTTATTTCCTATTACTTTTCCATTAATTTACCGATCGTTCCTATGGCAGCTATATGATATAGTAGTCCGATTTTGTAAATATTTAATTCGAAATTCAGAAATATTTAAAAAATAGCATCCCCAAAAAAATATTTCAAAAAACACCGAAGCTAGAATTTTTTTAACGTTTTCTTTTCCGATCCTTCCTATGGGAGCTATAAGATATAGTTGTCCGATCCGGTCGGTTCCGACATATATACTACCTGCAATAGAAAGAAGACTTTTGGGAAAGTTTCATCCCGATAGCTCAAAAACTGAGAGACTAGTTTGCGTAGAAACGGACGGACAGACGGACGGACAGACGGACGGACAGACGGACATGGCTAGATCGACTCGTCTAGTGATGCTGATCAAGAATATATATACTTTATGGGGTCGGAAACGTCTCCTTCACTGCGTTGCAAACTTCTGACTGAAATCATAATACCCTCTGCAAGGGTATAATAAACTTTTTTAGATGTGTGGTTTATTTTCAAGTTATTTCCGAAATGGGTAACGCGGAAGGGCAATTGTAAGTATCATCACATGAACGAACGTTTATTTATTCATTTTCAGAATGATTTTTGAAATGTTTATTGCGAGGAAAGTGCGATGTAAATACGTATGTGTAAATAAAAACATAAGGTGTTTATAAAAAGGGTAAAATTATTTTTAGGGAGTACTATTGCCTACCTTGTTCACATCCGCACCCGCTTTAAGCAGGGCATTGCAGCAGTCCAGGCACCTCGACTGCTTTACGATCGCTGCATGCAAGGCCGTTCTCCCGTCCCGGTAGACGGCGTTCACATTGGCTCCATAGGATATGAGTATGTCCACGGTCCCGATCGACTGCGAAAGGCAGGCCAGGTGCAGGGGCGTTTGGTGACTGGCGTTCCGGCAGTCCACCTCGGCACCGTGTTCCAGGAGCAGCCGAGCACACTCCACGTAGTCGTTCTCCGCGGCTGCAATTTAAGATAAAATAAATCATGATAAATCTCTTGAACAATCGCTAGCTTACCCAAGTGCAAAGCCGTCACCTTTCCCTCGCCGAACTGCGATCGCACGTCCGCGTTGTGGCTGAGGAGCAGCTGGACGCACTGGGCGAATCCCGCCGAGCTTGCGGTGTGGAGCGGCGTCTCCGTGTACACCTGGGGCGTGTTCGGATCGGCCCCGTACTTGAGCAGGATCTCAACGCAGTCGACTGCGTTGACGTCGATGGCGTAGTGCAGAGCGGAACGCTTCTCGATGCCGATATTGATGTTTGCCTTGCGCCGCAGCAGCAGGAGGATGCACTCGACGCTCTTGGAGCTGGGAGGGGAGAAATTCATAATTAGAACCATGTGTACAGATGTGAAGCACATTTTCCGACCTGGCCGCGCAGTGCAGCGACGTCACCTCCTTCTTGGCATCCCAGCGATTCGGATCGGCGCCGTAGTCCAGCAGAACTTTGGCAATGGGGGCGTTGGCGCGGCAGCAGGCGAAGTGCAGGGGGGTACGTCCCCTACTATCTGCAACGTTTGGGTCCGCATTGTAGTGCTTTAGCAGAAAATTAATGTTCTCCACACTCCCGAACGCCGAGCAGCAAATCAGGGCCAGATTGGAGTCCCCCGAGTCAGGAATCAGTTCTGCAAAAGGAGAGTTAGTCTGGTATAGGAAAGGACACCCAACTCACCTAGGAAACAGCCAGATCGCACCATTTCCATCACCTGCTTGCCGCCCGGCGCCGCTGTGATGGTGTCCTCGATCTCCTCGAACTCCCAGAGTACCTGGTTTTGCTGCTGGCGCGCAAAGATCTCGTGGGCCTCATCGCTAAAGACCCCGGCGCTGTTGGCCTCGCTGGAGATGCTCCGCCTGTCCAGGAGCAGGTCCACATCGGCCGTCTGGTCACTTTCCGAGTTCCACTTCAGGTCGTTTTCCTAGTAGAAGGAAAATAAACAATATAATTAGCCATTGACAATGGAAAACGCTGGGCCCGCTACACTCACAATGATAGAAAAGCGCACGTTCTCCATCTCGACGTAGACGCCACTTCTGTTTGCGGCTATTTGTTTACACTCCGTGGCCCAAACAATAATAAACTTTTGTGGTGTGGCTCCGGCTGGCGATCGTATGGATGCGTCCCCTCTTCCCTTGAGGGGCGTTCGATTACCTACCCGCGGAGATGGGCGTAGATCGACACATAACTCATGGCACGGCCAATATAATGCTCATCCTCTGGACACTCGGAATCTTTTCTGCCCCTAATTAGTGCCCGATATTGCCTTGTTTATTTGGCTACAGTGTGCTGGAAGTTCTGGATGTGTAATGCTTTTCGCACCGCTGCCAGTGTGTGCCAATTTCTCACGTTCACAGATTCGCCCCCTGGCCCCCCTGATCCTCTCCAGATTTTCCAGCGATCTTCTGAAGATTCTTCCGCCACAACCGACGGCAGCCAAGTTCCACGGAAAACTGAAGCGGTCGCTTCGGCTCTCGGCCTCCAGCGCCAACACCTCCATTTCTCCGTCCGGATGAGATCAGTTGAGTGGCAGTGTGCGTGACGTGGAAAATGGAGCACCGAGCAAGAGCGAAATTTTAACTTTTTCATAAAAGTCGCGCCAAAAAAAGGGTAGAGGTGGCAACCCTGACCAACCAACCCTGGTCTTGAAATAATTAGGGTATTCCATTTAGGACGTACATGTGTAAGGTTATTGTTGTTCCAATAAATCACGAAAAAGGTAATATTTAATTAGAGTTTTTTAAACCCAAATTAAGCTACTCTCCAAAAACAATCACTACTATAAAGTATGATAAAATAAATAACTACAATCACGAAATCACTTGTGCTAACTACGAGCCCTGGTTTACAATAGGCAGACATGTATTCTCTGATATTATTTGTTTTACGAATTTATTATTTAAAAGTTGTTTTTATCAACGTGAAAATGTCAAATTCATTAATGTTAAAAAATCACAGAATGTAACATTTTAGAGCGCCGAAAAAGGACCCAGCCATCCCCTCAATTTTATTCCTTTCCTCGCAGACTCCCGATCTCGAATTTGGCGTCGGAAGCTGCGAACACAAAAGGACTTTAATTTATTTTTTTTATTTAAAAAATGCACTTTCACTTTGGAGTTTTAGTTACCGGAGACACGACTACTCTTTCTCAGCTTCTAGGTGGTTCATGGGCACGTCCCACGTTATGCGCCTCAAAAAATCCTTCTTTTGTGTTGTCTTCTTTTAATGGGTTCATCTTGTACTTTTTGCTACTTCGTTTCACATCAGTTCGATTCTTGAAATATCAAAAATATATTTTAAAAAATAGCGATATTCGATATGTCAGGGGAAAAAATATCACGACATTAGTATTTATTTTTACTCAAAAAATACCGACATTTTCCCACCCCTAACCCGTCAACCAGGTATAAAACGACGCGCACACTCGCGCGACCACACAGTAAAAAAGTGTGCGTTGGAAAGAAAAGTCAAAATTCCCGTTTAAGTGCAGCTACAGTCAAGTCAAAGGTGTGTGTGTATACCAATTCCCAATTTTCTCCTCGTTCCGTCGCAAACAAAGAAACCAGAAAACAAAGCATGATGGCGTACCTCGACGAGTGCGCCGAAAGCGAGAACCAAAAGACCCTCGGCGACTGGGTGCGGAACTTCCGCGCGAAGCGCCAGAAAATGCGTCGCAAGTTGCGGGGCGCTGGCAGCGACCTGCGCGTGAACGCCATCTTGTCGACGGCCCTGTTCCACGCGGAGCACGAGATGCGGAAGAAGCAGCAGGAGCGCTTCAGCCGCTGGCTGGAGCTCCAGGCCCGCTTCGTGCCCTCCGGCAGGACCCACTGCGCCAGCGACGCGGCCGCCCCCTCGAGCGCCCAGGCCGCCGCGGAGGCCGCCGAGGCGGAGAGCAGTTTGTGGAGCACCGAGCTCAGTAGCCTCGATACCTTCATGCGCAGCCTGAGCAGCAGCAACAACGGCCCCAGCAACAACAAGGGCAGCAACAGTTACTCGGCGGACGGCAACAACAACGGCAACCAGCCCAGCTGCGCCATTGCGGTGGCCAGCTAGAGCGAGACGACTACAGTGGTGCCCCACGCGAGTGTGTGTGCATACATACACGCGTGACAAAATGGTGGCAGGAAGAGAAAACCGAGAAAATCGGTTGAAAACGCGTTTCCCATTAGCTTTAGCCCTTGTGAACCCTGTTAAACTAGTTTTATTACGACAACCCAAATTTCTCATTTGCAGTCGCAAACATGTGCAAGGCTGTTGTAGATTGTAATGAAAGTGTGAAGGATTGGAAGAGTGTGAGAGGAGGAGACGCTGAGAAACGGCCTTCGAATCGAGAGTGGTGTGAGTCATCCAAGCAAAAGCCACCAGGAAGAGCCCTTGGCCCCAGGAGCACACTCGGTTTGTAGATCCAGTATACATAATATTACTAGTTAAGTTACGTAGCCAAATAGTTGTAAACGTTGAAATCAGAGGTCGCAGACGGGCATTATTTCCACAACGTCACGAAATCGGTTAGACAGAGACAAAGAAACTCGATACATACACACAAGTATACACATGCATGTGTGGATGAGCGCTCGTGCTATTTTTGTGTACACCAAGTTGAGCCACTTTGTTGTTGTCCGATGTGTCGAGAAATTCGATTTCGAATTTGAGTTCGAATATTTGTCACCGCCATTTCTGGCATTTTCTGGGAGGTACTTACGGTTCACATTGAATCTCTAGAAGCGATAAGTGTAAAGTAAAAGTGAAACAAAAACCCAAAATTATAAATGTACTTAAAGTAAGCAACACAGAACTGATATTTGATTAAAACCTAAAATAAAACTATTGTAATGAATCCACTGTTGAAATCAATACTGCCTTTATTTATTACTCATACTCTTTTCGCTAAGCAACCGCCACCCACCCAACCCCCTCTGACTTAACCCGCACCTATAATCGATTTTGTTTTGCAGTTTCCTGCTCCTCGCACGTTAATGGCAACGATGAGGAGGAACAAGGAACACAAACAATGCGTCGCCACTGAATGAATCCGAATCCGATACCGAATAGCCTGCGGGCTGGTAAAGAAGAATCGTTATTGAGTAACTGAGTGAGTCTCCACGTCTGTCCGAGTCACCCCCACCACTCTACGCAAACCAGCCGATGGCCGATTCTGCACAGAGATCGCCCGGAGCACGGAGCAGCAGCAGCAAACACCACCGAGTCTCCTCTGCAAGGCAACCGTCCAATTAACCTTGAGCCATTGGACAGAACATTGGGGACAAGGCGGAATGCGCGCGGCAGCAGCTCCAGCTCGCAAATCAGCTTACATGCGTTTGAAGCTCTCGTCCACGATCTTCCACCAAACAACCACCACCACCTATTCTTCTGCATTGAACGCTTCGCAGCTGCTGACCACCACCACCCACCCATCCACACAGATACACACGGTATTTGGTATATCAGCTGCGAACAAAATATTGCTTTTTGAACAGATTTGCAGCGAACAGAGCACCGGATCGTCGAGATTGCATCATTCTACGTTTCTGCGGTTTTGGATTTTCTTCGAGGAGCTGAGCTCATCGTGTAAGCCCGTTTGGGATTCTTCTCGTGATTAACCCCTGAATTGCAGGCATCGAGTTTCGTCTTCGCTCGGCGTACTTTGTTTGGACACATCTTCTCTTTTACCTTTTATAATTTACCTTTAGGCAGGCAATGAGTGGACCCTAGGCATTCGCCTTCTCCCTATTTTCCTAATCATATATGCTAGGATAATTCATCTTTGTAGCGGCACGTCACAGTTGATCGGTTCCTGTGGGTGCCAAGTGCGCGATGTGGGCACCGCACTACTCTACTACTCTGCACTCCCCTCCAAATCTTGGATGTCTTCAGATCTTCAGGGCAGCAGCCTCGGATTGAATCAGAAGCACGCGAGCGAAAAGAGTTAGTAGACTAGGCACAAGCTTCACTTTTCGTTTATTTTTCTAGCGATGCAGCGCAGTTGAACGGTGCCTGCGTGCATCCGCAAAAAGCCCTGAAAGAATGGGAGAATGAGCGTATGCGGCGGAATGATGCCCGTCTCTTTCATTGAGAATTCTTGAATTCGAAGGCCAGAAACATCGATGTGATGAAAGCCAAAGCGTAAATCGTTTTTGATACCTAAATTCAATCAATTTGCTGCCGTTATATTATTTTTAGAGCGTTGTATCGGATTTTCCTCTCGTAGAATACATTTGAAGAGAAAGAAGCACAATGATACGTAGTCCAAGAAAATGATGCGTGGATCAACAGAACTGAATCGTAAAATCTAAGAAACTTGCAATCGAAATCCTTTTTTTTTCGTATTTTATAGCCATGTGTATTTCTTCGTGGACATATATGAACTGCAGGAATTGCAAGTCGGCCTTTACTGGGCGGTCCGCCCTTCACATGTAAATTATTTTTTCCATGACCAACACAAAAATATTTCTGTCTTGTAGCGATATGGTTGCAGTTGAATGTGCCTGCCCATATCTAATACGTTATTGCGTTGTATCGGATTTTCCTCTCGTAGAATACATTTGAAGAGAAAGAAGCACAATGATACGTAGTCCCAAGAAAATGATGCGTGGATCAACTAAACAAAATCGTAAAATCTAAGAAACTTCCAATCGAAATCCTTTTTTTTCATATTTTATAGCCATATGTATTTCTTCGTGGACATATATGAACTGCAGGAATTGCAAGTCGGCCTTTACTGGGCGGTCCGCCTATCACATGTAAATTATTTTTTCTATGAACAACACAAAAATATTTCTGTCTTGTAGCGATATGGCTGCAGTTGAATGTGCCTGCCCATATCCAATACGTTATTGACGTCGAAAGCCAAGTGCCGACCTCTTCTCGAACAGAGTTATCTTCAGACCGTCTAAATAAGCATTTCCTAATGACGTTCCTCTTTATCCTATAAAGAAGCGGCTCATTAATGTATTCATTACAGTGTTGAGATACCAAGACATGAGGGGAAAACGTAAAAGTCGCAAGAAACACAGACTCGAGGAGCAAAGCAACCAAACAAGCAAACGTAAACGATATGAAATTTGCAATCGAAATCCTTTTCTTTTGAATTTTATAGAAAAATACATGTTGGTGGAGAGAGAGTTAAGATGCGAGGGAAATGAACTAAGCGACAGCTGTTACTACTGGATCTCACATGTAAATTACTTTTAGTATGTCGAACGAAATATTTCTGTCTTGTAGGGAATAATGTGGCTGCAGTTGAATGTGCCTGCCCACATCTCATCCGTATCTCAACAGCCAACCATCTATTTACTCCCGGGCCCTGTATTGGATCGTCACGATGCGTACTTTTTATGCTAAAGTTCCTCTTTTCTTACCCCCAATGAACTAGAAGGCTCATTTATGAATTCATTGCAGTGTTTATACCCAAGAAATGAGTTTCTCACAGCCGCTGTTCCAACGAACTACTATCACATTCGCCTATACCACCTACCGTGAACATGTAGCAAAATTTCTTGAGGCAATGGGAATCAAATGCCAACTTGAAAGCAATAACACCAACACTCAGTCGTCGCAGTCCAACATCCATATACCACACGTCGAATTCGAATTGAAACGCACGCAGGTCAGGTCTGAACCCCAACTAGAACCCGCTTACACTTGTTTTTCAGCCAATTCTTACGGGCAATCGGTCCAGGATGTGGATTTGCAGATTTATTTGTGGCAGGAACAACGTTTGGCTTGGGGCGGCATCGTGTCTACTCCCAGAGTGAGAACCCCTTAGCAGTCATAAATTTACTTTGCACTTCTTGCAGCGGTGCCGCACAGTTGAGGTGTGCCTGTGGGCATCGTCGACTTAGCTTTACTCGACTTACACATGCCGAAAAGGCAGGGCCTTGCCTTGGACAGATGTGCACCACCGCTCCTAGCTGGCCGAGTCTACTGCTGTTGTGTGCTGCTGCAAATCGTTAAAGGGAACCCAAAACGATGCATCAAGTCCATCCAGTTAGGCTCCTCTCTTAGCAAGTACAACGACAACCAATTCTAGCGCACCTGCTACTGCTACGAACGAGCACGCACAATACGTCGAGCGAACATCGAGTATTATAACCACAGAAAGCGTTCAAACAGAAACGGCCAAGCTGCTGCCGCCTGTGCCGCTGACTCTGAACCTCACGAACCTTTACCTTACAGCCAAGTTCTCGCTGCCGAGAAGAGGCCTGCTCTGGTGTCCACTCAATCGCAAGCAGAGTTCCCAGCACACAGCCTCTCCTCGATGACCGGAGCCGCGCCAGGCCAAGTCCCAGATCCCAGATCCCAGTCCAATTTGGGTGACAAGCGGCCGCAAGATCCACACACTGGAGCGCGAGGGTCTGGCGCCGCCGCGAAGTGCTGAGCTGAGCTGAGCCTAAGCACGTACTGCATTGCACCGCACAAAACCATGTGCGTTCGGTCCACGCTAAAGGGAATCAAATGCGTTTGGACCGAGAGCCGCTACACCGCACCATCACCAGTAATCGCTGAGAAGTGAGCTGATGTGTTGTCGTTGTTACAGGGCTGCTGCTGCAACTGCGCCACAGGCATCCTCGCCTAGCGTCGCTAACGTATCACACTTGTCACTTTCAGCGATCATTGAACGGCATCCTCCAGGCAGATCAGAAGCGAAGCTAACTGACGACGGGTAGCAGGTCGTTGTTTACCGCGCGCACATGGGAACCAACTGCGATTAGTGTGTTCAAGCATCCTGCGAATTCGAATACGAAGATGTGCAGCAGCAGCAGTAGTTGGAGACTCTCGGACGCTGTCAGACGCTCAGAATGGAGTGGAGGATCAGCTCCAGCGGGTTGTCGTTCACACTTGCACTCACTCTCCTTCCGTAGGTAGTCCAGTAGCTCGAGATAACCCATATCCATCGCAAAGGGAAACAAATGCGATTAGTGTTCGAAGACGACCGAGCTGGTTGGCCAATGGGTCGCGCCACGCTCCGCCAGTTGAGACCATAACTCCTGGCCACGCCGATCATCATCGTACCGCAAAAGGGAATCAGTTGCGAGGTGGTTACTACAGCAGTCGAGCTCCCCGTTGAGCTCCTGGTCCTAGTCGAGCGAGCTTCTCCCAGCTGAGCAGGTCCGTCCTCCTGGTCGAGTTCTTCGCTTCACCGTCCAAGTATCGTAAAGGGAATCCAAAGCGATGTACAGCGACAGCGGCAGGCAGGGTGCATTTAAGCTTTCCAGGAACGACCACAAACTACTCCTACTCCTACTGCACGAGTCTGAATCTGAAATCTGGCTGCAATGCCAGGCGCGCCTTCAAGCATATGTTCGTCATGTTGGTCTCAAAGGGAATCCAAGAGACACGCGCCCCGCGGTACAGCCGACGACTGAAGAACACTTTTAGTTGTTTTTTTTTTCGTTTCTTAAACCTATCATTGCAGGCCCAGATCGCCACATTGAAATTAAGGAAATGTTATCCATTTTGTCCTGTAATTTTTTCCTAGTTAACGTAACAACTTGTAATTTTTTTGTCCTAAACACATTGTTAAACTTCCTTGTAAGATATTTTGTAAACTATGACTTGTAAACCTTTGCCCTAAGAGGAGGAGTCAATGCAGACGTCCGACTTCGCTGAAGAGTGCAGCAGGATCCGACTTCGCTGATGATTGCAGAAGAAGGATTACCTTTCCCTAGGCAGTGTCCAGTCTACTGGAAGTAGCAGCCAGAATCAGTTAGAGAGCAGAGCAGCACCACTTTTAGGACGAGATCCCTGGCAGTGAGAGCTGTATGAAGTGGCAGCTGGTGGCGCACAGAGTGGCGTTTCGAATGACAGAGGGAGGCCTTTCAAGACCGGTGTTCCAAGGCAGAGGGAGCAGTGACAGACAGCAGCGTACAGAGGCATACAGGCACAGGCAGTGTTGAAGTTCAAATCCTTCGAGTTTGCACCTACTACTACCTTCTTCAAACCCGTATTTACTGGTCCTCTCCAAGTCATTAAATTCGTCCGGGGTCGTCTATTTGGAACACAGACTAGTTACACCATCCATCCGACGTAGGAGCACACACACGCTTGGGTCATTTTTGGTATATGAGAAGTCTCGAGTCTCTTCCCCTTGGATCATCCCTTCATAATCTGCAATTCGGAGCAACACATAGGCTGGAGGTATCATTTCTTCGCTAAGCACCATTTCCATCGACCCGCAACCGTTTTGTTCGAACTCGTACTACTACTACTGGCTTGGGATAGCTGATAGCTCTTCGTTTTCTTGCGTTTTTCGGCACTGATGGCCGACCTATAAACCCTTTCTTCGCACCGATGATGCAGTTGGAGTGCTGCACTCAGCTTTCGCTTCGCTTCTTTTTCTCTGAGAGGACCCTTCGTGAGGATTATAGCTTTGTTGGAGTATTGTTTTTTGGATTTTTCGGATAACGACGTGGGATAAAGATTCTATTAAGTCTATAAACGACTGACGGCTGCGTGGGAGTTAATTAGGACGGCGGCGAGGGATTCCGTTTCCGATTCAGTCACCTGACGACGGCGTGGGACCTTTGGGATCGAACGAACGAATGACGGCGGCGAGGGAATTCTTAGTTTTGCAACGTGGGATTATTAGGGCGATTAGGCGAGGGCGCTAGGGATCTTACTCTTAGGACGGCGGGGATTTAAATGTATGAACAAATTGACTGCGGCGGTGGAGGCGGATAACAACGGCGTGGGAATCTCCAGTATTGGGACTGCAGCGGGGGATATGCAACAGAATGACGGCGGCGAGGGATATCTGTGATCTATGACGGCAGCGCGGGATCTACTTGAAGCTTTGACTGCTGCGTGGGAGTTCCTGACTGCGGCGAGGGACATCAGGACGGCTGCGTGGGAGCTTTTGACGGCGGCGAGGGATCCTCTTCGGTTCAAGATCATCGGTTGAATTCCAGGGATATTTTTCGGGGCGTCAGTCATCTCGCATTGCACATATATGCGTAGTCCTTCATAATTGATGGTTCAAAGCTGATATACTTAATAGATGCCGTGATTGGCGTTGTGATCACCGCAGCCCCCAAAATATCCACACCCCTGAGTCTCAGCCCCTATTTGGGAATTTCATCATTTATACACACACATTAACTATACACTTCTGGAATACCGGAAAGCAACCATATTATTTATGCCGATGATCTGATGATGATAACGTGCAACGATTCGAATGCACAATAAATTGTTTTTTGAAAAAATGAAATCAAGTTGATTTTTTATTGCAAATTGGGAAAAAGAAACCAAATATTTTAGATAGAAAGGTTTCCATAAGGACTGGAGTAGGGCTTGCCATGGGCTACTGTTTGATTGTAGGCTGGATAAACGGTCGCATTGCCTTTGCCAAAGACCTGTGCTGGTGTGCCGATCTGACCCTGAGGTTGGGATGGGTTTCCTTGGAACCAACCAGATGGAAGGATTCCTCCTGGCTGCTGCTGATTACTGCTGCCTACCACCCAACCACTTGGCACAGATGCAGTTTGAGCTGGGACTCCGTAAAAGCCCTGAGTTCGATTCTGGTGGGGTGCTGAATATCCGGGAGCCTGGTAAGCGGGTTGGTGATTCTGAGGAGGTGCTGAAAATCCGGGAGCCTGGTAAGCGGGTTGGTGATTCGCTGGCACAATCCAATTGGGCGATGCTACAGCGCGGGTATAGTTTTTGTTTCCATGTTGATTATATCCGGTCGAGTGATTATATCGCCCTTGGTGGGTGCGAGCGGGCGTAAATGTTCTGGCTACTACCGTAGCCTGGAATTGCAGATAACAAAAAAGCACAGCTGAATGGAAATCGAATGGCATGTTTGTTAGGGGGAACTTTCACACGGGATCAAAAATATATAGGTGTGTATAATCTACCCATGATTACGGCCAAGTGATGTGTCGACAGCATCTTCGCGTGTATTCTCTTCAAAATTCAGACCGGAACTGTCTATGAAATCCACTCCGACAATGTGTTCAAGTGCTCCACAACCCTTGTTATCAAGATTGTTTTCCAGAATACATATATTTCCTATATATATGTGTTATTAGTACTTACTTAGTACACGGAGAAAAAATCAATCTAATAGAAAGAAAAATCTTAAGAACGTACAAGTGATCTTTAATGTTGATCTTCAATGTTCTTCGTTATAATATTTACTGTTTTTTTTGATCTATTTAGTAATTAGTATTTACTCTTATAGATTGACTTTGGAAACGAAACACTTTAAGAACTACATATGTTCTTATTTTAAGTACAAAACGTACTTTTATTAGGAATTTTGTTCTTAAATGTAGACTGCGTTTTCCTTCAGTGTAACGGTACTATATGACGTCTATTTACAGTTTGTCATCTCTCTTTGCTCTTATCAACTTTCCATGAACTGGGAGCCCGACGGAAAAAATGTTGGTTTGACGAAAACATCTCTAAGCCAGCTGAATTGGTATATATATGATATTTGTTGTTTGCTGAAGGATATCAACCGCGGGTCATCGCAAAAAGACCCTCGCAACTGCCACGCCGAACTATTTGTATGTCTGAAAACAATATAGTTTACTATAGCTAACTAATCCGAAAGTAGATGTTAAACCATTGGACTCACCTGCTCCACAGAAGCGAGCACAGTTAAATTTCTGCTCGTTCATGTATTGCTGCATATTGCTGCCACAAATTGGACTATACTGCGATGTCGTGGGGCAGCTACCAAAACAATTAAGAAATTCCTGAGTTGGGGCCGGTGCTGTTACGAATGGTGTGATTGCTCCGGGAATTCTAACGTTATTGACCAGCACCAAGTTGGAGGAGCTGGCCGAGAAAATTGGCCTTGACGTCGTTGATGCGGCATTATCCAATGGGTTACTTGATGTTTGGAAAATAAGTGGTCCCTGGGCCGCTCCCAACTGACTTAAGCAAGCCAAAATCATTATTGAATACCAGTTACTGCACATCTTTAATAATGGAATCCGCAAGCTTTAACTTCATTCGTTGCTAAAGTGAAACTAAACCTACCAACGCCTATTTTAAAAATCTGCTGCAGTAAAGATCATATGTATAAAATGCGTCAATACAAAAACAGGCAGTGGCGCTCCAAGATTTTATTAGAAGGGGTAAGTTTACATTTTTATTCGTTATTTTCATTATACTAAAAAGGCAAGGAATTTATTTATGTTTTTTATTGAATCCCACTTTTTTTATATGCGAATAAATTGGAAACGCCACTGTATACAGGTTTCTGGAAATTCCTGTTCTATAAGATGAACGCTAACAATTTTTTAGTACTGGCCAAGTCTGCTGGGTTGGAACCATCGGAAATGGAAATCCCCGATTTGAGTCATCAAAAATCTAGTTCGGTAATTTCCCACTACAAGCAACTGTAAAATACATGCATGTCTTAGCCGATAATAATATTATTATATGGGACTGCTGTTACTCGAGGCCCAGGCATTGAGTAGGTGGGAGAAACATACTGCATAGAACGCTCTAGCTTTTGGTAGCTTTTCGAGTTCCCAACGTAGCCAATGCTTGCTGAAATATCTTAATATATTTATTGGATATATCAAAAAAATCTTTTACTTACAATTTGATGTGCAAGGTACACTTAATGGTGCGGCATCCGAATCTTGATTATTTTTCTTAACTATGGATCTATCATAATCGGGACTCAATGCTCTCTGTAGGCACTTGCCCATATGATGGCCTTGCCGTAATCGACCACAACGGCAGACAGCCAATAGGTTTTTGTACATCTCCGGGGATACGAAACGCGATTCGCCTTCGTTGTTGTGCAGGAAAGAGCTCAGGTCTATGGAGAATATCTTTGTAGAACCAGAAAATTACATAAGTACATCTAATCGGACATTTACCCTTAAGTTTTAGCTGGTTACTTAATTGAGAATCAATCTCATCTTGGTGGTAGAACCTGTTAGTTTGTTTGTCTGAGATTTGGGTCCAGACTTTTGGGTAATTACGTCGAGACCTGTGCTCCATACGCACTTGCTCCTTTCTAAAATTATTTATTTTCTTTTCAAGAAACTTTTTAAAATATAATGAAAACTTACAGTTTTCCAATTACTTTAGCTGGCTCCATCGAAAGTCATAAAAGTGTAAATAAAAGTCGATATATTTGTTCAATAAGGGGTGTACTGTGAATATTTTACTATGGTTACAAGAGTTTTGTTGCTTTTGTAACTTAGCGATAGTTAATGTTCTAACAGGTAAGTTCACATTTTATCGGGTGAAACAGAAACTGCTTACCGATGAAAAAAAAATCTCGATGTGGTGCATCATTGTGGTGCATAACCCAATAAATGAATCTTCAACCAACTTCCGGTCATCTGATGTTTCGGCTAACATAGAAGTTAGGTCGTCAATTCTTTGCTAGAACTGATTGCAAATTCTAATTACCCATTGAAAGGATTATTTCTTTAATTATTATTATTTATGACGTGGCCTATTCTTAATTTTAATAATATTACATTTTCATTTCATCGTTGAGGGCCATACCTGGAGACGATCTCGATGCACTGCATCTTGGAGTCCAGTTCCATCCAGATGACATCCCGATCTATGAATCTCCTGAAGTCACTTCACAACCACCAGCACCTACACCAACTTCCGGTCAACTGATTTATCGGCTACCATAGCACCTAGGTCGTATATTTTTAGCCTAGAACTAGTTGGGAATTATAAGTACCCACTGCGGGGATCAATTTTCAATTGTCATTATTGATGACGTGGCCCATTGTAAATTTCATTAATTTTGCAAGTAACAGTCGTAATTTGGACAAATTAAGGCCGATAGGTAAACGGACGACTGTTTTGAACAGCAAACAACCTAAGCTATCAATCCCCATCATTTTTGGGAAAAATAAATTTTTCACTAATTTTCGAATTTTTGATAAGGGGTTAATCATATTTTTTTGCAAAAAATTGACAAAATTTAAAAGTTTCAGGTTTGAATGCCAATCGTTTGGCAATTCAATTACGAGCTCAGCAAGGTATGACACTCCGTTTTTGGATCATTATTTCCATTGTTTCGGCCAAAATACTGATATTTTAGGGTGGGACATATGTAATTTTAGGCAAAACTAAACGTTTTTGGAGGTTTTTACCTAATTAAGGAGCATACCTGGTAAGGAGGTCAATACACTGCATCTTGGAGTCCAGTCCATCCAATTTATGAATCTCCTAAAATCACTTCACAACCACCAACACCCACACCAACTTCCGGTCAACTGATTTATCGGCTACCATAGCACCTAGGTCATAAATTTTAAGCTAGAACTAGTTGGGAATTATAAGTACCCACTGCGGGGATCAATTTTCAATTGTCATTATTGATGACGTGGCCCATTGTAAATTTAATTAATTTTTACATCAAAAAAATTTAATTCAATAAATAAATATCTAATTAAGGGTCATATCTAAGAGGATCTCGATGCACTGCATCTTGGAGTCCAGTTCCATCCAGATGACATCCCGATCTATGAATCTCACAACCACAAACACCCACACCGACTTCCGGTCAATTGATTTATCGGCTACCATAGCACCTAGGTCGTATATTTTTAGCCTAGAACTAGTTGAGAATTATAAGTACCCACTGCGGGGATCAATTTTCGATTGTCATTATTGATGACGTGGCCCATTGTAAATTTAATTAATTTTTACATCAAAAAAATGTAATTCAATAAATTAATATCTAATTAAGGGCACATCTGGAGAGGATCTCGATGGACTGCATCTTGGAGTCCAGTTCCATCCAGATGACATCCCGATCTATGAATCTCACAACCACAAACACCCACACCGACTTCCGGTCAACTGGTTTATCGGTTACCATAGCACCTAGGTCGTATATTTTTAGCCTAGAACTAGTTGGGAATTATAAGTACCCACTGCGGGGATCAATTTTCAATTGTCATTATTGATGACGTGGCCCATTGTAAATTTCATTAATTTTGCAAGTAACAGTCGTAATTTGGACAAATTAAGGCCGATAGGTAAACGGACGACTGTTTTGAACAGCAAACAACCTAAGCTATCAATCCCCATCATTTTTGGGAAAAATAAATTTTTCACTTATTTTCGAATTTTTGATAAGGGGTTACATCATTTTTTTTGCAAAAAATTGACAAAATTTAAAAGTTTCAGGTTTGAATGCCAATCGATTGGCAATTCAATTACGAGCTCAGCAAGGTATGACACTCCGTTTTTGGATCATTATTTCCATTGTTTCGGCCAAAATACTGATATTTTAGGGTGGGACATATGTAATTTTAGGCAAAACTAAACGTTTTTGGAGGTTTTTACCTAATTAAGGAGCATACCTGGTAAGGAGGTCAATACACTGCATCTTGGAGTCCAGTCCATCCAATTTATGAATCTCCTAAAATCACTTCACAACCACCAACACCCACACCAACTTCCGGTCAACTGATTTATCGGCTACCATAGCACCTAGGTCATAAATTTTAAGCTAGAACTAGTTGGGAATTATAAGTACCCACTGCGGGGATCAATTTTCAATTGTCATTATTGATGACGTGGCCCATTGTAAATTTAATTAATTTTTACATCAAAAAAATTTAATTCAATAAATAAATATCTAATTAAGGGCCATATCTAAGAGGATCTCGATGCACTGCATTTTGGAGTCCAGTTCCATCCAGATGACATCCCGATCTATGAATCTCACAACCACAAACACCCACACCGACTTCCGGTCAACTGGTTTATCGGTTACCATAGCACCTAGGTCGTATATTTTTAGCCTAGAACTAGTTGGGAATTATAAGTACCCACTGCGGGGATCAATTTTCAATTGTCATTATTGATGACGTGGCCCATTGTAAATTTAATTAATTTTTACATCAAAAAAATTTAATTCAATAAATAAATATCTAATTAAGGGCCATATCTAAGAGGATCTCGATGCACTGCATTTTGGAGTCCAGTTCCATCCAGATGACATCCCGATCTATGAATCTCACAACCACAAACACCCACACCGACTTCCGGTCAACTGATTTATCGGCTACCATAGCACCTAGGTCGTATATTTTTAGCCTAGAACTAGTTGGGAATTATAAGTACCCACTGCGGGGATCAATTTTCGATTGTCATTATTAATGACGTGGCCCATTGTAAATTTCATTAATTTTGCAAGTAACAGTCGTAATTTGGACAAATTAAGGCCGATAGGTAAACGGACGACTGTTTTGAACAGCAAACAACCTAAGCTATCAATCTCCATCATTTTTGGGAAAAATAAATTTTTCACTAATTTTCGAATTTTATATAAGGGGTTACATCATATTTTTTTGCAAAAAATTGACAAAATTTAAAAGTTTCAGGTTTGAATGCCAATCGATTGGCAATTCAATTACGAGCTCAGCAAGGTATGACACTCCGTTTTTGGATCATTATTTCCATTGTTTCGGCCAAAATACTGATATTTTAGGGTGGGACATATGTAATTTTAGGCAAAACTAAACGTTTTTGGAGGTTTTTACCTAATTAAGGAGCATACCTGGTAAGGAGGTCAATACACTGCATCTTGGAGTCCAGTCCATCCAATTTATGAATCTCCTAAAATCACTTCACAACCACCAACACCCACACCAACTTCCGGTCAACTGATTTATCGGCTACCATAGCACCTAGGTCATAAATTTTAAGCTAGAACTAGTTGGGAATTATAAGTACCCACTGCGGGGATCAATTTTCAATTGTCATTATTGATGACGTGGCCCATTGTAAATTTAATTAATTTTTACATCAAAAAAATTTAATTCAATAAATAAATATCTAATTAAGGGCCATATCTAAGAGGATCTCGATGCACTGCATCTTGGAGTCCAGTTCCATCCAGATGACATCCCGATCTATGAATCTCACAACCACAAACACCACACCGACTTCCGGTCAACTGATTTATCGGCTACCATAGCACCTAGGTCGTATATTTTTAGCCTAGAACTAGTTGGGAGTTATAAGTACCCACTGCGGGGATCAATTTTCAATTGTCATTATTGATGACGTGGCCCATTGTAAATTTAATTAATTTTTACATCAAAAAAATTTAATTCAATAAATAAATATCTAATTAAGGGCCATATCTAAGAGGATCTCGATGCACTGCATCTTGGAGTCCAGTTCCATCCAGATGACATCCCGATCTATGAATCTCACAACCACAAACACCCACACCGACTTCCGGTCAACAGATTTATCGGCTACCATAGCACCTAGGTCGTATATTTTTAGCCTAGAACTAGTTGAGAATTATAAGTACCCACTGCGGGGATCAATTTTCGATTGTCATTATTGATGACGTGGCCCATTGTAAATTTAATTAATTTTTACATCAAAAAAATTTAATTCAATAAATAAATATCTAATTAAGGGCCATATCTAAGAGGATCTCGATGCACTGCATCTTGGAGTCCAGTTCCATCCAGATGACATCCCGATCTATGAATCTCACAACCACAAACACCCACACCGACTTCCGGTCAACTGGTTTATCGGTTACCATAGCACCTAGGTCGTATATTTTTAGCCTAGAACTAGTTGGGAATTATAAGTACCCACTGCGGGGATCAATTTTCAATTGTCATTATTGATGACGTGGCCCATTGTAAATTTCATTAATTTTGCAAGTAACAGTCGTAATTTGGACAAATTAAGGCCGATAGGTAAACGGACGACTGTTTTGAACAGCAAACAACCTAAGCTATCAATCCCCATCATTTTTGGGAAAAATAAATTTTTCACCAATTTTCGAATTTTTGATAAGGGGTTACATCATATTTTTTTGCAAAAAATTTACAAAATTTAAAAGTTTCAGGTTTGAATGCCAATCGTTTGGCAATTCAATTACGAGCTCAGCAAGGTATGACACTCCGTTTTTGGATCATTATTTCCATTGTTTCGGCCAAAATACTGATATTTTAGGGTGGGACATATGTAATTTTAGGCAAAACTAAACGTTTTTGGAGGTTTTTACCTAATTAAGGAGCATACCTGGTAAGGAGGTCAATACACTGCATCTTGGAGTCCAGTCCATCCAATTTATGAATCTCCTAAAATCACTTCACAACCACCAACACCCACA